ACCACACACGTACTTACACCGGATTTCATAAAAATTGCCCCAATCAAGATTCGAACCAAAAATTACATAATTCTTTGCCTGCTCCCTAACCCTTGCGCCACCGCTTTTACTTGAAATTTAGGATTTTAACTTTTGATTAAAACAAAAATGCCTCAACTTTAAACCCAAAAATCTAAGGAACCACTGCATTTACAGAAAAAAGCCACCAGTCCGTTGATAAAGGAGCTTGGCCCTATCATTTGCGCTATGTCCGATCAAAATCCCTCAGGTAAGGTTGACAAAGTTCCCTTGTGAGAAAAGTTTGTTTTTTCTTAACACTGCCACCTATTTCACCAAGGCTTGTCTTAGTTTTTGAATTTTTTGGCACTTTCTTGAAGTATTAACTGTATTATATCGGGTTTGTTCAATTAAATCGATTTATCGATAATATCGATATTTATCGATTTTTTCTGTGAACATTGCGTCATCATCGATAATCGTTTTTTTAATAATCGCACATCTCTAATTGATATTGCCAATTCGTGAGATTAGCCTTATTCGGCCTATTCTCACACATTTGCTCGTTGAATGGCTCCAAGTTTCATCAAAATCGCGTCTTTAATACTCTTGTTATGATTACTTTTGCTTTTCCTCAGCAATAAATGTATTTTTATGATACAATCCGATTTGCAATTAGATATTCAACAATAATTGTTAGCGCTTTCTATCTATTCATCTAATTGTGACCATTCGTTAACTTCAATGGACAGAGTTTTGTATAGTTTGTCAATGCTATTTATAATGTCGTTTGCAATTCATTGTTTCCATAATTAGCTTCATAATCACTGAAAAGCTTTGTATTCAAATGAACTAAATAAAATTAAGACTTTTTCAGCTTCTGATCAAATAATACACGAAGATCGAGAAAGTGTTTTAACATGTTTTGCCAATCATATTCCGACACTTTATTACGGTAAATTTGTTTGAGTTTTGGGCAAAACGTTTTGCTCTCAAAACTTTTGACTGTTTTGTTTAAGATTAACAAAAGTCGTGTTGAAACAGGTATGGTGTTGGACTTTACCTCTGTTTTACGAGTTGTTATTCAATAGATTTGAATGTTTACGATGGAAGCATTTATTGCAATAATTATCTTTTCAGTAAAATTGAAACCGTCTGGTCAAGTAAGTAATGGTTTGCAGAATGCTGTCGCTCAATTGTCCTTTTGCTTTGGTTCTTGTGTTTTCACTCAACTTGATAACAATAAGGTAACTCATTTTCAAGCTCATTAGTGTACATTTCACCTTTTAACCTAAGGGTAAGCATAAATTGTAAAGGTTAATCATTATTTCGTTACTCATACAAGCCCAACTTTTACCTTAACACACTTAAAAAGGTATTGAATGTGTTTCTCTCTTCTCTCTCTATCTATACCTACAATGAACAAAAGATACACTGAAAAATAAGTAGCAAACCTCATCAGAGATCCCAATAAAAATATAAGTTTGTTAGGGAAAATTTTTGTTCAATCATTAACTTAAAGATCATTACCTGATAATACCATTTACACCTATTTAGCTTTTTAAGATATTCATTTGTTTATAATATAATTTATTAAATTAAAATATAATATATTTATAGACAGAACGATGATAAAATTTAATAAGCATCTGATATAACATATACCCAATAAGTCTATCATTAATGCAAGATCTAAAAATAGATGTTGAGAGAAACATTGGAATCTCAAGTGTTGATTTTTTAAATGGGCAAAACCAGGGAAAAATTGGGTTCTTTCAAATTAGGACTTCTGTTAGTTTATGCGGAAATAAAAACTGAGTCCATTTGTGCGATTTAAAAGGCTCTCTCATGCAAAGTTTTCGAAAAAATAGAAGTCAAAGTTGAAACTTCGATCGCCTTTTGTACAACTGTGTGACCAGATTTTCTCATGGTACTCATCTTTGTGATGTATCTTGTGATGGCTAACGATAAAATGCACTTATTTTGAGCAATAGGCCTTTTATTTTTCTGTAAAACAGATTAGTTCGATTTTTAGTCAAACCTGTCGCATTCTGTGACGAAAAGAGTTAGAGATCTGAAACTTATTATTTGTCCATACAAATTCTGGGTACATATCATGAATAAAATAGTTTATAATAGTTTATCAAGAGTTTTCTTGATTTTGGTCATTGGACATAAAACTTTGAACTTCGATATTTCGAACATGCAAGTACCTAAAGTCATCATTCTTTCACCAATTTATTCCTTTACTAACTAATAATTCAATGTAATTTAATAACTTTCCATCAGCGCATTTGGTTCATGATTTTTGGGTCTAGAAGTTATAAGAAATGACTTATTCAACAAACTAAACTCATCTCAACCCATTTCTTGGTTTTTAAACCAATTTTCTGGTTTAACTTGCAAATCAAATGCAAAAAGTGCTGCAAAAGGTTCAAACATTTGAGTGAAGAGTTGAGACTTGGTGAGTTTGTAGGGAATTGTAAACTGAGTTCATTGGTACTAATAATTATTTCATGCGATGAAATTTTTTCAAGAAATTCGAGGTCAAAGTTGAAAGTTTGAACGCTTTTTGCTCAGCTATGGAAGCAGATTTTTTCATCAAATTCATTTCAAAGATGTAACTTTTGATGAACAATTAGAAAATGGTCTTATTTTGAGAAATAAGTCTTTAAATTTTTAAATAAATCTTTAAAACAAATCAAGTTCGATCTTTAGTTAAACGTGTCGCATTCTGTGACCGTAATATTTAGAGAACTAAAACTTTATGCTAAGTTGATAAATTGTTATTACACATCTTGTGCTCAATACTTTTTTCAATTTAACCGATAGTTCTCTTTATTTTTGGCCATTTGTCTAAAAACTTTGGACCTCAATATTTCGAGAATGGTACCACTTACGATCATCATTCTTTAACTAATCGCTAGATATTTTTATGAGCTATAATATATTGAAGTATAAAATTATTCAAGATCCTACGAAAAAGGTTATAGCATTAAATTATTTATGTTTTCAGATTTGAGACTTAATAGATTGTAAAGTTGAATGTTTACCAAACACAAATCTTGTGCGTTGAAGGGAACTTCATTATTAAATGAATTAGTTCAGAGTTTTTTGAGTGTTCAGTAACAAACTGTTATAGCCCATAATGATACTGATGATTAGTGAAGAAATGATGGCTGTAGGTTCTTGCATGTTCGAAATATCGAGGCTCAAAGTTTCCAGTTCAAAGGCCAAAATCAAGAGAACTGTTAACAAATAGAAAAAATTATTCAATTCATGATGTATGCTAACAATTTTTATGGACGAATGGAAAGTTTCAGATCTCTAACTATTTTCGTCACAGAATGCGACAGGTTTAATTAAAAATCGAACTAATCTGTTTTAAAGAAAAATAAAAGTTTTATTCCTCAAAATAAGTTCATTTTCTTGTTTTCCATCAAAAATACATCAGCAAAATTAGTTTCAAGAAAAAATATGGCCATACAGTTGTGAAAAAAGCGATCGAAGTTTCAACTTTGATCACGATTTTCTCGATAACTATGGGTTAGAGAAACTTTTAAATTGCACAAATTGGTTCAGTTTTCATATCCTAACAAACCAACAGAGTTTAAATTTCAAAAAAATTCATTTTTACCTTTCTGTGACCATTTCTCTTGCAGTGTTTGTGTCAAATTGTGCAAAAATGTTACAATTGTGTTAGTTGTGTCTTTTTAGTAACATTGCTATATGTTATAATCACTTACGTTTACATGACGATAATTTACCAGACCATTGATCATTTTCTGAACAAGTAATTGACCTGGTGACTGAAACTTGGTGAGTTTGTAGGAAAATGAAAACTGAGTCAATTGGCATTGTTTTTAAATAATTAATCCGATGCACAGTTTGCGAGAAAATAGAGATCAAAGTTGCAGTTTCGATTGCCTTCTCTTCAGCCATGGAATCAGATTTTTTGATGAAACAGATGAATCTCACGCTGCTGATGTAAATTTTGATGAAAAAGCAGAAAATGATCTTATTTTGAGGAATAACATTTTTCTTTTTCTGCAAAAAAGATCACTTCGATTTGCATTTCAACCATTTGCTTTCTATGACCGTTAGAGTTAGCGAGCTGAAACTTGTCAATTTGTGCATATACTTGATAATTGTGTTAATTGTGTCTTTTTAGCAACAACCGTTTTACTGTTTAGGTTTGTTTTACATTTACCAGGCTATCATCAATGCTAGATCTGACAAAAAAGATGCTGAGAAACATTGGGATTTCAAGTGTTGACTATTTACTGTTTATGATTAACTTTAATAGATCAACACCTCTTTTCATTTATCATCAATAACTTGGGTGTTTATACCTTTTTGTACAAAATATCATTGTGATTGTTCATTTGCGGTTAGTTTTGTGGTGAAAATATTTAACCTAACAAATTAAAGAGGATGCCGACGAGATGGGACATTTTACATACAAGGGAACACACAATTGAAAAACGACAATCGGTCTTCAGAGGAAAGTCGACCTCCAACAGTTGTATTCAACTAAAGAGTGTAAGCTTCTTGGAAATGCGATATCATTAAAATACAATAATTTTTCTATTCAAAAGTATCACTCAATTGGAATTAATATTTTACTTTGTTGGTGAAAAAAGTTACACAAAAAAAGTCAAAGCTAAAGGAGAGACTTGCTGATGGGTCTAATGTCGCTGATAATCTAATAGCACTAAAGGCGGCAACAAAAAATTAGTGAAAGCAAAATGAAAAGATGAACAAACTGATGCCTAAATCACGCCATTGATACAATGATTGATACAAAGTTTACTGGATTTATATTGTTGAATAGGTAAAAGGTCCAACCTTAACACCTAATAGCATCAGGCCATTAGAAGTAAGAAAAGGTAAAGATAAAGAGAACAAGAAAAATATGAAAGTAAAAAGTATTACAATAATTCCTTGTGTATTTACATTTATTATAAGTCAATGTAAAGTGACTTTAGTGAATATTATTCCTCATTTAGTTATCGCAACCAAAAAAAGAGGAAAGATATTTTTGTAAAGATTATCTGTTCTCATCTTGATCACTCCCAATCGATTGTCCTCTTACCCCTGGTGGTCTCTGGTCACTTCCATTCCTCATCTCATTCCCTACCTTTATTCAATAACCATTATCACCACCCTCTTCATTCTTACCTCTTCCCTCTTCCCTCCCACTTTCATCTCTATGTTGTCTTTTTGTTGCTCTTGTTGTTCGTTTTCGTGTAACCTTTTGTCATTTGAACAAGAAAAACATGACTTTTCAAAAGTATTTACAAGGATTAAACATATTCACTGGACAATACAAGACTTGATGACCGCCAACGTTGAACAAACTTACTTACAACTCATAATGACCTCAACGCTATTCAACAATTGTCATTTGCAATTTTTGTGTCTCTCTCCTTTGGGTACCTTTGGGCCGATCAAAAGGATGGAAGACAAGAAAGAGACAAAAATGAAGCAAAAAGAAGGAAAATGAAGAAAGATGAAGAAAGGATAACGATGACCATTACTTTTTCATGTCTTTCTTTTCTTTCTTTCTTTCCTTCTTTCTTTCTTCCAATCTTCATAATCATCACCAATACCATCATCATCACCATCTTCATCATCATTTCATTTGACTTTGTCACTCTTCCCTTTCTTACCTCTTTTTTATGTCAATTCATTTGATAATGTTCATTCAAAATCATTGACCGTTTCCATGTTCTTCTAATTATAATCTATTCAACACTAACATTCCTATTCAATAGCAGACAGACCTTTTCTTGTAAAACATCTATCATATCTATTGTTAATATTACCATTGATTCTTTACCTGCGGTCACCCCAAATGTGTGTCCAACCCAAAGATATTAGTAAACTTATATGAAAATATACTGTGATAATGTTTAAACAGTGGACTGAATCTCACTGATAAATGATATTGTCAAGAAAATATCAAGTTAAATATGTTGTTCTTTTGGATTCTAATCTTGAAACTTTACTTTTAGTCAGAGATGAAATAAGGTTAAGCATATTTCAAAGTTGGCGCTTGTTTCATAATAATAATATTGTTATTGTTCGGCAAAATAACAGATTGTAACCCAAAAATTTTTGTCCAAGTCTCTTTGTAAATAAGCAGATGACAGATTTTTGATTCTTAAATCTTTTAATTTTTGATATTATTTTTATTTAATGGTTAATTTACTAAATCGTAAAAAAAGTTACATCGTATTTAATTATTTGGGACTCTAACGCAATTTTCAAAGCAACACTCTAAATTTTAAACAGAAGCTAACATCAGATGGGTTTAAGGTAAGTAATACATGTTACTTCAATCAATATTTGACTTTATTAAACTTTACCTTATTTCCTTTGTTGGCTTTGAGATAAATGTTGAAAGACAATTAACTGTGAAATAATGATTTGTTAAGGATGACAAGAGGATGAAAGGAAGTCAAGGAAGACGAGTTACAAAGCATGATAATCAGATTTTCTGGCAAATTTTGCCGTAAAAATGGGTTCAACATCAAGACGAAGTGGATAATGAAGACACTTGAAAATGTTAGGTTAACTTATTTATACATTTCTATGTAAGTAAATGTATATTTTTCTCGTCATCTTCATAGTCAGGCATTATAATCAATTGAAGATGCTCAGGTTAAATTAGTATGAAGATAGACTTACACGCTCTCAAATAACCGAGTGTGACAAAATACATATCAACACAATGTTAATCAGTGTTAATTTGTGTGAAGCTCATTTTACTGGATCAAATTATGGTTAGCCAATAATTTACACCTAAATTTACCAAGGTAAATAATTAATCATCAGCATATTATTAAAAACAAACATTCCTCGTAATACATGTAGATTCATTGAGTTTCATCGCGAGCTTTCATATCAAAGGTTAAACAGTCCAATCAATTTTGTATTAGATATTGGGTTCTAAACATAGGATTGACTTGGATAAAAATTTGTATTTTAAAGATTCTTAATTATCAATTGAAATTGCCAAAATTAATGATACTTTTTCTGTTTTCCCTTTTAATTTTTCGTTTAGATGAAAGATGACCTTACACTGGATTGCATCCATATTGGTCATATATTTTTTCCGGCTAGAGCTGTTAATCAATTCATTTCGGATCATTCTTCGGACTTAATTTAATCTACGTTGAAATAAGGTCACTAGTCAATCATCTTGATATTTTACTTTGCTCCAGGAGCTGTTTATCCACCGATTGTTAACAATTAAACTCGTAATGATGTTCATTTGCATGGATAATCGATTAACATGTGGCTAGGTACGATTGTTGATTGTACAGGTGAAAGTTACCATTAGGTGATGATAAGTCAATCATTGAATATAATAATTGGATACTATTCAAAATTTGATGTCATCATAACAAAAGAACTGTATCTTCGGACAAAGCAAAGGATCCATTGAAAGATTTTGAAAATGATTTGATTTGGGTTAAACTGATTTCGTGCGCATTATAATGATCCACCGTTTTTAATTGTCCAATAATTTGATCAAGTTAATTAATTATCAAACGTTAATTGGCAACGAAATAATGATGATTAAAGTAACTAATCAATTATACGGTGTCAATGTCATGAGCCAATCTCAAGGGAAAAATAGTCGCTCATCTCTTGTGGTTTCAAACAGAGAGTTGCCAGTTTACAAGTAAAATAACAAAAGGGTAACAAGTAATGGCTTGAAAAGAGTCAAGTGTCATCTCTCATCCAAAATTGCAAGCAATCCTTGACCTTAAAAGAAGAGACTACAATCTATATTGACCTGTGGCTATTACGAAGGATCACCATCTTTTAGGAAATATAAGGCGATCTTTTTCACTCTCCTTTCACAATTGTCAATCAAGTGATGGCCCTTTGTATCCTTTTTTCAACGTATGCCCATTATTTGAATATTATTTCAAACTCGCTACCAAATAAGTTTATTTAACTCATTTACAATTTACATTTAACTACGAGTATAATGAGAATGAGCACAACAAAGCTAATTATGGTTATAGGCTTTAAGCTTTTGCTATGTTTAACAATTCCAAGTAAATCCAGTCGAAATGATTAGATGAGCTATTTTTACTTATTATGCGTAGGAAAAGCTTTCAAGTCATTTCAAGCTTATTCATTAAACTTGTTGATTCCAAAATATTAAGACCGAAGAATTGAGTAGCTATTTAATTGAAACCTTAATTGGGTGTAATTAGCTTCTGTTGCCTCTAAATTTATCGGAATATCATTTGTATGGTCAATAGAAAGCACTTCAGATATTTTCCCCATAATTTCAAAACTGTATTCGCGTGTCTTTTTACAACCTTTTTACGACCAGTTGAGAGGAATCCATCGGCCACATTTCAACTTTGATCCTTGCTGCCTTTTTGTTTTACTAAACTGTTTAATTGTCATCTCTTTAATCAATTGTCATCCATGACCAATGTGACTATAACTTGAAAACTGAAAATGAAAGTGTAAACCAGTCACAAATTTGATGGATCATCAACAGTATTTCACCAACAATGCTATAAACGTCAAGTTGATTGAGAAACATGTGTAAACTATTTACAATAATATCCATCACTGAATGTCAATTAGTCCATCGAGTTATTATTTAATAGCCAAAAATTAATGTGCTCATATTTCGTCTTTTGTTTCAACTCTTGTCTTATCTTTCGTCTGCTGTTTTGTCTCAATTCTGGTTTGTTAATAACGTTACTTGTTCATTAACGTTTTATGGTACAGAAAGAGTTTATTTGTCCGCCAAGGAGCAAAAGCTTGACTGTCGAGTTAAGAGTTGAAACTTGACGTCCTGCCAGAGACACAGAGACGTCCATTTGCCAAATAAAAATTTTTCTGGTCAACAGTTTTTTGATAAAAGCAAAGTTCAAACTTCGATTGCTTCTTGTACAATTATGATTACATATTGTCCCAAATATAATATTTTGCTATGTACTCCTCATAACTACAGCTTATGACCGACTGAAACCATGTTGCTTGAAAAATCTTGATACCACTTTTATATTTGGTCGATATTTATCGTGTTGAGGAAATTTGTTGAGAACGAACCAAAGTTTCGAGTTTAGTTGATAATTTCTGTAAAAAAATAGATGCAAATATTATTAAGAATCTTATATTGAAATTTATGGAAACAAATTTTAATTATCATTGTGCCAAAAGCTTTAAAGGATTGAATTTACGTTTCCCGGATTGAGGAAATACAAGGGAGGTAATTGAAAAAAGAGGTTGATTAATAAATTATTGACTCCAGATGAAGCTTATATGACTTTTGTTACAATTATGTCGACCTTTAAACGAAACAAATTTTCGGCAAAATTTTCACTTCACTAATTCTTTGATAGCTTTACAGCCTTTAACCTTTAAAGAGAGAGAGGTCATAAACAGCAATTTTGCAAGGCTATAAATCGCCTAATGAAATCAAATGATCCAAGTAAGAGTGTCTACAAAAGGTTTAAGATGTACGAGACACAATTCCTAAATCTAATTGTCCGATTATTCAGCTATTTAAGTAGCGCGTTCATTGTCATGAGGTAAAAAAACTTACAAAGAGGCTGGAATGTTACATAAATTCAATCAATTTTTACCTTGTTTTTATTGCCAATTTAATCACCGGTAAATGAAGAAAAGGCTCAAAGGGAAAACTCAGCATTAAAATAAACTCCAAAAGGTAAGGCAAGAAATACATAGAAGGAAATGTATTCTAAACAATTAGCATCACATTTGAACCAAATAGTATTCCAAGTGGAGGTAAAATAAAATTTCAGATTTAGGGGTCGAGTATTGTTGTAATTTATTAAACATTTGAAGCCATGGACGCTTAAATAACTGGTGAAGAATTGAGTTTGTTAAATAAAATACCAAGTTTATCTTAAAATTAGGCAAATTAACTCTTCGGGCAAAACTGCGATTTATATTTTCTTAGCAACACTGTGGTAATTAATAATGGAGGGAAAATGTGAAAATTCAACTTGAGATGGTGCTGCCATCTTTTATAACACGTGTTTGTATTTTGGTAAACATTTGTAACACTTGTTTTGCGTGTTCTGTGTTTTTTTACTTGATTGTGTTTATTATTATTGCTATTTCTTAAAGTTTTAACATGGATTTAAATGTTATCATCGAAAAGGACTCTGTTCGTGACTCTCATGAAGAAATTTTGAACAAAGTTAAAAGATGTGTTAAGCTTGGTTTCAAAGAGATTGGTTTATCTGTTTGTATTGATGGATCTCAAGTGAAAAATATCCCAATTCCTCCTCAAATGTCCTCGAATCAAATCGATATTGGTTCAAGAAATAAGATCAAACTATACTCAAGGTTAAATGTTGCTGTTGATGATGGACTTCAGTTGCATAAACTTGGACAATCACCTATAGCCAAGCAGTATCATCTATTATCTCTGGAACCTAAAACAGAGAAAGTGTTTACTCAACTTCTTGGAGGTAATTTTGACTGTGATATTATAACCTTTGATTTCACTGAGAAATCAATTTTCAGCTGGAGAAAAGCCAATTTTTCTTTACCTATCTCAAGAGGAATCCTTCTTGAAATTAATTATAGTCAAGCCTTTGCATCTCAAAGTAATCGCCATAATTTATTTTGTTATGGTCAGAGTTTAGTGCGGAAAACTAAAGGAAAGGTAAATATTGAACCTCTAAAATATTGACGAAGTCTTGAACTGTCTTCATTTTTAGTAAATTATTTTATCATCCAACGATAACAAGTTTGAATAATTTTATGACAATTTAATTTAAATATTTTTTATTGGCAAAATGCATTTAAACTAATTCAACAAAATTAAACAATATCACTTTGGCTTTTTGTTTGTTGTGAACTGATATCACTTTTATGAGAAATGGATGACTAAAAGACTTCCAGTCAATTCTTACTAATTGATCAAGCTTTACCATTTGATCCCTTTTTCGACTCTTTTCACAGAATATTTTATTGTCAAGTGGTACAAGCCATTTCATGTTTTTTAGAGGACCATATTGTGTTACTAATTTGTGAGTATTTCAGATTCTTTCCAATTTCATCATGAAAACACCAGAATGATTAATTTTCTTTTCTTGTTTTATTTTTCCTCACCGACTACTTTTCCATAATTAGAGGTTTATTATTTGGTCTTAAAGAGAATCAATCTCGAGACGCAGTTTTCATTAACGGAATTAACGCAATTCGACATTCACAGGTCCGTAAGAATCCTGCTGCCGCGGCAGTTGTTTTAGCTGACGAACTGTTACCATGTGAAAAATGGGTTGAAAAAGAGCTTGTCACAACCGAAGTGACGGACCAACAAAAATCATTATCACCAGAAAAGGATTGCTCTGATCCAAAAAGAGCTAAAATAGATTCATAAAATACAAAACAAAATGACAACTAAAAAAATATAAAATAACATTAAAATGTTTAAAAAATGAGTATGATTTGAGAATTATTCTTTAAAGTTTTTTTTACTGAAATGATGAAGTTGTTTTTGACAATGAATGGTTCCAATGAAATTGAGGTTGTGGATGAAAAGGCATTATTTATCTTCTGATTTGTTTTTACGGGAAGATGAGCTTCTTTTTGTTTCGGATGACTAAAGAGAAAAGGTAAAAAGAAAATTTATTTATAGATTAACAATTTTTGTAATCGTTTAAATAGTTTGGATTTTGTTAGTCTCAATGACTGTATTTACCTTTCTACTTGAATCTCGTTCATCGCTATTAGAGGTTTTTTTCGATTTACTCGATTCTTCGTCTTTCTTTTTCTTTAAATTAGTGTCGATTGGAGTTTCATCGCCTAGATCCTAGTAGAATAAATTTAAATCATGAAATAATTAGATCTTGGTAAATTTTCATTCATTAAGGGTTAGAAGATAACAAAAGGTTCATAATGTTAAGGGAGTAAAGGGAAGGGAAAGTCAATTAGGATAAATGAGTGGGCTTACGATGGCTAATCGATCAATTATCTTACTTAAATTTAAAAATAATGAGATGAATCTAAGATGATCACTAATGATTGAAATAATTTTTCTAGTTACACAGTTTCTTGATGTGCTTGGATGAATGGCATGCAAAGTTTTCATTTTACTCTTCCCCGACACCTTTCTTCCCTGGGTAAGAACCAGATTTTGGAACAAAAAGCACTGATATTATACCCTTTTCCTAGATGATGAATTTGCTGTCTTCTTCTCGTGATTACGATTGTTTGTTGAAGGTGATGAGGATGTTGAATCTTCCCCTCCTCGTCTTCTTTCATAGTTTTCATTTCTTTCCTTTTCTTTTTCACTACGTCTTTCACTATTGGTCCCACTTCCTCCTCCTGTGCTAACTCCCGTCCCTGGTCCAGCTCCTCCGCCACTGGTCACATTGCCATCTTCATGAGTCTATTAATGTTTTACAAAGTTAATTTTCTTTGGTTCCACACAATTATTTACAAGTTAAAAGTTCAAAGTCGATTACACCCGAATCTTTTAACATAGACTAACCTTCGCTTCTATTTTACGACGTTTATGTTCTGAAAGAGTCAAAAAAGAAATAAGATTAATTTGTGCTCATAGAACGTAATTACGAAAGTAATAACTGTAGAAACATACCCCTCTCTTGCCCCTCGATCGGTGGCTCAACGCTTCGACCTCTGTGATCTCCTTTCCTTGGAGACGAAGGAACACTAGATTTTGAATCCGATTTTACAGATTTTTCAGACGATATGTGATTCCGATCAGCTTTCACTGCCTTTTCCTTCTTTTCAGCACTTCTGACAGTTTCGTTCTTAGATTCTTTTTTCTTCTCACTAGAATTTTCATTTGCTTCCGCCGGTGGACGTGGTTTAAGAATATTATCTTTTTTCTCCTTGGGTGGAGGCGATTTTGTCACAGGAGCAGACGTGTTATTAGATTCTTGTTTAGACTCCTTTTTAACATTGTTTGGTGTTTTTGCACTATTAACAGGTTGTTGAGGTTTCAAGTGGAATTCATGCTCCGGTACACAAGTTGCTCGTTTAGTTTTAAGTTGCCCAGAATAACTGTAAAATTTGATAATTTTTAAGGATAGGTTTAGTTAAATTCATCGAAGTTTTTAGATGAAAAAATTTACTCACCCTGTGGCCAAGGCATAAAGATCAGGTCTTTTAGTTTGTTCGGTGTTTCTAATATTATCAATCCTACGCTCAATGGCTTGAGCGAAACTATTTATGGCTGGAAAATGAGTTATTAATTTAGTCAAAACAATTAAAGCATTCCTGATTTGAACATAATCGCCTGAATCAAGACAAACAATGAAAGATTTTGTCAATCTATAATGCCATTTATGGCAAACGTGACGGTAGCTTTCATAGTCAACATGTGCTGGTTCTTTCTCGAAAAATTTAGTCACAAATCCTGGATATTTGGCGCATTCCTAAAGAGGGAAAATTAAACTCATAAGACAACTATAAAAGATTAAATTGTATAACTCATTACCTTTTCAAAAACTAGCTTATCCTTATGCCATCTCATAACTGTCTCCTGGAGAGCACAAAGGAATCTTCCATAATGATTTGCTTCGTTTTCAGTACACGAAGACATGGTGTAAGAAATGTCACCAAATATCTATAAACAAGACAAGTTATTATCTGCATTTTTTTCTTGATGAAGGAAGGGAAAAACTTACTCTATCATAACAAATTAAAGTTGAAAAATTGGGGGTTTTAATAGTGTGGAGAAGATGCACAAATTTTGCGCAATAAAGAGCATCCGTAGCAGTAAATATTGACCTAGGGAAAAGGCAATGTTGAAGGAACTGAGTTGTCATCTCCATTTTAGCTAGTTCTGGAATGAAAAAGTATTAATAGAGCGTTAAATGCGTATAAGAGTGAATAATTAAAAAAGATGACTTACTTGATTGAAACCACTGATCTCGTTCTTTTTCTAGCCTCTGACGAACACGACGGACATGCTCATCTTGCCTCAATTGTTCTTCTAAAAGCTTTTCTTGTAAAAGTCTACATCTTTCAATCTCTTTCTTCTTTTTTCCTGGATTCATATCCTTATTGTCTTCTGTCGATTGTATTTGTTTTTTCAATTTTTCAACTTCGTGATCATAACTACTTTTAGGTACTTCAAGATCATAGATAGACAAAGTCCAGAAAGTTACAAAAAATCGAGGACTGAAAAAAAGACAAAAGAAAAAATAAGTCAATGTTTTAAACTAAAATAACCTGAAGCATACCTCAAATCTTCCCAGAACTTTGTTGGAAAAGCTGGTATAATGATATCTACAAATGGTTTCGTAACGGTCTCCCATGCCTCGATATACAAATGAATTCCTTTTGATGACCTTTCATTTTTCCTGAGTTCCTCAAACTTTTGCTGAAATAAAAAATAAAACGGAAAATGAATCATTGGTAAGTTTGTCAGCAGTCAGGTAAATGTACCCTGACATTATGCGCGATCATAGGGCGAACCAAGAAAAACGCGACATCAGCACTTAAATTAAAATTGGTTATTAAAGCTCCCAAAGAAGGTAATCTTCCAATGTAATCATCAATACTTAAATTGCATGAAAGAAAAGAGCCGTACTGGACCAAAGTCTCTTGACACTGTTGGGATTAAACATGATTAGATTGGTCAAAATTTCGAGTTTTTCATGTTTTCTTTCTTACCTGATCATATAGTTTCCCAACCAATTTAATGTGTGAATGCTCTTGCTTGCTGTATAATATACAGTTACGCTGCTGCGCCATCAGAATACATAAAGGCATGGCAAGGTTTGACTCTAAAAGAGTATCTTTCAAGCGAACAGATGATTTCCTTGTATTACGAACTTGATTAAAGTAGCCCCCTTCAGCTCTCAAGAGCTCACCTCCGGACATAGCAGCTAACTGTTCATTGGTCATTTCTTCTGATGCTTCGATACCAGCCATTTTCTGAATAATTTCCTTCAATATTAACAGATCGAGACTTTTTTCCGCTTTTAATTGATTAGCGATAAATTGAAGTAGACCAGGAAGTTCTACTGGATATTTCTTAACAACTGATCCACAGAAATTAGCTAAGCTTAGTAGCCAAGGTGATATCGTAGCTCCATCGTGAAGAGTTCTGTCCTTGTTTGAATTTGAGAGGGCTTCAATGATACAGTAAATGAGAACATCATACGAAAGAGAAGTCAAATATTTTAAAGAGTCGACAACGGGACCAATTAGATTATCGTAAGATTGAATCTGGATGGACATCTGTGAGAAATTAGAAATGGCAATTAATAAAGGCCTCTCATCAGCAGCTTAAATAATTGAAATTTACATATTCAAAAAGAAAAGATGGATTTGAGTGACTTAGTTTTCCGATTTGGCGACCAGAATATTTCACATTTTCTTTGCTTAATCGTTTCATTATGTACTTGATCCTTCTCATATTAACTGAACGTGTTCGAATCATGATAGGGATTGAGGGCTCAGCTTTCCAATTAAAATATAGTCGATACCGTGCAGTGTAAGGGAAAAGACAAAGAAACTGCCAAAGCTCATCAGCAAGACCACAGTTACCTTCGATTAGGGAAAGTGAGGGTAGAATCGCTTCGTCTAGTATGCTTAGAAGCTCATACTTGACATCACCAACAGGAGTAGTACTCATAATAGATTTACCAATTCTTATAATTTTGGAGATCAACAAAGTGTCACTATGAAGAAAAGGTCCCAGGGTTGATATCATAGGAAAGACATTTTCCTTCAATTCTTCTACAGTTTCGGCTTGTTTAATCGATGGTTTTCCATCACATTTGTACATTTTTACTTTGTTGATAATGTTAGAAGGTAGTCCAGAATGTCTATAAAAATAAAAATGACAAATGAGATAATAGGCAAAGATGACAAGAAATATGAAAAAACTCACGAGTGATAGATGATATCCATAGCGTAATGAATTAATGAACATAGTTGTTTAGCTATAATTGGATTGGTAACAGCGTAAAAACTTGGTAAACGTTCGATTAGCTCATGAGCAGTTTTCCAATCTCCAACTTTCAATAATGCTAGACAAAGCCCGAGCTTTTGGTTGTTAATAAGTAAAGAGAATTTTTCCATGTCAGATAAACGATCTTCCTCCATAGGTTTTTCTTCGGTAGAAACAAACGTTTTTCGAGCATAAGCTCGTGCATCTTTGATCTCATTTTGATTATACTCGAAAATGGTTTTATCACTAGGACTTAGAAAAGGATAGATTTGGTGTAATGACAGGAGTTTCTGCTGTAGAAGTAAAGCTGTGACCTCATATAAGGAGTCAGGTGTGACCATAGAGTTATCATTAAGGTAAAAACTAAATTTAAACGCTAATATCTGGGCCAGTGTGCTTGAATTATTTAGAAAATTACATAATAAAGAGATATATGAATCAGCAAGATAAGGTCTACATTCGAAGCACTCCAGTACAACATCTAAAACGCGATTTGGATCTAGATTAAAACAACCTGTAGCGAAATAAATAAACGATTAGTATTAGAAAATACATTAGAGTGGAATGATTTACAGTTAAAACCAAATAACTTACCAATCAAGGATCGTAAAACTTGAAGCATATGATTACAGTCAAAGCCTCCAGGTTGACTTAATTCAGTTATTAGTTTAGCGTACCCTTCACTTTCTTCTCTGAATAAGTTGAACTTTTGCTGCTTATAGAAGAGCCGCGTTTTCAGCTTAATAAACTTAGTAGAGGTGGCCTTTTTATTGGCAATAATCTTCGCTTCGCCAATGGTGTCATAATCCAATCTTTCCTTAAGTAAGACATCGGCTATCAATTTATTCGAACAGCCTGCTAAAAGTGCAAGATAATTTTCCCTTTGATCCTTGTTGTCCGCAGCAAGGGTTTCAATATCACACACTAACAGCACATCGGTTAACAAAATGGGAATGGATGGATTGGTCTCCACAATATTGGACAGACTGGAGATCAACCAATCATGCCTCAACTGTCCACTGATCGCCTGGTTACAGCATATATAAAGCAGTTTCTTCAACTCATTTGGATTATCAGTATGTGATCTAACCGCCTTGATAAAATCATTTTTACCCGAAGTTTCCCAATTTTTATCGGTAAACATGGTAAACACAGAAAAAAGAATATGTAGTCACGAGAAGAAAAAGAGAAAGAACACAGAAAAAGAAAGAGATAAAAAACAAGGTAAAGGAGATAAAACCGGGCTTTGGGAGTGAGGGGATAGAAAAAGCACAACTAAAGGTGAAAGGTAAGGAGAGGCAGACACGTGAGCTAACTAGGGATGAATTACACTAAATCATGAGGATAATTGTTTCATGAAACAATTGATAGTGGATTGTAATAGAAACCGAGAACACATAATATTAATTTTGAAATCACCAAATTTTCTGCGAGCCGGAGTAGAAAAAAGGGGATCGATTATCAATAAAATCATGTAAGCTTCCTAAAAAGGACATTAGATGTCGCTACAGTCACCATCGAGATATATTTTTCGATTTTAATGAAGTTCTGGTGAAACTCGAACATTTGCGTTAGTTGCTGAGACTTGGTCGTTTTGTAGGGACATTTATAAAAACTAAGTCCAATGCTACTAAAGAATCCTCCGATGGACAGTTTTCGAGAAAATCGAGCTCTAACTTGAAAATTCGGTCGCCTTTGGTCAATTATGGAAGCAAGCAGATTTTTTCATGGAACTCATTTTACTCGCACAACTTTTGATAACCAGAAAATGCACTTACATGTATTTTGAGAAATAAAATTTCCTGTTTCTGTACATTAGATCAGTTCGATTTTCAGTTGAAACTTCCGCTTTCTGTGACCGTAAGAGTTAGAGAGCTGAAACTTATTTGCGATAAAAATTGCTGGTTGAAATAAAAAATCGAACACTTTTTTCATTTCATCAACAGGTCTCTTGATTTGGAGGCTATTTTAATTTAGATCCAAATCGCGTTTTAGATATTGTAAGGATTGCTTCGAATGTAGACTTTATCTTGTTGATTCATGTAACTCTTTATTCTGTAATTTTCTAAATAATTCAAGCACACTGGCCCAGATATTAGCGTTTAAATTTAGTTTTTACCTTAATGATAACTCTATGGTCACACCTGACTCCTTATGAAATATCAATGAAATGTCATATTTGATTAGTTTTAACTGTATTTTAAGTTGTCAGACTATTCAACAGGTGACTCTGAATGATCTGAATAAATGTTCCGTGACAAACTGATTCCCTATCGACCTGAAAGTTTGTTTTAAATGTAAAATAAGTGAACAATCAAGTTTGAGCAAAAATAACAACAAACCTGTAACAGTTTGAGATGAAACGTTACTTTCTTACACTTCATTTTACTCTCACTCTTCGCCAAGTGATATTAACATCAATCTTAACGAGAGTTTATTGATTTCTTATTGCCATTGACCAGACTTGTCATTATATCTTTAATCAGTTAATGTAAATAGTTGTGCCATTTATTCATAATTTATCTATTTATCTGGATATTATCCATAATCTATTCCTGTTTTCACCAAAACAAGACAGACTTTACAATTGGAAGTAAAAAGTGAATCCTTCAAAATAATGAATACAAAATAAAAGGTAAGCTTTTCCAATCAAATAATCATATCTTTCCATCCTAACCACAAACCAGTGTATCATACAACTATCCAGAGCCTAAGTATGCTTTTAAATGATCAACTTTGTCTTACTATACAAATTGCTTCCATATTATTAATAGTTAACCCTGTCATCACTCATCTTTCACCGTAATATTTAGATGAAACAATTAGGCTCTTTCTAAATTTAATAATGATTGTGTTAATGTATCAAGTACAAATCTCAATATATCTCTTATAAGCTAAGTTGTGAGAGCTTAATCAGGTGAACTGACTATTCACCTCCACTTAGCGGCGAAAAATGGTTGACATATGTTAACTTACATTTGATTAAATTATACTTTCTACGACAGTAATCCGCCAACAATCATAATATCAGTATCAATGATCCTTTAAATTGTTACCTTGTTTCCCTCAAAGATATGAATAAAAATATAATTCAAGATTCCCACAATTATCATAAAACATTCACATTAGCTGTTAAACATCAACAGCAAAAAAAGCTCAACTCTACCGGTAATATCACTTTTTTGGTGCAACATTTCATGTAAATGTATTTCCTTCACTTATAATTGTTTCTTGATGTTCCCATCATGTTTATCATATTTATCGATATCTTCAAATAATACAATAACTTACAACTTCAGACCCAACTGAATCAAACTGATAAACAACCAGAAAAGCCCAGAAAAAAAACCAAGAATCGTAAAAACAAAATTGTAAACAATGGAAGCTTCAACCAGCGATTGTTACAATTTATATCGTGATCAACTTGATGCCCAGCTTTAACCATCAAAACCCGAGACAATTAATCAATAAGTATCAATACAAGTAAATGAAAAAACCATTTAAACCAGATGAGATTCAAAAAAAGGTGAAAAGATTAGCTTTATATTTATACTTGCATACAAACAAAATGTTGAACGTTGCATGGTTTTAAGGTAATATAACGTGCTAGTGTTTAGTTGTGATAACCTGGATAATATATAAAGAACTGAAGATGATATTGAAGATGAGAAAAGAAAGAGAAGATGAAAGTAGGTAAGTAGAAAGAGAGAGAGACTGAGAAGAAAAAAAAGAAATGAATTGAGTAAAATTTAATAACAAACCAGTTCTTATGAAACTGAAAAAAGCTTATTTTTAGACATAAATCTCTTTTACTTTCTCTATCTTCTCTGTCTCCTCTTTATCTTTCCTTCATATCATCATCACCTCTCTTTGCTCCTCCATCATCATCATCATCATCCCTTTTCCTCCCTTTACCCGAGGTAAACTTAATCTGAGAGCGGCGACCATTTATCTTTATAAAAATGGATTCACTTTTAGTGTTTGTGTGTGCGATCAGGTGGTTCAAAGTGAAAGATAATCATTCCATGATCATCCTTATTATCTTCACTCCTCACTTATCATCATCCCCATCATCTTAACCATCATCTTCCTTATCACCATTCAGTTGGTCTTAACCTTTATCAATGATTCCCGGTTAACTCTTTTTCACTATAAAATATGTTAACAATTTTGAAGCTTTTACTTTTCTCGGTTGACCCATTCAAATGTAGACCAACATTTTCCTCCATTGACCACAATTAATCAAAAAATCAGCTTGAATTGGTGATTAGCTTTGTGATTGAGAAGAGATTTTGATTTGAATAATCGTTTCATTAAAGTTTTTATGGTAAACAAATTGTTTAATTGTTATTTAATGAATGTTGAATTACAGATTTACATTAAATTTTGTTTGTTTTTTTAATGGTAAATCATGAGAAAAAGATTAACCATTGAAATTGTTTAATGTTTAAAGATTCCTTTTGAATTTGATTAACAATTTAATGGCAAACAAATTGGTTCATCAGGTGTGATTGTCTCATTGAATAATTGTTGAATTACGGAAGTATTTCATGCTAATTATAATTATTATAGTGATAATGATGATTAATCTGAGAAAATTTACTAATCAATGATTATTAATCAAAATGAAACAACCATTAAAACAGATTTAAAAACCTTTAGCATGTCCTGTTGCTTTGTATTGACACATTTGACGCTTTTATAAACTACAATTTTTATTATCATTTTGTTTGACAAATTGTCAACTAAACGGAAGGAATTGATGATTAAGACTATTTTTATTGTGATTGGCAAGGAAATGATCAAAATCAAGATGATTAGGGTCAAATGATTATCAAATTACTACACTTGATTAGACTGAAGTGATTTACAATCAGTGATGAGAAAAAACATTTTCATGGTTTTGGGTTTACAATCAAAGCTAATGTTTTATTATTGTTTAATCATTTTGGGTCAATTTGTTTGGTCATTTGAAAATTGTCAAAGTAACCCAATATTGTTGCTATTAAAACAGATCACAATTATCTGGTCATTTGTTGACAATAAATGATCATTTGATAAGCTCAATTCATTGACCAAAAATATTGACCAAAAATATTGACCAAAAATATTGACAGAAAATTTTGTTGATTTGTAAATTACCAAAAAATGGATCATTAACTTTTACAATTAACTCAATTGAAGCAATCTTCTTATGGAACAGCTTTTGGAATCAAATCATAAATTGAGAATAATTAGTTAATCATTTAAATAAGCTTAAAAGTAAGCTTATAATGGTATAACAATTAACAGTGTTAAAATTACGGGTAAAGGTTTAACTGTGAACAAATGGCTACTTTAAAGATGATACAAATTGGGTTTGAAGGTTGAAAATGAACTATCAATAGATTTATTGAATAATCATTTAGATTTCTTCATTTAATGTTAATCATGTTGACTATTTATGATAATTATATACCTTTTTTTTGATCAAATCAATATTAAGTAAATTGCTGTAGACCAGTTTTATATTTTCATCCTTACCCTGAGTTACTTGTTTTTACTTGTCAGCCTGATTCATTTAAACTGTTTTTACCTTAAGGAGTCTCTCAGTTGTTGTTTTAAAACTGAAGAGACTTCATTTTTATCATCTTATTCCCTCCTTTCATCATCTCACCATCATCTTACAGCAACCTTTCCTCATCACACTTTCATCTTCTTTACCGTGATGAGTTAGTAAAAATCTTTTGCTCTCTTTACCTTCCATTAACCTTTTCATTGAAAAAACTTTTACCTTTAACTCTTCTTATAAATCGTATCTTAGTGTTAATTGATCAAGTAATTTAAATTAGTAACAAAGTTGATCATTATTATTATGATTATGATAAAATGTAAAAATAATGGAAAGCAAAAGGTTGATCATGATGACAAAGTTGATTGATTTGAGTCCAACCAAGGTTTGGGTTTTGGATCGCTGATTGTCCTATTCAAATTCAACTTTGATTTTAATACCAATCCCTTTTAATAATAGTTTTTAATTAATAATTTGTGTTCTTTGTCTTTTGCGTCTTCTTCATCCATCCAAATTTCAATATTTAACTTGATTGGTCAATTCAATTAACCATGAAAAGTAGCTTTAACAGCAAATCTGAAGCCAATCTGTTACCTCCAATTGAATGCAGTTTATTGTCATCTTCTCATGAAGAAGCATCATCCAAATCAACTTACCAAATCAATGGTAATCTATGTTTTACCAATTATTTACCTGTTAAAATGTGGTTATCAATCAAAAATGGAGGCTTGAAAAGTCTTCCAATAAGATCATCAATCATGATTGTGTTAATTGTTTTGTGCCTAGCAATTTGTACCAGTGGTCAAAGGACAGATTGGTCCAATCCATTGTTTTCCTATTCATCTTCACCTTTAATCTTGCCATTTTCATCGCCATCAGTAAACTCATTTAGTTCACATTCAATTCATCGCAGAAGTTCACAATATCTTCCATCATCACCACCATCTTCATCGTCTTCCTCTTCGGGATTAAAATCACTTTTTTCATCACTTATTCCCAGTTCGTTTATACCTCGAGCTCTAAGTGGCAATGGGAATCGAGGTTCTTGGCGAAATTATTTCCCATCTGCTTCAGCTGCTACATCAGAATCCAATCCTTTTAGCAATTCATTTGGATCGTTAGCATCTTCAGCTTCATCTTCATTGCCAGCTTTTGCTTATACACCTTACACTGTTGAGGAATCTGTTCCAGCGCCCATTAATTTTGATTCCTTTTCATCATCACCATCGTTAAGTTCATCTTCCTCATCATCTTCTCTAAACCCATTTACTTCCCAGTCAAGTAATAGCATTGTTACCAGTAAAGGGTTTTTATCGCCAGCAATCAATGCAAATAGTGCCTACCAACCATTATCATCAACAAATAATTTTGTTGCTGTTAAACCAAGTCAAAGTTATTCACCAAATTATCCATCTGTTGGTTATGCATCCAACTACGCTGGAAGTGGTTTAGTACCCAAAGTGAATTATCCATCACCATTGATCAAACCACAAGTTGGTAATCGTAAACGAAGTAAACAACAACCTAGTGAAGCCTCGGGTCCAACAATCAGTATTGGAGGGGCACCTGGAGGTGGTACAGCCATTAGATTTGGTAAAGCGCAAATTACGTTTAAAAAAGGCCAAATAAGTGTGGGTCCAGCTTCGACGGGATCCTCACCAAAGAAATACAAAAAGAAACAGCCAAACTCAGCTGCTGGTAGTTTATCATCCGCCAGTTCGAGTCGAGGAATTTCACTTGATTTAGGTTAGTCCATTGTTATTTGCTTGTTTGCTTTTTTGAAATTTTCATTTGACGACTTTAACTTTCCAATGTGCTACTCTAAATAGACAGTAAACTTAAATTAGTTTTATTTGGAATTTAAAATCCAAATGATTGTTAAATATTTATGAGGCTGGAGGCATACTTGATTTGAATGTCTATGAATTGAGTGGTATGGCTGGATGATTTACAATGAACTGTTGTTCAAGATGCGACCATCTTAATTTGATTCAAAGTCATTTTTGATTGAGGCATTAATTGAATTGCTGATAACTAAATAAATTGTTGAGGTAACGCAAACAAAATCAGACAACAAATTAAAGGTTGAGGTTATATTTATCAAAAATTGAACCTGGAAAAGGGGAACTTGTGCCTTTTTGATATCTTCAGACATGACGATGATTGCGATTATGATGATGAGAGTGGAAATCTTGTATTAATAGTATCTTTAAAATTATTTCACGGTGGACCAGTTTTCATCTTCACTCTCTCTTTTTTTGCTCCTCTTCGCCATCTCATCTTCATCTTCATCTTTGTATCACTCTTCAATTCTGTCAAGTTGAGATTACTTTTTGGACTTCTTTCTACTCATTATCATTTAGGTTAATTGTCCAACTTTAGCCAGGTTTTTCTTCAATTTCACTCCACCTCTTTTCCTTCCTTTTTTCACCTTTTCTTTTGCTTTTCTTTTTCCCATTTCCATCCGATTGGCAACAACAGTAAATTCAAAGATGATCATGATCATGACAGATTCCTTTTGATGTTTACTTAGGCTTGAAAGTTACAATAGTCATCAGCTTGTGAGATTCCTCAAACTGCAAGACACATTTTTGATAAAAAATGGTAAAAATTTCCAATCATTGTTGGTTGTTTACACATTTGTGATCACTTTCAAACTTCCAATCATCACCTGAAAAGGAAGATGGACCAAGAAAGCGATGATGAGGATAAACACCTTATTGTTATGGTTAGCGAATTACACAAGAGTTAACAATGGCTGATTAACGCAACTTCCATTCCAATTCATTATTGTATGTAAACACGATCACAAATAACAAAATATTTGGAACGATAGTCAGCTTGATTGATTAAAAAGAATCTACAAATTGATGTTGAATAGATTATTGTTGTTGTTGATGATGATGAATTTCTGTAATCAACAAGTAAAAAAACAAAAAAAAATCAATAAACAAAACAGACGTTGAAAAAAAGAGGAAACAAGGCAAGAGTATACACAATTGAAAAACAATACCTTGAATAATGGGAACATTCAAACTCATATTCAATTGCAATCTATTATTAAATAGATAAACTGATGACCTGTAGATGGATTTTTAATTTTCAATTTCACTTTTGAAGATGATGGTGATGATAATTATAAAAATAATGAAAGCTCTAAAACGATAGTTTCATCAGACGAAAAATAATCAACTTGATACAACATTGACTGAACACACGAAACAAAAGAGAGGGAAAATAATGAGCCCTAGCATTAAGTTGAATTATGTAAAAGAGATGGCGATAGTTTATTGTTTTGTTTTTAACCGATTCTCATATTGCTCATCACAGCAAGAGTTAATCACTTTACCAACGAGAATAAGATTACTTTAACAGTTAATTATACTCTTTTAATTTATCCTCATCATCTTAATTCCATCTCTCATCAACAATAGCCATTTTGACTGATGTAACCAACATTATACTCGTTTCAATCATCATAATCAACTGGTAAAATGAACCTAAAATGGTCTTGGAAAATTTGGTGATCTTATTTTAGAAAGTGTCATCTTTTTCAATCAAAAAGTTAATTACTTTAGACCTCCGACAATCTAGCGACTGTACTATCACAATCGACAACAGCAACATCATAAACTGCTTCATCATTATCAGGACGATGAAAGCAACAATTACACATGAGTGTTTCTTACCAAATTTGAAGTCTCATAGCGAGTCCAATTGAGATTGTCAGCCGGTTGCAAGTCTAATTGTAAGGTCAATCACTCATGGTTAAATTGCTGATAATCACAAATGATTTTGGTGTTCATTTTTGTCACTATTTCTCTTCTACTCAATGGACATTCTAAATAATTAAGGTGGATATTGCTGATGTTAATGATGAGTTCCTTAATGATGCTTCATTGCCTTGTCACCTCAAAATGCGTCTTTTTTCCAACCGTTTAACCATTAGTTTATCCATCGCGATTTCAATCATTACAAGCTGATTATGATAATACTGTAGTATCAAGTTATCTACATTGTGTTGGTACAAAAACACATAACGATTAAATACAGCAAGTTCATTACAATTGTAATGGTTTTTTGGCAGAATTGTGAAATGGTTTTAATATATTTGTTTTGCTGTCAAAAATAGCCGTTATTATTGTTTAATAACCAATGTAATAGTTTACCAGATTATTGTTACCAGCTTGGCAACAATTAGTGTCAAAATGATGCGGAAAAGGTTAAATTTGCTAAAAGATGGTTTATTTAAAGTTCCTAACAAGCTTCTCTCTAAAAATTTATACAATTTAAAAAAGCCTCCTAAATTGCTGTTATAATTACCATCAACCAACCAACAATCATCATCATCATCTTAAAATCAGAATATGATTAGAAAGACAGTTTAAACCTCAGACAATAAGAATCTAAAAATTGGATGAATGATTAACCAAAATTTGCTTTTGATCTTTACCTTGGTTTTTCACCAATTAAATCACAATGATTAAATCTAATGATAGCTTTAAATTTAATTATAACACTTATTAGCATGAAAAAAGCACGATCAAGTAGATAATTAGACACAAATTTAACCAAATCCTAAAAGTGTAAATGATTTAATAACGAGAAAGAGTTTGACTCTTAATTCAAATCTGTCCATATTAGAGACAGAATAGATCATCATAATCAAGTGAAATTGTTGAATGTCAATATTTTAAGGCAACCATTAACAATTTAAATTGTCACAACAATAAACCCAAGCTTTCAATGGAATCGTGAAAAAACTGAAATGCTTTCGATTAGAAAGCGATTCAGTTTTTATATTTCTTACCAAATCAATTGAATTAACTTTTTTAACCATTTTTTGTGGTTATTGAGCAATTATTGAACAATCAATTTGAAGCTCGATTGGTTTTACAATTGATAATTGTCACAACTCATCATTGTCAAGTTCCTAATCATTCATCAATATTGTTACTTTTGTGTCACTGATTGTGATAATTTTGAACCTTACATTTCACCCAAAAAAGGATCAAATGTTAATCAACAAACTATTAACCTTTTGGTTTATGTTCAACATTAACATTAAACAATAAGATTTGCTATTAATAAATGCTGACCAACAATTAACCATAAGTTAATTTTTCAATAAGCTTGTCAATTCATTTTGGTTAAATGTGTTTAACTGTTGTTAACAAAACCAGATGAAAATAGACTAAGCCTGATTTAAAAATAATTACAAGCTAATAGATTAATGATAGTGATTAGTGACAATATAAGATGACATTTGATTGACTTAACGCATATTAATACTTGATTTAGTGAAAAATTTAATCAGTTTAATGTCAAGTTAATTAAAGATGGATTTGATGAATTTACAAACCTTTGAAATGTAATGAAAATCAATGGAAACAATGGTTTGATTGACAGTAAATGTGAGGCTAATTGTAAAGCAAACATTGAAAGTTGCTTTTGAATTTTACAAATAGTGAAACATATTAATCTGACATTAATTTTAACCAATCAATCTAATTGAGATATATTTATACATTAATTTCAGGACAAGGTGGTTCTGGTCGTGGTGTTTCAATCAGCTTTGGAGGTGGATCAGGATCAAGTTCATCATCATCACCGGCAAGATCAAGAGGACAATGTAAGTTGTATTAATATAACATCAAAAGTGGATTGAGAGTGAAAATATTGATTAGTGATTTGAACAAACGAAACATGTTTTTCCCATTTTTATTGAATGATTTTTATAAATCAAATGAAAGCCAAACATGAAATGTTGACTCTCAGCGTTTTAAAGCATGTTAACCTGAAACACCAAAAATCGCTATTAGTTGCAAATATATTGATGATGATGAATCAAGAAATTGGGTTTCTTTTGATTGACCGAGTAACTAAAATAGTTTTTGTTTTTGTATTGATATGAAATATAACAGTTGCTTGGTTGCTATTAGCCGTAGGCTCATCATCAGTTTCATTATCTTGATTAATGTATAATTTATTTCCTTTCGAGCTCAATTTTCTTTCTGTTGGATTAACAGCAATTTCAACGATTAACCGAAAAACTGTAAAATGACTGTTCAAATGGTAAAAAGGATTTACTCTGTTTGAGGAAGTCTTCCCATTGACAACTTTCAGCTCTGTTCCTTCTTCCTGTTAATCGAGAGTTTAATCAATTCCAATTAGATTATGATTTTGATCATTGTTGATACACTTAACCTGTTAGCTTTGTAACATTTGATAAACATGAAGATGTGACACTGGCAACCTGTTGATATTCAGCTGTGATTCAAATCAAATACATAAGAATCAAAACAAGCTCTTGATGCCTTGAGTTTTCAACTGGATCGATCTGAATATCTGAATGAAAAATAACCCGATGACTTTTGATGAACTCTTTATGTTTATCATTTAATGTTACATATATTTCATGTTCATCTTTGGGTTGAAAGGTTGCTGCTTCACTTTGATTTCATTGTTATGATTGATTGATCCTTTTTGTTTGATTTTGGGTGATAATTTGGTAAATAGTGACTTGAATCATACCGGAGATTCAGTTGAACATGATGTCTATTAATACGTGAACAGATTAGAAGCTGGTTTAACAGAAGAATCAAGCTAAGAAGCAATAATTAATTGTATCCAATTGAGACCATGTAATCATTATCTGCTTATTTTGTATGGAAGTGTGTAATAATATTTCAATTCAATGTTATTACCAGTATTACTGAACCATCTTTTTTTTCAGTCTTGATTTTTGTATCTTCTGTTTACACAATCAGTTGATTGTACAATATTGACACGCAATTTATTATACTAAGTATTCACATCAAAGTGCGCTATCAATTGTTATTAATATCAATTTACTTGTTTGGTTTGTAAATTATTATTCAAGTAATTCAATCAAAATATCAAATAAAAAAAACAACACTAATTCAATGGGATCATTCAACTGAATCGCAGTTGAACCTTTAATTTCCTTCTCATCATTATCATTATGCATTAACAATCATTGATTTTTAACAAGAAACATTTTGTTACTTTATTATTGCTATTATTATTTCAATCTTTTAATAGCAATTGAAGCAAAATAAAACAGGTTTTTCAATTCAAGGGGACAAAAAATGTAAATCAATTGTCATTATTGGTAAATTATTGGACAATTGTTTTGGTAAACATTATGTTAATCTTAGAGTTTGGTTCCTATTTTCATCTGTTTTTCATTTCATTGCGGTTTGTTTTTGATTTCAATTATCAAACAATCAATAAGTTGGCCTTTTTCATATTAAAAACTGAATCAATAGCTATCAGAATCAACTTCAAGATCATTATTTTGATATTAGATTGAAATTGGTCCGAAATTTTTAAGATAATTACAATTCATGTTGAAAGATGGCAATCAAATCGATTGATGTTTACATTGAAAAATTAGATTCACTTTTAACCCAATCTTGTGTTTTCATCATTTTAATGTGTAAAGGTTAATGGTTTAGTTATTTTCAGGTTTTGTTTATATTTGTCCAAATTGTTGGTAATTTAATCGACTGATCAAGGATTGTATCTGTGCTTTTCATTGGATTGTTAATGTAAATTGTTGCTTTTTGTTGTGTAACTTGACGTTGACCTTTTCCGTATCTTGTGTGTCAAGACAATCAAAATTTGATGATCAGTAAAGATGGATGAGAAATTGAAGATTTAGGAGGTTTTTTATTATCATTATTAGTATATTATTTGAGGAAAGGATTAAAAGATTACCGAAAAGTGGTGGATTGAAAATTGAAATGATTGAAGATGATTGCTGTTTTGATGATGGGCTCAGTCAACGAGATGGTTTAATGTAAACGGAGAAAGCAAATTTGGTAATTGAGCTTTACCATCAACTATTCACAATTAGATTGCATTTTTTTACCTATTTATTTCAAGAGTCCGTTAACATCATTTAATAGTAAACTTGAGGCATAATATTAACAAACAATCAAATAATGAATCAAAGAGGAGTGTTAAAGGTGATAATAATAATGAAATGAACAATAATTTGAAGGTAACTTGAAAAGGTAAAACAAAATCTCCTTCATTTTACGATTTATTGTATTGATTACAATCGCCTTTTTTGATCTTCTTGATCATCTCAAGCTAATCCTTTTACAACTGTTAATCAAAACGTATTTCATCCTAACCAGAACTAATATTACCAAAGGTTTGGACTGTAATTTTCACAATCTTTACATTCATCTTTTCATGTTTACCTTTTTTGTGCAGTTATTTTCAAGCAATTAATTTACTTGCAGTTCTTTTCCTGATTTAATTGTTGATTAGTAATTTAAGCAACACTTTCACCACTCACAACAACCAATCTATTGTTGGGTTATTTATAAGGTTGAGATTTATACGGTTTCCCACTAACGGTATAATCTTACAGTCATAATATTTAAACATGATTTAATGATAATATTTTGGCACAAGTTTTATATTTTGTTATAAAAATATAATCAATTTTGGGTAGACAAAGTGAATTATCATAAATTGTTTAACTCAAACTGTTGATTGTTGTTGTTTGTTGGGTTATTTTCAGACTTCTGTGATACAAACAAATATTTGTTGATCTTGATTGAAATAATATGCCAGTTTGCTGGACATGCTAAATTGAATTCGTGTTGATGATGTTAGTTTATGATGAGTTTATGATGATTGCTTGAGCCTAACAGTTTATGCATCATACTTTGATTTAATGTTAATTATTTGATGGCAAAAAAATATTTATAGTTATACAATAAATGAAGCATTATATCAAAGTAGTTGTCCTGAAATGACTGAATAAATGATTTCAATATTTTGACTAAAAGACTAGACTGATTCGATTGATTAAATAATCTAACAAGTTGATAATTAAATGGCGCAGACAGATTAATTATCAACTTCATTAACTTATGTTGATTAAATGTTAAATGTTTGATAATTTTGAAATGTTGGTTCCAAAAGCTAATCCAATTTTTGATAGTTGATTGCAACTGAATTGAATGTTGTTGATTCTTATCCACTTGAAGATCCATAATTTTTCAACCCGATTTTTATCTGTTTTTTTTTCAGCTGCGCCTCATCATGATGAAGATAAAGCAGGTAGTGAAGGACCAGGAATCTCATTTGGAGGTGGATCAGGCATTCGACTTCCATCAATAAGCTTTGGAAATGGAGGGTTGACTATTGGAGGCGGAGGAGGACAAGATGAGTATGCTGATGGAGCAGGCAAAACTGCTGCTGAATCATCTTATCCAACCTATCATGGGAAAGGTTATGGTAAATCGTACTACAAACCACCTCCAAGGCCGCGTATAAAGCTGAAGCTTCCTCACTTCCCCAAGACGTACATTGAATCTAATCTCAAATTACCTCCACTCAAAGTGAAACTCCATGCTTCGCCAAGAGTCAAAATTACAACAGGAACCAAAGATCCATTAGAACCTAAGCCCGTTGAAGAAGATCCAAATATGCAAGACATTTTCCTTCCACCAGAACCTTTTCCAAAAAAGATGAATGGATCGGAAGAAGAGAAAAAGGATAAAATTCCAATTGAACCACCACCAACAGCACCTAATCCATATCCTTATCCTCCTCACCATCCTCACCCTCATCCTCATCCATATCCTCCTCCACCTCCATATAACGGTCCATATCAACCAGGTCCACCAGGCCCACCAGGTCCTCCACACCCGTACTATCCACCGCCACCAATTCCTGGTAGTCACCCTGTGCCTCCACCAGGACATGCTGGACACCCTGTTCCTCCTCCATCAAATTATCACCAATCATACAACAATTATGAATCGGAAAAGTATAACAACAATTACAAATATTCCTCTGGATCCAGTTATAAGTCTTCCAGTGGTGGCAGTTATTCAGCTCCTTACAAAGCAGCCGCCTCAGGTTATTCTCAAGCTTACCAGCCCTACTCTAAGCCCGATAATTGGCCTGGTCCACCAGTTGGAAGTCCATACGCAACAAACAGGGTCACATTTGCTGGTAATGGGTCAAGTTATCCAGTTGGTGATGGAAATGGCAGAAGTGTTGGTCATCCTGAAATTGCTCCAGCTCCTGGAGGACATCCAGGATATGGCCCTGCTTATCCTCCACCACAACCTCATCCTCAAGCAGCTTACCCTGCTCATGGTCCATATCAACCAGCCCCGTTACCACCTCCACCTCCGCCTCATCATTCTGGATACCCATCACCAGGATATTCAAGCAAGCCAAAGTATGGAGGTTATCCGAAGGAAATTTTCGGTAAAAAGATTGTAAAATATAATCGTGCCACAAATGACAAGCCGCAACTCATCTTAGATCTTCGTCCAAGAATCAGCTTACACTCTGTTAATGAAACTCATCCTGAAAAGAAACCAAAACACAAAGATCCATTCTTTAAGCTAAAACTCAATCCAATTTTCTTGAATCGTACTGAAAAGTATGGCTATGGTTCTGGTGATGACAGTGGTTATGGTGGAGCTTATGGTCAAAAATATCCTACGTCGACCACTACAACAACACCAGCACCAGGTAGAACAGAAAGAGCGACAGTATCAACAGAATCGAGTCGAACGTCAACTGCAACCGATGATTATGATTATCCAGATTCGACAACAACAGAGAAGAGTAAAAAGGAAGACAAGAAAGACGTCGATGAGACCGACTACGATTATGGTGATGACAAAAAGGATGGCAAAGACAAGGAAAAGAAGGAAGAGAAAAAGAAAGAAAAGAAAGAAGATAAAGAGGATAAAAAGGATGGTGATGATTATGACTATGATGACAAGAAGGGTTCTGATAAAAAGGACGAGAAGAAGAAAGAAGAGGATAAAAAGGAAGAGGACACTAAAAAGGACAAAGAAACGAAAAAGGACGATTATGATTACGATGAAAATGGTGATAAAGAGAAAGAGAAAGAGAAAAAGGACGACGACAAAAAGAAAGAAAAGAAAGAAAAGAAAGATGTTGAAAGCAAAACGGACGAGAAGAAAAAACCAGCCAAGAAAGATGCAAAAGACAAGAAAGACGAAGAAGATATCTCGTATGATCAAAAAAGGACAAAAAGGATAAGGAAGAAAAACCAAAGGGAAAAAAGAAAGAAGCAGATGAAGAGGACAAAAAAGTCGATAAAAAGAAGAAAAATGACGATTATGACTATGAAGAGAGCGATTCAAAAGCCAAGAAAGATGAAAATAAATCGACAAGCAAGACTGAAATGAAATCAAAGACTGACGAGGAGAAGAAGGAAACGAAATCCAGCCCAGCCAAAAAAGACGATGATTACGACCTTCCAGAAGAAAAGGCGAAAGATGAAAAGAAGAAGAAAAGAGATGAAAATAGTCAAACGGTGAAACCCAAGAAATTGTACATTGACGAAGTTACGTATTCATCAGCTTATAACAGTAAATATAATAGTAAAAGTTACACCACGGAAAATAAGAAAGAGGAAAATAAAGGAGACTCTTCAGGTGATAAGAAGGATGAAGAGGTGAAAAAGGACACTGATTATGATGTTGATAGTGGATCATCAGGTTCCTCTGGTTCCTCATCTGGTGGGACATCATCGGTAGTAACATCTGCACCTTCAACTAGTTCAACAAAAAGGGAAGACAATGAAGATTATGAGAATGATGAAGACAGTAAATCGGTTAATGCTGCCAAACGTGATGGCAGTGACGGCGATGATACCAATGGTGATGAAGAAAATCTCACTGATGACAGTGGAGATGAAATGGATGAAGAAAAGACACCAATTAGTACAACAATGAGTCAAGATGATGTTAAAATTACTCACATGGCTGATAGTTTAGCTTCCGTTCAGGCTAAAATTGAACAGATGAAAAAAATGTCCAATGTAACTGGAGGTGTTGAAGATGTCCCTATAATCGTTGTCCTTCTTCCACCCGAGGATGACCCATCTCCTGAGCCAGTAGCCAAATCTGAACAATTAGACTTTAAATTAAATGAAAAACGGTTGAAGAAAAGGAAACCAAGTAAAACGAGTCAAATTAAACTTGAATAGACTGACAAGTGAGAAATGATAAACAGCTCAAAAACAATGGAAACATTGATTGAACCTTACTTATGATCAATTTGAGTCTTAAATTTTCACCAGTTCACAATAGACTTAATAGTTAATCAATCAACTATACTTTCATTGACATTATCAAAAATATCATCATTAAATTGTAAATTTATATTATTCTTACACTCATCAACCTGATTGAATCAGAATATTTTACTTCAATTTGAAGTTGTCACATTTTTTAATTTTTTAAAATCGTTTTTACTCTTATAGTTTTCAATTGTTCGTTAATTATTTTCAATTGCTTATTAAATTTTATTTTATCAACTCCAAAAATTTGTTATCTTAATAATTTTATTCATCATTTTCTCTAGCAAAAATCTACATCAAAAATCGTCAAAATTTCAGGATAGATTAAGAAATCGTTTTATTATGTACATCATCAGCTACGAATACTGCAAAGCGATGAGATTTAAAATCTACATCAAACGGCAGTGAGATCTACCTCATTCACATGAGCACAATTAATAAATCTTATCAAGCAGGTTAAAAAAGAATGGAATTAGAAAAGATTATGAATTTCAAATTCGGTGTGAAATTTGGCGGATGAAATGAGCAGAGTTTACCAAAATTTATCAAATTTTCCTCCAGCTAGCTAGTTTATAGCTTCAATCAGCGAAGACCAATATTTACAGCTGATAGAAGTGACTTTTCGATCGAAATCAATTTTAGTCGGTTTGTTTAAAGATTTGACTTCATCGGGATCTAAACCTAATTGACCCCATTTGTTCCAGCCCCATGCATACAGTGAACCTTCTTCAGAAATACCCATCGAATGGCGAGATCCACAGCTGATGGAAGTAAAGTTTACATCAATCTCTATCAAAGTTGGTAAACCAGACTTTGAAGCATCTTGATTACCGCCAACTCCTGTCAGATTAGAAAGAGATTTTGTTAGGTGAATTTAAAAAATTAATGTTTTGTTTCAAAATTTTTATCTTACCAAGTTGTCCGCTTTCATTCCATCCCCATGCATAAATGTCTCCAAATTCAGAGAGAGCCAATGAATGCCATCCACCAGCAGATATTTGCATGATTCTCAATCCACTAAGAGCTTCGACTTCTTTGTGCTCATCAAAAACGTCCTCCAAACTACCAAGACCGAGTTGTCCTTTGGAGCCTCGTCCATATGAGTAAACTAATCCGTGCCGAGTCAACAGTAAAATATGTTCATGGCCACACGAAATTGATACAAATACATCGCTAGAGTCTTTCAACTTGAAAGCGACAGGAGTCTCATCTTCGTCCATTCCAATGACTGATCCATCTTCCATGAGAACACAAACAAAACTAGATCCTATACTTATTTCTTGGACCTTTGCTTTATCACGGTTTAATTGATCGACTAGTTCAGGTTCAGCTTGATAATCTTGTGATCTCCATCTCTTTAACTTACGGTCCGAAAGAACCAGAAAAACGTCTTTATTACCGCACTCTAATCTCTTCAGATCCCAACTTTTAGAAAGATTGCATTCACGGATTAATGGTTCACAATTAGGGCCAGGAACTGAGGCTAAATATAATAAATGTCCACTTTCAGTGATGATAAACAGTGAACACCAGCCAATGAACGCTTTCTTCACTTTATGTCCGTATTTTTCGTCCAAATCAAGCTTATCGAGTGGATAGAATAACACTTTCGAGGCTTCAGCATCCTGAATCTCATTTTTGATTAACCGAAGATGAGAATGGTAACCACAATGAAACAATTCCAACATGATTTGAAAAAAAGAGCAATGTTATATGAGATAGAGCAGCTAGATTAGTTTTTTTAAACCAGCTGATTGATAAAAGGATGAGCAACTGTTGTCATCAACTAAAATCAAATTCATCTAGAAATGAAATGATTTCATCTCACAAGTGTCAGAATTTATCATCGTTCTTCATCATTATGTACAGTTACAATAACAACTATGCGATATTTTACCAACAATTAGTCACCTATTGTTATTCAATTTAAATTAAGCTTCAGTTCAACTTTCGAATGAGAATTTCTTTGCATAACAAAGTATCGATATGTAAACATACATGTAAATGTACCGTTTTTATTTAGCAATTCATACTTTACAATTTAAAGAATTATAGTCTTAATTTATCTTCGAGATTTTCGTTACTATTTGAAATCCTCTTTTGTGGGTTATTGTTCATTTAGCATTATCTTAATACTAACTTATGTTTTGCAAGTGATGAGTACAGTGAATTAGTAAAAGATTAAGTTACTAGTGATCTGGGTAAGACTAGACAAGCTTAGTTTTGGAAGAATCACCACCGATGATACAATAATAAATATGAGACAATCTGGCGTAAGGTTACATAAATTTGGCATCAAATCATTAAACGCAATTTGATTGGATTTAAATTTAATTATTTTGTTAATAATTTATCCAAATTTTATTTCAAGCCTTTACACTGTTACAAATTGTATTTAACAATCGAGACCACTAATCTGGCTTATTTTTCTCCTCTTTACTGTTCATAGTGATTCATTGTTAGCTCTTAAACTAATAAATTGGCGCTTACAAATTTGATTTTATTGTTACTCAATCGGAATGATCGGATCAAAATAAATCTATTGAACATTTTTACCATTTACAAAGGTCCACCAATGTATTTAACATTTAACAATATTTAATCAAATAAATTGAGAGTATATAAAGAAAAATTTCGTAATTCTGATGAATTTCTGATCCAATGAGTAAATGAATTTAAAAAAATTATTCATATTCACATTGAATAGACACATAAACTCAAAAGAGAGTCCAGCAAACTCAGATCAGGCTGAGTTTGTATACTTTACAAATATAAACAAATATTCATCATTTAAAACGAGGGAAAGGTTTCTTATCGTGATTTTGATTTACAATAATCTCTAATAAAAAAAGCTCAAGTAAAATGGCTAAAGTTTGTTTTCAATTCTATTATTTGATTGTTAGATCTATTGTGATTCCGTAAAGCGTCTTCTGTCCCTTCCCCAGGAACTCCTTTATCTTGATTTCTAATCGCATTTTCAAGTTTACTTTTAAATTTAGGATCACTGCCAATAATTTTTTTGAACTCCTCAGGATAGTTTGGTCCAATGGCAATCAATCGCTTAAGAGCATATTCATGAAGTGAATATCTCAGAGAACTTCGTCTACTTTGTGGGTTATTTTCCAGCAACAAGTTTATTAGCACAGGTAAGAAAAGGGCGAGAATGTTGATTCCTGTAAAATTTGAAAAAATTATTAATAAATTATCCTGGTTTATTGCAGACTATATTAAAAAAGAACATACTTTTCTTGGTTTCAGCTAGACTGACAAGTAATTCAAAATTTTCCAGTCCAACTGTAATTACTTTGAATTTAACTTTAGTCAATGAAGTGCCGTCAGAAATTTCGGTAACCCATCGGCGAATTAATTCAATCATTCTTGGTGCTAAAGCATGGATGTAAGGCATTTTAAGATTATCATCTTTGACTTCCAGAATTAACTTAATTGTGCCCAGACATTTCACGACAACCTAAGAATATAGCAAAATCAAAATTAAAATATGAATGAATTACAATGAAAAAAGTATAATCAATCAAACTTACAGCTTCTCTTGTACTTTGAAGAGTTTGTTTCAACAAATTGATACAAGGATATTGTAAATTTGGAGCATTCAAAACTTTTGGCGGTGTTGATGTAATAAAAATACCAATAATTGTAACAGCTAATCCATCATCCAAACGAGGCTCAACGCTACCTAATAAACGAGATTATTGAAAAGAAAAAGTTCAGGAAATTTGTTAGACATTTACAAATAATCAGGCTGGGATGAATTTAAATTGTTTTATGTAACAAAATCATGTACCATGGTAACTATTATTCCATACTGATTATTGAGACAGCGAAAAATAAGTGGATAAATAGATAAAATGTTACGAATATATGAAAATACAACAAAAGAGCGATCATTATTGCAGCACAAAGAATCGGTACCTTATATTTTTCAATTGTATAACTTACTTGTCTTGCATAAATCCAGAACAAAAGCTAAGCTACTCTGAAGTAACTCAATCCACTCCGTTGAACATAATTTATTACGAGCTAAAGGCGAACTTCCCAACTTTCTAAATGATTCCATGATAGAAATGATTGGTTCCTCCTCGACGGAAAAGGTCCACATTTTAGTTGTAACATCTCGTAAAACTCCAGTAACAAGGTAAAGAACAGTGGGTAGGACAACAATACTTCCTTTTGGTGAGCAAAGGTCTGGTAAAGCTGATAATATTTTCAATGCACTACCAATAATATTGAGACCTTCTTCGGATGGTGGTTTACGATTTTGTAAGACAGTGACAAGACCTGGATTATTGGCAAGGTTTGGACATAATTCAGGAAGTTGACGAACAAGAACACACAGACAAATCTCTAATAGAGCATATACAATTGATTCCCATGTATTAATTACACCATTTTCTCCACCTTCACCAAAACCAGCTGAAAATAGATCAACATCATCTGGTCCTTGATTGGCTGGTACCAATTCACGGAGTTTCTTCTTTTTCTCTGTCTCCAAGTGACTGCGGCGGGATTCCATTATAAGAAGGGCGATCTTAAGAATTAGACTCTGGCAAATAGGATTATCTCGAGTTAAGAGGAGACGATGAAGAACATTACACAATTCGATTGCAAGTTTAGTGTCAGATCCAATCATTGATTGTGGATAAGGATGTGTTAGCAGTGTTTCCATTGAACGAAGACAGATAATTATGTAAGATAAAGGTTCAGTTGATTTTGGATTACATAAAGCTTCCATACAAATGCCAAAAAGAAGCGGAAAATAAGTTTCATCATCATTGGCCTTGTCTAAAGGTTTTCTAGTTTCTTCTGGAATCGATTCATTTTTGATTTTATCTTCGATGAAATTATTTTCGCCCGATTGGGTAAATCCCTCTGAACAAAGCCATAGGGCAGCAGCATGAAGAATCGGTGGCCATGATTGACGGTAAATTGGTCGAGCTACTTCAATTGTATCTGGAGTATAAAAAGCACCACCATCATGAGGAAGTTGCCCCGAAAAATCGGACGGAAGAGTTAACAATGCATGATCTTTTAAAGCCATCAGCCAATATTTGCTAAGTGATAAAAGCTCTGGTTTAACTAGATGAAGCAAACTTTCATTGACACCTTCTAATTCCTTGAAATCATTTTCTTCATCTTTTTCTTTTGCTTGTTTTCTCTGCTCTTCTTCTTCCATTGCGACAATATAAACTTCAGCCCAAGCTTTAAGAATGGCAAGTTTTTCTAGAGTAGATGCACTTTCATTATATAGATTGGACGACGAATCTTTTTGTAACTTGGCTAAAGATGAAACCAATAATTGATGTACACGACGCAAATCATTGAGATCTCGAGCAACCTTACTTCCAATCCATGCACTACAAACTTGACAAGCCATGGCAGTTACATGAGATGGTGTATCAGGTGAGAAAGCAGGACGTAAAGCTGCTCCAACTTGGGCTTGATATTGTTCCAAAATAACATGTTGAGGGATTCAGGTTCGGGAACTTTGGCAAACTTATCAATAACTAGTTGAAGGGCTTGTAATCCTTCCAAACGAAGTTGATCACTGTCTGAGGTTGCAGCCATGAAAGACATTCGGATGAGATCTGAAAGATGATGAACAAGGAAAGCTTCTTTCTCATGACCAGTTGACTTCTTTTCACGAACTGTAATCAAATCAAAATGCGCTTTCGCTTCTTTGCTATTTTCACAGGTTTGAATGATTCTACAGAGCGTTTGTGTGGCAAAAACACGAGTTCGCCATTTAGGAGGAGCCGTGGCTTGATTGGGGGTATCATCTCGTGCCTTGAATTTGGATTCATCATCATCACAATCCCCATCGCCTTCAAAATCTTTCTCAGGAGTTGACAGGCTTGAACTTGGATCTAAAAGGTAAAGAAAGGAAATTTCATTTATTAATTTTTTTCTTCTTCTTGACCATTAAATGAGTAAAACATTAACAATTTACCTGCTGCACATAAAACTTCCTTGCAGAGAGCTATCCAAGATTGAAGATTTTCTGTAGCAATGGATTGAACTAAACTGGTGATAATTTTTTGAATATCTGATAAAATCTTGCTGTCGATTTCATGATCCATAAAATAAAAGAGTATTCCCGGTAATCCATGATCACTGTGAAGATAATTGATTCCATTGCTAAATTGTTTAGTGTCGGAATTTTTCATCTCCTTCAGCCAGACGGCAACATGATTACAAACTTGTTTAGCTTCTCGTTGAATAAGTTGATGAAGACATGCAATTGATGATCGGCGTAAAAATAAATGTGGACTATTGAGAACTGAACATAACATTGGAACTAGAGATGCAAGATTAACATGTTTAGGGGCAAACATATGAAGTTGCTGTAAACAACCAATTGCTTGAGATTGAGTTAAAGGATCACAATGATCCTGCATAACTCCACATGAAATCAATAAAGATGATCGAGTAACAGTAAGAGCGGGAGAATCACTTTGAAGTTCAGGTCCAACTGTAGTTATGACAGCAGAAAGAAGTTTACCAATACATTGGTGAACATCACAATGATAATAAGGAACTTGAACTAGCAACTTCATGGAATGAGATAAAGTTGGTTCAACATATGTTCTGAACATTGGACCTCCAGAATCAGCAATTAATGCTAAGGCATGAAGAGACCAAACTTGGACAATTGGTGAAGTTGAATCTTGCGAAAGAGCTAACAAGATGCTTATGCTAGTATTTAGATGTTGATTGGACCCAAGACTTCCCATGTAACGATGTAAACAACCAAGAGCAAGAGAATGGCCTGTTCTTGATAGCGCATCACGTGCAGTTTTCAGTTTATCGAAACATATCTGAGCAACTTCTGCTACAAATTTGGCATCACCAACAACATAACAAAGTCTTCCAAGACCCTGAGCAGCAGCGCATCTTATGACAGGATTATGATGAGACAGTAAATTCATGATGACACCGGTAATTATCTTTTTCACTTCTTCACAACCAATGTTACTTTTATTTTCAGCAGAGTTCTGGAGAAGAAATAATGAATAGAAAAATATTAGTTAATGGGAGCCATATTGATACCAAAGTTGCGGAAAAATTGTATGCTCAATATTGTATTATTAATACTAATTATATTTGATAAATACCTTTAAAGAACCTAAAACAGCTGCCAAAACATTAATCTGAATTGCTTCTTGGCGAACTCCTCTCTCATGTTTTATACATTCTTGGAAATGGTTTAAAATTTGTAAACGATGTTTGTAGCTACAAAACGAAAAATATAGCCGAAAATTAAACACGATTTGTTAACCAAAGCTGACCCAAGAGGTAGTGGACTAGGGATAAAATTGTCTTTGTCTTGTTCATGATAGAGAGCAGTGGCATCATGTTCAATCGCTCCAGATCCTGCTGTGCTTGCGATTTGAAGCTATTCATGCAAATTTGAAATGAAGAGAAAAAATTATAAATATTTTTACAATAATAATTGCATTTATCAGATTTTAAGATTTTGAGGAGTAACTCACAAAATTTTTTTCTGATTTACGGTTAGGTTCCATCTTCAAAAATTGGACGGTAAGTTAGTTAGATAGTTAAAAGATTAGTAGTAAAAACGATTAGTATTAGAAAGAGAATAAAATGTAATCATTCGAGTGAATGAATGTTGAACTAACCTGATCTTCTATAGATCGATGATCTGTTTCTTGAATCCATGATCCAATGATTATTTCATCATTAGGGTGGCAAAGTGTTCGGAGTAGAGTTGTTGTAGTATTAATCGCATTATCTCCAAGAGTAAAATCGGCAACAATAATTCGCAATAAATTTGAATAACTTGATTCATAAGAATTAGCTGGAAGAAGAAGAAGTGTATCATACAAACGAAGACGAACAAGAGCAGCACTAGCCTTAACTGCTGGTCCATAATTACGAAAAATGTTACTCAAAGTTGTTAACATTGTCAGTGCAAATTCAATTGGAGGTAAAAGACGACGAATGATGTCTTCATCGACTAACTTTTCACAATAGGTAAGAAAACTTGACATAGCTGCTAAAGCACCAGCTCGATTTTCTAATGTTATTTGCCAAGTAAATGCATCACCACGAGCCTTTTCCGAATCGAGACCTTTGGATGATCGTGGAAATGAATTTTTCCAAAGTAATAGCATCCTAGGCAAAAGACCTCGAACCACACTTGGACCAAGAGCCATTACACCACCAATTAGTTGCCAACCTGATTGGGTTCGTTGCAGAGATAGTCGACCATTTTGAGATGCTGTACGAAGCAGATCTTCAGCTATGTTGAAAATGAGTTTACCTTTGTTATGAGGTATACTCAATGGAGTTTGACACGAAGAGCCTAAGAGAGCAGAAAGTGCGAACGAATAGCCGTATATTATTTCAGGAGAAACTTTGACTGTTTCTAATCTTTCAAGACACCTCTCAATGAGAGGTGTTAATTGAGATGGAAGAGAAATCGCAACACATCTTATAGCCCAAGCAGCTGCAAGACGAACTGTCGGAGATGAATTGGTGAGGAGCGATACAATGGTATCTATCACAGAGACAGAGGAATCAGTTAAAAGTGATGAAGAGGATGTGCCCAAGTCTTGGAGAATGCAGCCAATTTCGAGAAGCGCACATGCAAGAACATGTTGAATTTGATGAATATCTTGAATAGAATAATTTTCCTTGGTATTTGTGCTATTATTACCCCCTCCTGGTATCAATTCAGCTTGATTGCTGGCTGGTGTGGAAAGACCTGGATTGATATGTTTATTTATAATGGCCACCAGAACTTTAACCGCTTGTGCTTGAGATTTTTCACCTAAATTTTTACCTAAAATTGATCGTAAGACAAAACCTATACAGCGTCTGGCGTAAACAGCATCAACATGAGTTGAGGAACATTTTGGATTAGCCAAAAGCTCCAATAGATGAGAGAGATATTTATTCATATTTTTTTCAAGCCAATGATTACCCAAACGATTGACTACCACGACATATGCATGTGTAACTCCTACTCGGGTCTCTTTACTGACCACGGATCCTCCTTTGATCATATCTTTTGGCCCACCTTTAAGGAAACCGATTCCTCCTTTTAAAAATCCTAATGCTAAGAGGTTGAGTACTTCATCTAAAGTGGCAAGTTTATTCTTGCCAACAGCAGTCGGTTGATTTGGTTTTTGAGTAATAGCCACTAAGTAACCAAGAACTTCGGCAATGGCACACCGTACCTCGTAATTAGATTCTTCTAAGGCTCTAAAACTTAATGAGAAAACACTTTCCAATTCGGTGGTATACAAAAAAGGAGCATGATTAAGCATCTCTTTAAGACAGTGAGCTGCATTACACCTAACTGCCATAACTCTGTCAGTGATTCCGTGTCGAATGGCTTTAAAAATATCACGATGAAGAGAACCGGCAGCAGCTCCCATACCGGACACAATTTTTTCCAATGTTAAATAAATTTCACACCTGGATTGAGACTAATAAAAGAAAACAAGATAGTCAATTAGTATAAAGTATAAAATAAGGAGCATTAAGGATTTTCCTCTTGAAATGGGTAAAAGGAAGCGATTTTGTACCTCAGCATTTTTTAAAGATTTGAGTAAAAGAATCACAGTTTCTTCGTAAGAACGACCCATCAATCGACCTAATTTTTCGTACATAGATCCAATACAAATCGTCGCTGCCCTGTGAAATAAAATTGACAAAATACAGGAACAGGTATGAGTAATGTAGATTTATAAAAGGTTTGTCCAATATATTGTAAAATGTAATAAGCACTTACAGTCTGGTAGGTAGATAACTAGGGGAATCATCTTTGGTTTTAAGTATATCATTACATTTATTAACGGCTTCAAAAAGTAAAAAAGTATCACCAACATTGAATAGAGTAGCTAAACATCGGCCAATTAATCTTCTTGCCGGTGCTCCTGGATTATTGGTAATTTGTTTAAGAAGCTGTTCCACCAACTGTTTCTGGTACTCTTTGATTTCGGTCTAAGTATTAAGATAAACATTCATTAGTAAATGTGCAGAATATTTACCAGGTTTGATCGATTTAAAACTGAATTCACAAACCTTTGGAGAGCTGTTAAGGCCTTTATCCAAATTTCTTAACCATTCAAGAATGTACAATTCCTTCTTGATACCAGAAAGCTCATTGAATGCTGCCTCATTCAATAATAGTTTGCTTGTTGATTCCATACTATCAGATTTACAAGGATGTGATACAAACTAATAATCAAAATAGACCATAGAAGACTTTAAAATTCAAACAGCTGACTGTGGAGCAATTTATGGACTCTAAGTCTGCTCGATATAAACATTGATGCTACACCAGTTGTTGGTGATAAATGTCAAACTGGAAGATGATAAACAATTCAATGGTCGATGTACACGATTTGTTAATAAAAATATCACTTTGCACACGTTGATGGGATATTTAAGGTAAAACAAGGTAAAATCAAAATACTTAATAAAATAAAATTCAAGAGCAAGTCTTGCCTCAGAGTTGTCATTTCACTTGAAGATAGAAACACATGATGGCAATTCAATATGAAATTTTGGTTTAAGTAATTTACATTATACAAATCTCCCAACCATCAAAAATCTAGAGCAAAGAAAAACAATGATCTCATTAGATCAACCAACAATTAATTATGTAGTTGAAATAATTCACCATCAACCAAGACAGGATGGTAAACTGTATGGTTGCACGTTATACCTTAAAAGGTTGAATTGATGGAGAAAAATGTGTAGGCATTGAAGAAACAGAAAAAGAAAGAGAATGAGAAAGAGAGGTTAGAGAAGGAGGAAAAAGTAGACAGAAAGAAAAGTAAGTCTCTTTTCCAAAAACTGTCTCACTAATTTATTTGAACTGAAAAATTCAATCTTTAAATGAAATATAATAAAATGTCAGCATTTTATCATTGAACGAAAGAAGAGTCAAAGAGAGAAATATTTAACTCATCTAACTTTATTAATCACCATTAAACAGTAACCAACAGCATGTTACTCTGCGTATTAGAAACTTTGAACTGTATTGAAATATCTTTTCAATTTCCTGATGTTTGAAATCAAATTAAAATGTAATTTCTGTGGATAAATGAAATTAAAAGTCCGTATTATGTCTGATGTAGTCCGATTCTCAAAACAACTAATGAAACATTCTCAGTTGCCTTTTTGAATCAAAATGATATTGTTTTTACTTCAAACAATTTTCAATTGATTAAAACCAAGACGATGAAATACTGTCCACCAGTGATCAACTGCTCTAGATACATTTAGAGTTGAAGTGTAAATAGAATGGTATTTTCCCGTATCGCTTCGCCAACTTTGAAAAATCTTCAGAATGTATTTAATTTAATTTTGAATCAAATGCATAATGACATTAATGCTGGTCCAGAGTACAAAAGATGTTTTATCTTTGGAAGTCTCAAATGTTAGATGAAATAAATCATAATTGTTTTTGCTGATTAGTTTGTTTGTTTTGTGTACGTTCTTTGAGTAAGATTAAAGCTTTTCAATCTATTCAATAGTCTGTTAGAAAATTTTCAGATAAAATGAAACATGAAACAGGACACAGAATCAATTCCTACCATCCTTTAATCAAAGTTAGTATACAGTTTTCGGCAGATTTTATACAGAAAAATGGAGTAAAACATTAATGTATAATTTAAAACAATAAAATGAAGAAGCAAGAAGAATAAATAATTTTTGAAATCAAACAGATTGCAGTGAATCTTGACCAGGCTGCTCAACAGTTAATGATGATTTCTCGAGCGGTTTACCTTCTGAGCGACATTTCAATTCACTTTCAACTCTCGAAACAAAATCTTCATCTTTATCAACCATCTTGTACAAATTTTGCTCTTTAATGATCGGCTCATAGATTTTGGCCACTTTCAAACACTGATCCAATGGGACACCTTTACTTAGACCATATTCAATAGCAGTTGGACATCCTTTTGGAACCATCAACGGACCTTGACATGGTCGAGTACAAGAACCACCAAGAAACTCGGGAACGTTTTTAGGGTCAATGAAGTCAAACAATTGCTGTCGAGAGATGAATTTGAGAATTGAACGTTCACTTTCCGGGACAAGTTGCTTCACAATCAACCAGCCAAATTTAAATATTTTGGGCATATCAATGACCAAGATTTGCTTTAAACAGGCTGGCAAATACGTTCTCATGATGTTGATTGCATGCCAAATGAATTCAAATTCAGCGTTTTTCACACCACAGCCTTGAAAGTCGATAAGAACCGTGTAAAAGGCTCCTTGAAGTTTAACATCCAAGTCATAGAAAAATTTGGATGCCCATTTAATTGCATGAGGAACCATTGGTCCACATCTTAAAATGTATTTAACTCTAATGTAAATGGTAAAATTGCCTTCCAAATCAGGCTCATAATCGAAAAGAACACCAATTGTGTAAAATTCCGATGGAAAATGGTTTGGCTTTAATCGACGGAAATCTTCTCGTTTAATCCATTTCAATGTTTCAATCATCATTTTAAAGGCCGAGTCAACATTGCGTTTACGGGAGATGAGAAAGCGTTTCACAAAAAAATCATCTTCACTGATCTGGAATACATTTAAATTGGCAAAGAAAAATAAGATTAGCTTATAATTCAATTAGATCCAGTGTAAGAATCAAATCATTTGATTCAAATGGTAACCTTCAATCAATAAGCATGCAATCACATGGAAACTTGTTCCAATTAAACCTGATATTGATCATGAGTGATGGTCAGCTAAATTTGTTTTTTCATTTCAAATTCAATCATCTAAATATATTTTGAAATTGGTTTTGTCTTAAACTCGGTTTAATTGTTATTAGGTTATAATGTTAAGGGGATTGTTATGTTTACATTACCCTTTTGATATCCTCTTCATCAAATTGGTCGGCATTGGTTTTGATAAATTCACTGAATCTCTTTTGCATCTCCTTAACAAGTGGACCACTCTTGTTGGTAACTTGTTTATTGTTGTTGATAGACATTTTTAATCTATGGTCAAGATAACTTTGAAAGCTGTTGATCGATGTTTAATTGTGAAATTAAAGATGTAAAATGAATAGCAATTTAATGGCCACTGATCATGAAAAATATAGCAAAACTGGAAACAAGTTTAAAAGAGACGGTTGATAGTGAAACTGAGCGAATAAATGTGGATCTGGATAAAGCAAGAATAAAAATAATCAAAAGTACAACAAACTCATTGGAATCAATGGAGTCAAACAGGGAAAGTTTCAATGTGAAATATCCTCAGGGTTATTTTTTAAGCATATCTGTCTCGATTCAATGGTAAGGTTGGTAATTGAAGAGTTGCTGGACAAGTTACAGCCTTGAAAACTTGATTAATTTGCTCTTCCATTTTGGGCTCTTGATTGTTGTAATCAATATACGATAGAAGGTCATTTACTCAGTTTGATATGTTTTTAACAATTAAATATACAAATCTAACGGATTTACAAGGAAAGATTTTGAAACAAACTCATAACTTGTTCAAATTTGTGCGCCTAAATTTTGATTCGCAATTGAAAGATTGTATGATGGAAACAGCTGATCAAGACATTCATGGCGCCATTAAACAATCAAGTTTAAACCCTCAAATGTTAATGTTGAATGTTATACCTTAATGATTCATAGGATCTTGTTGACTGTTAAGTTTAATTTTATAGTTAGTTATGGTTCATAGTTTGTGGATCGGGCTTCACAGTAAAGTTCAAAGTCGATGGAGTGTCTTAAATGTTTGAAGACTAGATTAATTTCCGACCCTTGAGCTCATATTGAGGGCTAAAATTATCTCTGAAGTTGTGTCAACAGGATAACAATCAGATGGGCAAACACTTCTTGAATCTGGACCTAAGCTTGATTATCAACAATTAAAGTATTTACTTATGAATATTTAATACCATAAAGTGCCCACTTAAGTTTCTTTCCGTTAGATGTCACCCATAGAAACTTTTGTATCTTAAGTGGAAATTGAAGCTTGTTTTTTCCATTTAGATTTTAAACGCTTACCCATTCTAATGTTAGTGTACCATTATTAATGATCTTTACTAACTTTTCATTATCCTCATTATATTTCATTCATTTAGTTATTCATTTCATTATTGTGTAGTTCAATAAACAGCCATGAGTGACAACTCTAGAGCAAGAGTTGGTTTTGGTCGTGGCCTAATCAGGAATAAAGCATTACGGGGACCAGAACCAGTACCATCAACAAGTCGAGGGATACAAATCAAACGTGAACCAGACACTGAACCTGAATCTCCAAATAATTTGCGGCCTGATTCTCAATCAACGAATAATTCGAGGCCTGATTCTCAATCAACAAACAATTCGCGACCTGCTACTCAATCTAATCCTGCGATTTCATTTAGTGGACTTTCGGGTGCTGCTCTTTTGAACTTTTGTAGTTTCTCTTATACTCCTTCTACTAGTTCTACTCGTCCTGGTCCTTCTACCAATTCTACTCCTTCTACTAGTTCTACTCCTTCTACTAGTTCTACTCCTTCTACTAGTTCCACTCCTTCTACTAGTTCTACATCTTCAAATCGTCTTGAAATGCCTCCTCGATTATCCGATACATACAACAAAAATAGTTACACTTTTGAACCAGAAGTGAAAAAAGTTAAAAATGAACCAAGAAATCAAAAGTAAGTATAAGTGCATGAATCAATAAGCGAACTTTATGATTTAATTACGTATAATTTTCATTTCCTGTAGTGATGACAGAGAACATCAAGCTTACGTAAAGAAAATAATTGAAAGAGAACAGAGAGAAGCTACCGTAAGTTATCCCTATTATTCATTTGAACAAATCTAGAGTTTTGTTTAAAATTTTCGATAGAAAATTTCTAAGAAGTAAATAATCCTCTAATGTCGATAATGCATCTGCTATTCTTTCAGCGATTTATGTTTCGTCCTAATGCCAGAGTTAATGATGTCAAAATGGAGATTGATGATGATGCATCTTCCATTTGTCCCACTTTGGACGGTGTTAGTACTTGTTTGGACGAAATAAATGAAGTCTCGGACGAACACTTTCGCCTCGAGGCGGATAAATTCTTCAACATCAAGAAAAATATTGATTATAATGATACTCCATTGCCTATTGTAGCAAAGCAACAACTGATTGTTAAACAAGTGCAAATGAATAGAGTTGTAATCATTAAGGGAACAACTGGGTGTGGTAAAACGACTCAAGTTCCTCAATTCATCATGGAGGATTGTTACTCTCGAAAAAAGCATTTTAACATTGTTGTTACACAACCACGAAGACTCGCTACTAAGAGTATAGCTACAAGAGTCTGCGAAGAACGTGGCTGGAATATCGGAGAACTTGTTGGTTATCAAATTGGAATGGATAGGACTGCAGGAGAATTGACCAGACTTTTATATTGTACGACCGGTGTTCTTCTTCAAAAACTTATCGCCGAAAAAAAGATGGACAATTATACTCATATAATCATCGATGAGGTTCATGAACGTAGCGCTGAAACTGATTTGCTGTTAATGGTAGTGAGAAAATTTCTATGGACACAAGCAGCGCCTGTTAAAGTTATCTTAATGAGTGCAACAATCGATTCGACTAAGTTTGTTGACTATTTCAGCATAAAAACAACCAGTGGTATACCAATCAAACCTTATGAAGTAAGAATCACAGAGACTGTTCGGCCTATTCTGAAACAATATATTGACGCTTTTCCAAAACAATGGATCGAAGAGGCTGGTGGTAATCCTAATGAACCAGATTACTTAGCTTTGGACATTGACGATCCAAATATTCATCCAGTTTGTTATAGGCTGTGTGCAATTATGATTAAGTACTTTGAAAGTCTTGATAAATCATGTTCTCGACGTGGAGCTGTTCTTGTTTTCTTGCCTGGTTATGAAGATATTAGATATATGACGAGAAATTTGGATGCATTTGCAACTAGACATAATCTAAATTGGCTGATTCTACCCCTTCACTCTACGATCACTATCGAGGAGCAACAAAGAGTATTCATTCCAACAAGATTGGGTGAGAGGAAAATTATTCTATCAACCAATATAGCCGAAAGTTCAATCACAGTACCTGAAGTTGTTTACGTTATAGACTATTGTTTAACCAAAAGTTTGGTTTGTGATAGGATGACAAATTATCCAACTTTAAAATTAGAATGGGCATCGCAAAATAACTGTGAACAGCGTGCAGGTCGATGTGGTCGAGTTCAAGAAGGTCGAGTATTTCGAATGGTTACTTCAGAGTTTTATGACAGATACATGAGGAATGATGGTGTACCTGAATTGTTGCGTACACCTTTAGAGAACTCAGTTTTGACACTTAAAGCTCTAGATCTTGGTTCACCCAGAGAGTCGTTTGCTCTTTGTATTGATTCTCCTAATTTATCGGACCTTAAAAGGGCAATCGTAAGACTAAAGAAAGTTGGTGCCTTAACTATAACTATTAATGGTAGATATGACGAAGAGGATGGAGAATTGACTTTCCTTGGAAAAACAATGTCTTATTTACCTTTGGATGTTCAATTATCCAAACTTGTAATGATGGGCTATCTTTTTGATTGTCTTGACGATTGCATCATAATAGCTGCCTGTCTTTCATTGCAAAACTTTTTTGAAAAAGGTTTTGATGACACCATCCGAGCTTATAAAGCACGCTTAGCATGGACTGAAAAAACTTTCAGTGATCCTATCGCTTATTGGTACGCTTATCGGACATTTTTCGATATGGTTAATGCTGATATATTTGAGGTACACTCGAAGAAAGCCAAGGCATGGTGTAAAAGAAATTTTGTTCAATATAATAGATTGAAGGATGTCATTAATTTAGTTGATGAACTCAAAAAAAGATTAAGTTGCAACGGAATTTACACCGAAGAGAGACCCAATATGGTTAGAGATAAATTTGAAGACCAACTTATTTTAAAAGTTATCATTGCTGGAGCTTTTTTCCCATACTACTATGTCCAGTCACCTGTCTCAAATCCTGATATTCGTAAAGAATTAGCTGATAAATCTCATTTAGATACTGTTAAGCTAAGCCATTTACCCCAAAACGAAGGTGTTTTATATGTTAATCAAATCAAAAAAGCATTATCTGATATTGATGAACACATGGAACTTGAATTTGAAAGCACTCATTGTTACATTACATTTCACGCTGCCGAAAATGACATACTCGCTCAAGCCGTTGCTGCACAAACTGATGGCATGAATGTCCCAAGAATAGATGGAGCATTGTATCAAGAATCGATGCTTAATAGGGAAATATTTAGAGAGAACACCGTTAAAACTGCTGTTTATTTGGCAATAAAACTAAAACGCGCTGGACGTCCAATCTTAATCACTAAGTACAAACCTCAAATTGCTTCCCAACGTATTAAAGCTCTTGCGGCTATTAGAGATGGTAAAATCGAGGCTTCCAATAACTTTAAAACAAGTCGTTTCATCATTTCTCCTTTTAAAAGTTGTCGTATACCAGAAGCCCGTTTACCATCAAAGGGCAAAAAAAGTATTGATGTCTTTATCACAGAAGTCGATACAAATGGCCATTTCTGGGCTCAAATGCGTGAACAGCAAACAAAAACCATGTTAGCAGAGTTACAAAAAGCCTATGCAGAAGCTTTCAAACCTTCGACTTATCCTTATAATGATCCAAAAGTTGGTGATATGATACTAACACGCTACGAAAACGAAATGATAAATTGTTCTGAAGTCTGTAGAGCAAGAGTTGTCAGAGTTGAAAGAGATAAACGTCGACTCGAAGTTTTTTTCATCGATTTTGGAGGATTCGGTGTTGTTGAATTTGAAAGTCTTAACAACTGTGTTCGCCTTGATCCTACAAGAATGCCTGCAGTGCTTTTTACAATACCTGCGTTAGCTATGGAATGTCGTTTATGTGAAGTAAAACCGGCACCAGGTCGAGTTATGATCCAAGAAAATCGCTATTCTGATTTAAATACATTCAGACATCTTGTAAGTAATCGTGAGGACATCTATGGGATGATTTACTCAGTGGTCAATCAAGTTGTTGCGCTTAAATTATTCAGAGCATGTGATGATGGCATTTCGCTAAATGACAAATTAGTTCTTGATGGTTTATTTGTAAAAGATGAAGAGAGAATCGCATCTAAATTAGATTGTGATATTCGTATGAATGCCTCTGCACCAAACGGTTTTGTTGAACCTCTTTATTCGCTGAATGAATGTTGCACTGTGGAACCGTTAGATGTTGATGAAGAAAAATATATGGATGACCGTCTTGTTAATAGCTACAGTAGTCCATTCACCAAAGAAAGAATAAAATTGAGTGGTCCTCACACGCCTATTGAAGTCAATTTTCAAGGAGTAACTAAACAAGATTCAGTGCTTCGTGTCCAGGTTGATACTGATTCTGTTAACTCTGTTTGTTGTGATGCAAATCCAGAAAAACCAAGTCCACGTCTTCTAGTTGCGTCTATTGTCCAGCTTCATCAAGAGCAGAATAGATTAACAATAAGAAATACAACTTTAATGCCTGATATAGTAGGTTTCCCTTACATCATGGCCATCTTATTCACACCCAGAGTTGAATTTCGTGTTGATCTTGATAATCTTCAATATCAAGGAGGATTGTTTGGACTTGGGTACGATGAGCAAACTAGACAGTCTTATGATCCAAACAATGACATGGAACTGGAATTTAATTGCTTCATTGACAATGAAGATATTGCTGATATAAATTTACTTCGTTTCTTAATAAGTCAAGTGATATCACAACAAAAAACATTCGATGAAATCTCTGGTCAATCTTTGTTCAAGAGACAACAGGATATAAGACAGCAAATATTGAAAATATTATCAAAGAACAGAACCACTTTGCCAGTTCGAAATAAGTTCGCTCGTCAATTTAAATGGATTGATCCGGATCAACCTCAAATCAACGAAAGTCCAGATGAACTTGGACCTAACCCTTTCTATTTAAGTCATAGTGCTATTCCTCAAATTACTTTTACTAACTTTAAAGATAAATTGGCCGATAATCTACAGAGTCTGAAACACGTTGTCAACGGGTAAGTCAATATAGAACTTTTTTTGCGTAAAAAACGTCATCGAATCTTTATTCATCCACTTTATTTTTTTCATTTCAGCAATCTACGCGCTTCCATTAAATGTCAACTCTGTGATGTAAAACTTTTCAATCGAAATTCTATTTTTGACCATTTAATAACACCAGAACATGTCGCATTAGTCAAAAATATATTTGAGCCATCGCAATGGCCCGAATTTGCATTGCGAAATGAATTTCGATTGCAAGATGAACCTGAAACGCCAGATGAACTTGAAGTGCAAGATGGAAATCAATCAGATGGAGATATGTGGCACCCTTAGATGAAAAATGCATATTATGTCACCAAAAGTTCAAGTTGTGATGAATCTGGAAAATTGAGGAGAAAAGAGTTACTGGATTCATTTTCAATATTTATGTTTGATTTACATTTTGGAAATGTTCAATTTTCGTTTTATAAGCCATACTTTACTATTTATCTTTATTTTGTTAAATCTCATAAATTGAAAAAATATTAGTTCTTTCTAAGTTATGATTACCAAATTACCGATTTTCTATTAATCTATAATCACGAAATCTTCATTGATCTCATACTAATGTGATTCTATTTATCTATTAATAATAATTTCATTCATCTCACTAGAGTCCACCATTTCCTAATTGCGACTTCAATCTTTACGCTTTAGAACCTTCACAAATCTATGTTTTTTTTAAAAACCAAATAAACATTTGTTATTAGATTGTATTTATTAATATTACATTTATTATTTATTATCAAATTGGTTTCAATTTTTGATACAATAGAATGTACATTTATAGTTAAGAAAGATAATTATGCAGATTAGTGGATACAGCAAAATACCAGATAATGTCAATAAATCAACCAATGGCCCTCAACCCTTTGATTCCATGTCTTATAGAGAAAGTTTTGGTTGAAATTATCAAGATATTATTGAGAAAATAGAATACTTTGGCAAATTTCAACTTAATTATTAATCGAACTTGATAGTGTTAATTTTTAAGCTTTTCTGGCAATTAAAGGTTACTTCCATCAGCCATTTATTGCGATTCAAAATCTCAATGTGTTGTTATTTATGGCTTGGTGTGACATCACACCTTCTTATCTTCTTTCCATGATTCTTTCAATTTAAAAAATTAGATTCGATGAATTGAGATTTGATAGAAGTCACCTTAATTTAGATTTTGTTAGGTATTTCGATTAATTACTCACAAGTTAATAACATTATCCGGTACTTTACTATAACACCAAAATGAGATTATTGATCTTCAAAGAAGAATCGGAACAAATGCGTTTCAAAAATTAAATCAACTTTACATGGGTGAGCCATCATATCTAAAAGATCTCATATGATCAAAGTCAGGTCCACGTCCTATGGAAGAATCAGGTCCTGGTCTAGGGCCTGAAGGACCTAAAGGACCTAAAGGGCGTCCAGGAGTGCCTCCAGGGCCAAATGGGTCAAAACGGGCACCTGGGGGCGGCCGAGGAATCATACCAGAAGGTGACGGCATAAAGTTAGGGGGTTGATTAGGTCTTTGAGGGTTAACAAAGTGACGTTGATCATAAGGATCAAAAAGCATTCCACCTCCGATCCCATCAGCAAATGGATCAAGATCAGCTCGTCCAATGTTCGGAATCGGTGGTGCTCCAGGATAATATCGTGGATCTCGCGCTTCTCGTAGATCTTGAAACCCACGAGCAGGACGAGCAAGCTCATCAACGTTTTGTTCTTGATCTTTCGATTTTTTCTCCATGATGTTACTTAAAGCGAATCACAAATATAAAAAAAAACAAAATACAATAAACACAAAGTGAATGAGACAAAAACAACTTTTCCTATTCAAAACATATGTTTAAAAGTTGACTCCATCTATGCTCAATACAACACAACTGAATTAATGCCATTTATTCAATTGTGATGATACAATGGCATTGTAAGAATATCCAAATTTGTGTAAAACAAGATTATCAAAAATAATAAAATGTCAACGAAAATGATTGAAGATGTTGCAAAAATATTTTTTGATTGAATTATATTATTGGTTCTCTTTCAGCAATATTAATCGATGCTTTTGCAAAATATAAATGTAACCAATTCTATTGAATTTTTATTAAATTTTAACGGTTATATTGCTTTGTTTAATTCAAAAGAGTAAAAGTTACAATAGTTGATTGTTCGTTGATCAGTATAAAGGATCTGATGAATGACCAATAATCTTTAATCAATTTTTAAATTTGATTATAAAAAATATCCTTTTTGCCCTTTAAAATTAGCGGGAGATATTCTGTAACCTGGTAACCAGTTTCTTTTAACTGGGGGGGAGACTAACCACGGTTACTGGTTACTGGTTGTACTAAACATGATTGACTAAGGCAACTCGGCTGTAGGCAAAACCTGAAAGCTTTTTAGTCAAAATCTGTTTCTATTTGTTATTCAATTATTTCATTATTTAATTAGTTATTGTTTATTTATTGTTATTGAATTTCAAGAGTGGCTCCAATAAGGTAGAATATGAGGAGGAGAAATGCCGATTTTTGTGGCAAATTTCGTCGACCTGTCAAGAAATCCAAGCTGACCTCGAGTGGATTTTATGGAAGGTAAATATAATCTAATCTTCATCATCTGACTTGAATGTTTATATCAACGATTGTTTTCTGATTACTCAAGCTTTTCATGCTAGTTTTTTATCTATTGTAAATCACTCAAGATTATTATTATAGGTTGTTACTGACAGTTTATTACCATCTAAGGTTAATTAATATAACTTGTAATTGGTAACCAATTTTAAACCTTCATTCATCCACATGTAAATATTCACATCTTTTAGTCATTATAAATTGACTCACCTTTTCTTTGCATAATATTATTGGCGGGGATGTTTTGCTAAATCAATTGAACGATGGACTCATCTGCAAACCCTTTTTAGCTTCAATTCGTACTCTGATTTGTGTTTCTTGCTTTTCCTTGATGATGTCAAATTTCTCATTTTCCCCCAACATTGAGCTGTTACCCTTTTTAAACTTGTGTACTTTCCATTGAATCATTCAACAGTTTCACATGTATCCCCGATGAGTTTCCTCAGTCCATGACCTATACTATTTAAAGCAAATAGATTAGCTTATTTAACTTTTTAGTGCTAAACATTTCGTTTTTATTAAAGCTTGGGTTTAACTTGTTGAATAGCTCTCGATGTTATCCAATCTTCACCTTAGTAAATCAATGTATTCTTTACCTTTTCTTTCCAGCACTTTTATGTACTTGAAATTTTTGATGGTTTGGTCTTTCGTACTTTTTGCTGATTTCATTCTCGAATTCCGATTTGAGTATTTGTGGCCGTTCTGGTTGCTGATACGAAGTGTTTACGACTCCTTTAAATACCAAGGATTGGTAAGCAATATTTGTCACTTTTTTCATCATCTTGCTCATCATATCAAAAGTAAAAGTGAAAAATTGTTGATAAAAAATAATTTTTTTGTTAACGGTATTGTATCGTTTTCTACTCATCATGTATTATATTTCAAGTTATTGATTCAAACATTTTCCCTATCATTTGATTAACGTAACGATTACTTTGATTTCCGTTTCATTGCAATTTGTTTTAATGAATAGTCCTTATTTTAACTTTACCTCACAAATTGATAATTGGCATAAGGAGAAGCTTAAAATAGCTTTCCTATTTTTTTCAACATTGACTTTTGATTGATGAGCTACAAAGTTGATGAATGATTTAGATATTTTGAACTATTGATTACATGTTTCTATGATTATTAATTTTTTTCTCCTTTTTGTATTCGTTCTTTTTTCTATATTAGGCTTTCTCAGTCTTTTTCGTTTTCATTGCACTCACATCCGATATGATCTGTTTCCTTCTAATCCCTGTTCATTGGTTATTTTTTGTTGCCAGTACATATGTGTGGGTACAATATGTCTGGCACACCGAAAAAGGAATATGTCTTCCGACATTATCACTTTGGTTACTATTTGTATATATTGAAGCATCGTTTCGCCTGAAGGAATTAAAGAACCTTCCTTTTCATTTAGACCTTTGCAGACCTTTTGCGGCACACTGGTGAGTATCGTTAGCATCTTTGAAATTTAGCTTTTTAATCTTGATTAATTTTATTTTCATCTTTTTTTCTTCAGCATCGGGTATTCAGTGGTAACTTTGGGTTTTGGTTTTAAAAGTCATGTCAGTTATAAGATGAGGCTGAGAAAACAATCGGAGGTTGCAAAAGAAAATGAATTTTATTTCGAGCTTCTCCAGAAAGCTTTACCACAAGAAACTTGCGCTACCAATTTAACTGACAATACCTCTGTCATCTCTAACTGTGTTCCTCTTCCATTAGCCTTAAATCATAATCACCATAGTCTCAACAATAAAAAGGCCATTTCAGGAAGTTCCAATGAAAAAACTCCAACCGTGAGCCATAATTCGTCAAACATATCCAAATTGAATAACGAATATGACTCTAAGAAAAGCTATGCTAATGGTATTGACAAGCAAGAGCTTCAATTCATGGAAAATCCAATCAACAAGAAACCACTCAGTGAATATGAGAATGATAGTAATATAAGCGATTGTAATCATGAAGAATCATTTAAAAACTTAACATCATCACTTTCACCAAACAAATCAACTGAAAAGTTGACAAATTCTATGGCATCCATTTCACTCTCATCTTCAAACAAATTGAACCACTCATCCAACCATGTAACATCTAGTAACTCCAATGCCAACTCCTTACCTTTTGGTAATGTTCAGTCTTTAAATATTTCAAATAAGAAAACCAAAAACAATTTGGCTAACAATTTAACTTCTCAAAAAGATGAGCTTGTGATACGGTAAGTCCTTTCATTATAAATGTATATCCAATTAATCGTGCATACCTAATCGATTGTTTTGTTTTAATTTCCATTTCTTCACAGCCTTGAAGCAGATATTAAGAGACTTAAAGCTTATTTACAAGCCAGTCGTCAAACGGAACTTGAATTAAAATCTCAGATTAATAGTCTCCTATCTGAAGAAAGAAGTCTTAAAAGTGAATTATCTACATTACAGCAAGACAATGATAGCCTGCAGACTAGGCTACATAACTTGTTGTCTGCTCGACAGCAAGATAAGCAAACAGTATCACAATTAGAAAAACGTTTGCAAGAAGAAAAGAAATCAAGAGCGTCTTACGAGAGTCAACTTGCCAGTGAAAGAAAAGCCAAAAAAGACGAAGCAAATGCCAGAGCAGCTGCGGCAGCTGCAAGAATAGAATGTACAGAGATTTGTAAAAACAAAAGAAGAGAGCTTGAAAGTGAATTAAAGCTCTTGAGAAAAGAAATTAAAGTTCGAGAAGATCAAGTGAAACAGATTGATTGTGAGGCACAGGTAAGCATTGTAAATCTTTATCTTTTTCCCTCAGGTGTAATCAAACATCTAAGAATATTATATGATGTTTTTCTGAACTGTTTTTTCTTTCTTTTAACAGTCTCTCCGTCAGTATAAAGAATCTCATGGAGATACAGAAATACTCTTGTCCGCTCTGTCTGCTATGCAAGACAAGAACGCACATTTGGAAAATAGTTTAAGTGCAGAGACAAGATTAAAATTGGATCTCTTTTCTGCCTTAGGGGAAGCGAAAAGGCAGCTCGAAATTAACCAAGGTAAGAATTGTAAGGATGAATTTTATTTACTTTTTTCCATCACTTTGCTCTATCGTTTGTTTTATACATGTTATTTTAATTTATCCCTATATTTTTCTCGTTTTTCAAGCACTATTGCAACAAAAAGAGAGACAAATCGAGGAACTTGAGTCAACAGTGGACCAGCTTAAAGCCCGTTTCACAGAATTGTTAGCGGTTATGCCAGCAACAAACGCATATACTGGTATTGATAGTGATATTGTGTCATCCCTTATGCTCAACTCCAAGTTCATGCCAGATCCAAATGATTCTCATGAATCATCCATGAAATCTCCATTGGATCCTAACGCACCCATTTATACTCCTAAAAGCCCTGATCTCTAACCCAGTCTACCTGATCTCTATCCCATCCAACTTGATGATAGGTATGATCAAAATGATCATATTTACCATTTTAAATAAAATAATCAAGTTAATAAAAATTAATTAAGCCACAGTTGATTATAAATAGTTTTTTTATTTTCACGTTACACGTAACGCCGAATTTCAGAATCATGTTTTTATTCAAAATGCCTAGCCTTGAGTGCTTATCTCATGAATTCTCAAATAGAGTAACCGGTTACAAATAACTGGTGGTAAACTAAATACTGTTACTGGTTGTACTAACCATGTCTTAATCAGAGCATCTCTGTGCTTAGAATCTCAGAATTGAGACACAGGTTATTCATTTTACTGTTTTGATGCTTCATATTCGAAGGTATTAGTAACTGATAGATGGCGTCTTGCTTTCCATAGGAAAGAGTGATAGCGACGTCTCTCTTCACATTCTGAGAATGTCATTCTCAATGAATCTTCTAATAAACCATCTAAGGTAATACTCAATTGTTTGTGTTTTAAAATTTTTGATTGTGATGATTGAAGGACACATAAACTGAATGCTAAGTGAAATTCGCCTCTTGCTTCTCTCAGATCCATCTTTAGTCTAGTTTATGGATCATTTAGGTTAATAAATATCTAAAAATCAATTCAACTTATAGATCATTCCAAGCTTAACCATGGGACTTTTATACAACACTCAACTCACTGTCTATGGAACCACTTTATTCACCATAATATGTATTTCTCTATATTATATGCTAACCGGGAGAGGTTCCCGTATGGGTGATATTCAATGGCTTCTGGAAGGTAAGTTCAATATAATTTTTGTTGTGAACTGTCAAACCGCTTGTTTTGCCCGTGTTTCTAAATTCAAATGTATCTAATCTTTCTCAACACAGGCATTTCTCCCTATATGTGGTGTGCATTGGGTATTGGATTATCCATATCACTGAGTGTTGTTGGAGCTGCTACTGGCATTTTCACTACCGGAGTATCAATTGTTGGAGGTGGTGTGAAAGCTCCTAGAATACGAACTAAAAATCTAGTATCTATCATCTTCTGCGAAGCTGTAGCTATTTACGGAATTATTTTGTCCATTGTGCTTTTGAATACCGTTGAGCAATTTAATCCCATAAAAGCTGAAGAGAGCTTTGAGATCAAGGCCAAAAACTATTTTTCTGGGTATTTAATGTTTGCTGCTGGCTTAACAGTTGGAATGAGCAATTTATTCTGTGGTATATCAGTTGGTGTTGTTGGTAGTGGAGCTGCCCTTGCTGATGCCGCTGATCCAACTCTCTTCATCAAAATTCTTGTTATTGAAATTTTCGCATCAGCTATTGGATTGTTTGCTCTTATTGTTGCTATAGTCATGACAGGAAAAATCTCAATGGGATCTGGATAAATATAAAACTGTGTGGAAATAAAGCCAAAAAGAAACCAAAAAACAAATGATTTCACGATCATTCCATCATTTAAGATGCAAATATACACCATTTATTGTATGAAACCTCATCAGTTACCGCTCATCTTAATCGTGTTTGGTTCTTTGTTGATTGTCTAATGGTGATCTTTTAACAAAAAAACATAATCATTTAATCAAGTCAAGCCTAAGATCTTTTTTTTATTTGATCTCATTTTTCATTCAATCATGTACCTTTAGTTATACATCTATTTAAAGCATTTAAACCTGTAACTAATTATTACCCCCAATCAGAGCTGTGTTCTACCCGTTTGATTCTCAGATAAATAAGAATCTCATCTAAGTATTTAAAAATTATTTGAATCAATAAAACTTTTGTTGGATTTTCAAAACAAATTTAATGTCTCGTTCAAATTGACATATTTAACTGCAAAGTTTCGATCAATTACAAAGGTCAATATGTTGATGCTATTCAATCTAGTTATTTTACTTTTAAATTACAGACCTCAGATTATTGTATATTTTCATGATAATTTTATAGCATTCATCATTTTTGATTGTCTTAAAAATTTACCGGAATCAGTTGGAGTGATTAGAAACTTAGCACCGTCTATCGGATCAGTAGAAATTTAAACTAACAGCTGAGACTATCATTGACAAGTTGTGTAACAGAGGCTAAATTTATTGTGATCCTTGTAATTAATATTTTGTGCCATTTTAAATTGAATTTTTCACTAATTTTGTTGAATTTCTGTTGATTCGTATATGTATTAGGCCATTCAACCTTATGATTCATCAAATCGTGTTGATCTACTCCTTTTGAAAAACAAATTGATCATCTGTTCATCTGACATTTCTTATAGCGCAATTATTCTTGTTTTGCAAACCTTCTAGATTTTATCATTCTACCGGTTCAATCAATTGCAATAAATAATTCTATTCTGTCTTTAGAGGAGATGATTTCCAATGTGAACCAAAACACCTCTTTGTCAGTATCTTCAGATCAAAAAGGTACAGAAATTGATGCTGAAATGACAACCGCATCCAATGATAGCAACCAATCTGAAAATATAGTCAACAAACATAAAGATAAAAGTCCAATGTGCTTGGTTAATGAGCTTTGTCGATTCAATTCAATCACTTGTCGATATGAGCTGATTGAAGAATCTGGAGTTCCTCATTCAAAGATCTTTTCAGTTGTCCTGAAATTGGGCGATAAAGAAGAGTATCGTGCTAATGCTCCATCAATAAGAAAAGCTCAACATGCTGCAGCCTCTTTAGCTCTAGTTTCAACCAAATTCCCACTACCATCGCCAAAATCTGAACGCAAAGCTGCTAGAAGCAATTCACAACTTACACCAACAGTGGAATTAAATGTTTTGGCCATGAAACGCAGAGAACATGTCCAATATCACGTTTATGAGCAACCAGTTCGTCCAAATCATCTATCAAATTTAATACCTTTTACATCATCTATTACCAGTCAATTACCTTCTTCTAATGGTTCACACGAGCATCATGATTATCGATCTCTTTATCATCAAAGATGCCACCTAGTTAGAGGAATGATGACTCCAATGTACATTGCAACTGTTGTTGTTGGTGAACGTCAATTCACTAGTAAAGGTAAAACAATACAGATTGCTCGTCACGCTGCTGCCGAAGAAGCCTTGAAAACTATTCGCCATCTTCCAATGCCTACTGCTACTACCATCAATATGGCCTCATCGGTATCATCTACTGAGGTACTATCTGACGATGATAGCAAATCACCGGTTAGCATGATTTATGAAGCTGCTATGAAAAGAAAATTAATGGTACAATTTGAAGTTATATCAGAATCTGGACCTTCTCACATGCCCTGTTTCATTGTGAAGTGCATAGTTGGTGCCTATTCAGCGGAAGGTAGAGGTGTTCGTAAGAAAACAGCCAAACGCAGAGCAGCTGCTGCAGTTTTAGCTGAACTTGAGGAAAAAGAACCGATTATTGAAAACTCATTCCAATCACAATCAACTGCAGGCTGTGAGTTGGACTCTGAATCAACTCTATCAGTATCGCCATCCTCGTCATCGAAAAATGGATCAATGAATCGACTAAAAAAGAGGAAACCCAATAGCAAAACTAAAAAGAAAAGAAAAGATGGTGAAAAGTTAAACAATTGTATCGAAAATTTAACATTGAAACTAGAAAATACATCTTTGGTATCTGAAAATGATTCCAGCAGTTGCTATCAAACCGAAAGCGAAACTTTAAAGTCAAACACCAGCAGTTTGAAAAATTCCACTCTTGACTCTCAAGAGGCAGCAAAATTTGATGATAAACCTTTAAAAGCCTCATTTTCGTTGAATTCTATCAGTCGACTAATCCAATTGCAATTAGCCAAAAGAGAAGGTGAACCTAGGTTTAAATTTATCTCAGAAATAGATGTCGAAAATAGGAGAAAAGAATTCACGATCCAATGTTCTGTGAATGTCCCAAAAAATTTTAGATCAGCTAATGCACCAATAGTGAATAATGAGTTAATAACCCTTGGAGTTGGATCAAATAAGAAGATAGCAAAAAGAGCGGCCGCAGAAGAAATGCTTCGAGTTTTGGGTTATTCGTCTTTACCACCAACTTCATCATCGCCTTCACACTTCTCTAATTCATTGTCACCTGTTTTGAAAATGAACTCTGTTAGTCAACAAGTAGAGTCAGTCCAAAACTGTCATTCAATCCATTCCAATCTGTTACAATGTGCTAATACCAATTCTGCTTTGGATTCAGTAGATGCTTCATCATTCAAAAATTTAATTGACAATGGTAAAGAGAGAAGAGTTAAATTCCTGGAAGAATCGCAATTAGCTGAGACTGAAAATATTTCTAAAAGATTAGAAGATCAGACAGAAAATGCACAAAATTCACCAAAATACGGACGACAGATTGCTCCTGGACTTTTATTTGTTATGAGTATGAATCAAACTGGTTATCCTATTTTAATGGATAATAATTCTGTAGATAAATTATAGACAATATTAAATACTTTAATTCAATAAATAATTTAATTAACGTAAATATTAACTCTATCAGACTCATTCTCATCATTTCATCATGTGATTTTAAATATTAATAAACTATTTGAATGTGGGAAGTGGATTTAGTTGCTTTGATATAATGTTAAAGTACATGTAAATAGTAGCACCGCGGTAACGGAAGGTCGATGATCGAAACCTTGTTTCTAAGTTTGCTTGGTTGCATGGAAAATTGATAAAAATTTGTGATTGATTTGATCCAGTTATCGACTTTAATTTATCAATAAAATTAATCATTAAATAAATAGTAATTGCTTGTGTTAATTTACATCAGGTGTGAGTCTGTCGTTCAAATCATCTGTTAATGACATTTCGTTAGAGATAGCTTAGTAAATTATATTATGAGCATTATAAACGGTTGAGTCGAAAAAGTCTGAACATTTGATTGTTCGCAGTTATGTATCTCATGATTACTTTATTAATATTTTTGTTTCAATATCTCAATCTTTCCGAAACAATTGAACACAAATTAACCTTATCCAAAGCAAATGCAGAATTGGATGAAGCAATACCATCTGACGTCCAATCTGCATGGATAAAGTATCGTGATGAGGTTAATATTGATTTGGATCTTTTTACTTCTGGTTTTGCTTCAAAAGCCGAACAAATTTTGAATGGATCAACAGTTTCTGATGAATGTTCACAAGGAATAAGGTTCATGTTGAAGCAAGGATCGAACAAAAAGATTTGGGCGATTAAGGGTAAGTCAAGTCTATTGTTTTGAATCAATAACAATAATCAATAAAACATGAAGTTAATTTAATGTTTCTTTAAAGCTCTTGATTCATGGGGACGATTCCCTCCACCCGGACTATTTAGTGGAACAGCAAGTTCATTAGGCTCATATGATCAGTGTCTATCTATTGAAACACCAAGTGAATATTTTGATACACAGTATTGTTCGGTATATTTCAATCCTGTTTTACCTCGACGTCCTGCTTTTCATAATATATTCCATGCAGTCCAGGTTTATAATCAATCCTCGAACTTAACTCCAAATCAAAATGTAAGTTATTATTTCGATTTATGAGAAAAAGTTTATTTAACTGCTATTCATTTTTTTCTTACAGGCAATTGAATTTCTTGGTTCAAAGGCTCAGTTTTTTTATTACATTCCTACAAGGATCGGAGTTTGCTTGACAACGCATTGTAATCGAGAAGAAATTGATTCCATCGTTAAAATTAGTATGTATTGAGAGTAAATCGTTAAAAATATCTGTCAATGATCTCACGAAACTAGTCTTTAATAATTGTTTTCCTTGGTTTCTTTTTTTAAAGTTGCTCGAAAAATGTACCTGAAAGGAGAAGTAGCTACATGTGAAAGTAAACTAACAATCTCACGAAACTTCAATGATCATCAAAAAATAGCTATGTAAGTAATTTCAGAATTCAATTCTGTTATAATAACTTTGCTATTCTTTCGTAGTCAAACTGACTATGAAGTTGGACTACTCTGGAATAAGCTGTATAATTAATCTCATGAGTTTCATTGTATTGCTTGGATTGTGTTGCATATTGATAGAATTAATTTTATTTCTCATGACATTCTTTTATTGTTGTCATCGGTATCAACAGAAAAATTATATTAATCCCAGTTTTATACTCAATAGTTGGTACTTTTATTGATTTATTCACGAGTCCAGGTAAGGAAATGTGAGCAAGTTTTCAAACAATTTAAATAATCTGCTCTTTTTGCATTCTTTTCCAATAGACAGAAACAATTCGTTGTTCATCTCGCTGTTTCTAGCCTTTTCAATGAAAAGAAATTTCATTTCGCTATTCTGCTCAAACCAAAAACATCAAGAATTGAAGTGTCTCAACGGAATCCGAGCTCTCACAATGACCTGGATAGTTTTTGGTCACACAATGATCACCTTGAATTTTCATGCTTTCAGTAAGACACTTTTTATATCCATAAAATTGCCCAATAAATGACAGTCAACTTGTGCACCCTGAGTCAAATGGTTTAAATTGAGTTCTGGACTTTCTTTGAATTCTATGACTTTACACCAAAAATTTTTTCTCTTCATTAGGCTATTCGTTCAACATCATTAATATAATCAAATCATTCGGTGTTCAAGCGCTTTTAAATGCTACATTCACTGTTGATACATTTTTCTTAATCAGGTGAAGCAAAAGCACATCTCATTTCCAATTAAAGTTATTAATTATTATATTCTTAGTGGCTTATTGACATCTTTTATGACCTGGCAAATGACAAATGGTTCACATAAGAAATTCAATCCATTTTGGTTCATTGTTACTCGTTATTTGCGTCTAACACCATTCATGATAATTGCTATGTGTGCAACGATTCTACTACCGACGATGGGTTCAGGCCCTCTTTGGGATCTCGCTCAATTTGGTGCTGCCTGTGAAAAAAATTGGTGGATCAATATGTTTTATATTCAATCATTTTACAAGACTGAGGAAATTGTTAGTTTACCTTTTACAGTTAACTTCGCTTTGTGTTTAATAATAAAGCAACAAATTGTCTTTTCTCTTTTCTTATTATTCAGTGTTTATTCCAATCTTGGTGGCTTTCCAGTGACATGTTTTTCCACGTTTCATCAATTATAGTTCTCATTCCGTTGCTGAAGAGTCAAAGATTGGGAATTATCATTAACTCTATCGTTATTTCATGTTTCATTGTAATTTCAGCAATCATTAATTACACGCGAAACTATCCACTCTCAGTATTACCATCAACTCCTCATGTAGAGTAAGTTGTATTTCGCTTCCAGTCTTAAAGATCCTTAATCATTCTACATTTTCTTTCAGCGAATTTTCGAAATTCATTGCAAATTATTTCATGAAACCTTGGACGCATGGACCACCGTTTTTCATAGGCTTATATCTGGGTTATTTAGTTGCCAAAAAGAAGTACATCAAAATAACTAAGGTAAATTATCAGATGACAAACAAAAGTTTTACGAACTGCATTTCATTCTTGTTACTTCCTCTCCAGAATGTATCAATGTTTGCTCAGATTATGGCGATAATTTCAATGTTGATCGTTCTCTATGCTCCATATCCCTTAACCATTGGTAAGACTTGGTCAAAATGGGCTGTCATGGTCTATGAGTCGACCAGTAGAGTAATATGGTCACTATCTGTCTCTTGGATCATTTATGCTTCAGCATCTGGTCATGGAGGTAAAACCTTTTTTCCCGCAAAAACATTTGATTAAATTTAATTTTTGTCGTCTTTTTTGATTAAGGTTTCATCAACAAGTTCTTGAGCTTACCAATATTCATACCATTTGCAAGGATATCTTATGCAGTCTATCTGAGTCATTCAATTATTATTTTTGCTTACATGGGATCGAGAAGAAACTTGTTTTTCACTGATTCATTCACCGCTGTAAGTAATCAAATGAACAAATGAGTTGTGCACTTGGCTTCAGAAAATTTACTTACACTTTTTATTCATCTTTTAGGTCAGTGTTTTCATTTCACATTGGGTTTTGTGTCAAATATTTGGTTTGATTGGAGCAGTTTTCGTTGAATATCCTTTTATTAATTTACAAAAATTGCTGTTGAATAATAGAATTGGAAAGAGCCGATCGAGGACTCGTGAACGAAATGAAGATCATACAAAAAAACTTGTCAGCTATCTTTAGCTTCAAGTCTGGTGCAAAACAATTCACGAAATATCGAAGGTTCCCTAAGAAATAGTGGGAACGAATTCAAATGTAAAATAACGTTTTTTACAATAACATATATTGATATTAAAAAATAGCTTTAAAATAAAAGATTGCACTTTTTTGATTAATTTCATACTGATATATATTTAATTGCGTGAATTAAATTTGCTTAATAAGCCAGAACACTTTCATGTAAAGCTTTTCCATTGAACTTAATGTTGTATTAATATCATAACATTTTGAAAAAAATTTAGTGAATGGCAAAACATCTAATTGAAACTAATCTATGTAATAGCATCAATTATCGTCGATGTAGAGTCGTTTCGACACTCCTTTTGAAGTAGAGCTAGCAAAGGGTATTAATTCACCAGTTAATGAAGTCTTGCTGCTTAAGAAGGATCAAAAGTCTCACAAAAGTTGAAAAAGTTAGAAATTGAAAACAAACTTTGGTTGAAAATTTATGGTAAATTGATTTAAACTGAATTAAATCGAATCCCGATTGTCTTTTCTAAGACTAGGTTAGGTTTTTCTATGTTCAATTCAATTGAATTTACAATTTTCAAAGTAAAACAATAAAAACTTTTGATCTTTTTTGAATTCAATTGTCATATTTAAAACATTTGTGTGTCAAAAATAAAATTTTGATGCGAAGATTGAATTCACCGGAACATTTAATCTAATTGCTACAAGTAACGGAAGGTCGATGCTCTAAACCCTTAAGGGATATTAGGCTACTTTTTATTAGGTTTTTTCATTATTTATTAGAAATAGATGAAAATTGGAGATTAATTTGTCCAAGTTATTGGCTTCAATTCAGACAACCGTCAAAACAAATATCAACCGAATGTTTGTTAGGAAATGATATAGAACGGAAGACAGTCTGAGTTCAATATCATATCGATCGTTAGTCTTTTAAACAAATTATTAGTCAGATTTTGTTCAACAATAACTTCATAAAATTATTTTATACTTAACATTATAAACATTCTGAAGTACCTTTAAACATTGAATAATTATAAATTAGTTTTTCGCTTTTCAACCACGATTATGCATCTTATACCTAATTTACTGATATTTTTGTTTCTCGTCGATCATTCTATTCTTGCCGAATCAGATCAACTCAAATTGACTAACATTTCTCTATCCAAAGCAAATGCAAAATTGGATGGAGCGATACCTTCTTACGTCCAATCTGCATGGATAAAGTATCGTGATGAGGTTAATATTGATTTGGATCTTTTTACTTCTGGTTTTGCTTCAAAAGCCGAACAGATTTTGAATGGATCAACAGTTTCTGATGAATGTTCACAAGGAATAAGGTTCATGTTGGACCAAGGATCGAACAAAAAGATTTGGGCGATTAAGGGTAAGTCAAGTCTATTGTTTTGAATCAATAACAATAATCAATGTAACTTAGAGTGAATTTCATGTTTCTTTAAAGCTCTTGATTCATGGGGACGATTCCCTCCACCAGAACTATTTAGTGGAACAGCAAGTTCATTAGGCTCATATGATCAGTGTCTATCTATTGAAACACCAAGTGAATCTTTTGATACACAATATTGTTCGGTATATTTCAATCCTGTATTACCTCGACGTCCTGCTTTTCATAATATATTCCATAAAGTCCAGGTTTATAATCATTCCTCAAATTCAACTCCAAATCAAAATGTGAGTGATTTCAATCTGAGGAAAAGGTTTTTATTGATTGCTATTTATTTTATTCTTGAAGGCAATTGAATTTCTTGGTTCAAAGGCCCAGTTTTTTTACTACATTCCGACAAGGATCGGTGTTTGCTTGACAACTCATTGTAATCAAAAAGAAATTGATTCCATCGTTAAAATTAGTATGTATTGAGAGTAATTCGCTAAACTTTGACGTCAATGATTCGATTTCACGAAACTAGCCTGTAATAGTTGTTTTCCTTGGTTTCTTTTTTGAAAGTTGCTCGAAAAATGTACCTGAAAGGAGAAGCAGCTACATGTGAAAGTAAATCAACAATCTCACGAAACTTCAATAATCATCAAAAAATAGCATTGTAAGTCAAACCTTGCTAAAAATCAATCAATGTTATGTTAGCTTTTCGAATGTTAGCTCTTGACTGAATTGGCTAGCTGACTTTATTTCGTGCGTATATCTGAAGGGATCGTTAGTAGCATTTCTACTTATTAAATGGTTCTATCTTCGTCATTACTTTTAACAGGACAATCATACTAGTCCCAGTTTTGGCTTCAATAATCGGTACTCTTCTTGATACAATTAAAATATACGGTAAGAAAGTATGATTTGAATGACGAACAACTGACAAATCTAAATTTTGTTTGCATAAATTTGACTTACTCTTTCGATAGAAACAGACAATTCGTTGTTCAGTTCATTGTTACTTGCTTTCTCGATCAAAAGAAACTTCATTTCGCTGTTCTATTCAAGTCCAAAACATCCAGAATTAAAATGTCTTAACGGAATCCGAGTTTTAACAATGTCCTGGATTGTCTTCGGTCATACTGTGGTCAAAATAAATTTCCATGCTTTCAGTAAGAAACTTAAATATCTGGTCACAATAAACAAACCTTTGAGTGATTTTTGCATGAATCTATTATAACTTTTCTCCAAAACATTGATCTTTTGTCCAGGCCATTCATTCAACATTATCGACCTAATCAAACCATTCGGTGTTCAAGCCCTTTTAAATGCTTCACTTACTGTTGATACTTTTTTCTTGATCAGGTAAGATCAAATGGACATCTTTTTACCATCGAAATATTGCAGCAAAGTTATTAATTATTCCGCTTTTAGTGGACTCTTGACTTCTTATATGACCTGGCAAATGACAAATGGTTCACACAATAAATTCAATACATTTTGGTTCGTTGTCACTCGTTATTTGCGTCTAACACCATTCATGATAATTGCTATGTGTGCAACGATTCTTTTACCGACGATGGGTTCAGGGCCACTTTGGAATGAATTTGTTGCTCAATTCGGTCGAGACTGTGAAAATAATTGGTGGATTAATATGTTTTACATTCAATCATTTTATAAAACCAAAGAAATTGTAAATTAGAGTTTTCTTTGCTTCATAATTCGCAATATATTTTACAAAGTACTTCACTAAATGTCAAAATTCCCCTTTCCTTTTATTATTCAGTGTTTATCTTCCACTTGGTGGCTCTCCGTTGATATGTTTTTCCACATTCTGTCAGTTTTAGTTCTCATTCCATTGATGAAGAATCAAAGGTTGGGAATCACCATCAACTCAATCATAATTTCATGTTTCGTTGCGACTTCAGCGTTCATCAACATTACCAGAAACTATCCAATCTCAATTTTACCAACATTCCCTCAAGTGGAGTAAGTTTAATTACATTTCATTTTAATAACCCATTCTAATCATTCGAGTTGCTTTTCTGGTAGAGAGTTTTGGAATGATTTTATTGTCAACTTTTTCTGGAAACCTTATATTCATGGACCACCATTTTTCAGTGGATTGTATTTGGGCTACTTAATTGCGAGAAAAAAGTACATCAAACTAACCAAAGTAAATATCTGAGTGTAATAAGAACACAACTTTCAACAAATTCAATTCTCGTTGTTTCCCTTTCAGAATGTATCAATACTTGCTTGGGTAATGGTAATCCTCGCCCTTTTCACCGTTCTTCATGCTCCATATCCTTTAGCCATTGGTAAAACTTGGTCTAAATGGACTGTGATGATCTATGAGTCGACTAGTAGAGTAATTTGGTCACTATCTGTCTCTTGGATCATTTATGCTTCAGCATCTGGTCATGGAGGTAAAACTTTTTTAATGCAAACCGTTTGATTAACTTTAATTTCTCTCGTCTTTTTTGATTAAGGTTTAATCGACAAGTTTTTGAGCTTACCAATATTCATACCATTTGCAAGGATATCTTATGCAGTCTATCTAAGTCATTTAATTCTCATTTTTGCTTACATGGGATCGAGAAGAAGCTTGCTTTTTACAGATTCATTCACCGCTGTAAGTAACCCAATCATCAGAATTGTTTACTTGATTTTCGTCAAATTATTATAACTTTTATTTATCCTGCAGATAAGTCTTTTTCTGTCTCATTGGGTTCTATCGCAAATTATTGGCTTGATTGGAGCAGTCGTATTTGAATATCCTTTCATTAATATTCAAAAATTGCTGTTGAAAAACAAAAACGAAAGCGGTAAATTGAGCGCTGATGAATGGAATAAAGATTACACAGATAAACTTGTTAGTTCTGTTTGATAAAACTTCAATCTCAACAGCAACTTGAAAGTGTTCAATTCAATTCTTAGTCCCTTCCAAGTTTAACCAAGGATATTTTATACAACACTTAACTCAATGTTTATTATCACTACATAATCATTATATCACTGAACATTGTTGGACATTTACAGTAGCAATACTTTCCCAACCGAAGTACCAGCTGTTTGTGAAAGTTCTTGAAATAAGATTTGGAAACCAGCGCGAACCTGTACCGGTTCACGGAATTCTTTTGTCAATTGTACTTTTGAATAATGTTCAGCAAAGTTATTAAAGTGAGGAAAGCTTGAAACTTGCTAAAGTTTGAAGTTATTTAAAGCAAGATGCATAAATTTCACAGAAATTTCATATTTACCTTAATGATGCATCGGAAACTTAGCTTTTATGGTTTTCAAAGTGATGTTATGAAGTTATGTAAAGCAGTAAAAATTGTCTTGTAACTGCGAGCTTCTTTCGGCCATTAACATCAGAATGATTTCCAATCTTCACACTCTTACATTAGTAAGTTTGCCGAACACTGAAGTAATGAAACTAGATTCAACTTTTAATGATGAAAATAATCAGAAACTAAAACTAGAAATGTTTGAGAAAAATTGTTATTGTTTAATGATCGATGAAAAACAAACTCGAGACTGTTACTACGGGAGAAAAGCCCATTTTCCTTAACACTTTGTGTTGTTTATGGGGTTTAACACCTTATTTAGGAATCGTTTGATCAGATGCAATAATTTCGAGGCTTTTCTTCTGTTTGCATGATAAAGAGAGGTTAATCATCGGGCTTCTGTGTAAATTCAGAGTTAGAGTGAGACGTATAATTCAAGACCTCAGTAAATAACATCGACGTAATGAAATTAAATGCTATCAATGACGAATTGGGAATGTAAATTTGCTTTTATTGACAATTTGGTATTAAAAACACAATTGTAACATTAATTCACAAATAGACACAAACACTGCAAGACAAATGGGCAAAAACGGGTAAAAATGAATTTCTTTCCAACTTAGACACTGTTATTTTGTACGTACATAAAAACTGAATCCTTTAATGCTCTAAAAAAATCTCTAGAATCAATAGTTTTCGAGAAAATTGAGTTCGAAGTTCAAACTTTGATCGCTTTTTGTACAATTATGGAAGCAGATACTTTTATGAAACTAATGAGCTCGATGTATCTTTTGATGACCAACCAGAAAATGCACTTTATTACGTGGTAAAAAATTCCGATTTTATGTAAAGTAGATAAGTTCGATTTTCCGTTAAACTGGCCTTTTCCTGTGACCGTAATATTAAGCAAGCTGAAACTTATTATTCAGCAATAAAAATTGTTTTTACACATTATGAATCAAATACTTTTTTCGATTTATCCGTAGTTCTCTTGATTTTGGACATTGACCTGAAAACTTTGAGGCTATATATTTCGAGAACGATAGCAGTTACAATACTCAATCTTTGACCAAATATTAGATTTTACTTTGGGCTATGATATATTTTAATTTTAGATAATTCAAGAAATTGCAAAGAAAAGTAGAACATTGTATTACTTAGGTAACCAGAATTGATGCTTGATATAAAAAGTTAAATGGTTACTTATGATGTGTTAGAAGGATATTCATTATTAAATGAATTGACTCAGATTCATTCAATTTTCAGTCATATCATGTTATAGATCTTAACAATATCTAATGTTTGATCAAAGATTAGTGTTTGTGAGTGATGCCAATCTCGAAATATTGCGACTCAAAGTTTTAGGGCCAATGTTCAAAATCAAGAGAACCGTCATGAATCTGAAAAAAATATTTGATTCACGATGTGTACAAACAATTTTTGTTGTCGAATGACAAGTTTCAGCTTGATAAATCTTAAAGTCACAGAAAAAGGCCAGTTTAACTGAAAATCGAACTTATCTGTTTTACATTAAGTCAGAATTTTTTTTCACGGAATAAAGTGCATTTTCTGGTTGGCCATCAAAAGCTACATCGAGCTCGTCAGTTCCATAAAAATATCTGCTTCCGAAATTGTACAACAAGCAATCAAAGTTTGAGCTTCGAACTCAATTTTCTCGAAAACTATGGATCATAGAGATTTTTTAAGAGCACTAAAGGATTCAATTTTTCTGTCCGTACAAAATAATAGTGTTTAAATTTGAAAGAAATTGAGTTTTACCCGTTTTTGTCCATTTTTCTTGCAGTATTTGTGTCAAGTTGCTCATAAATGTAACAATTGTGTTAGTTATGTCTTTTTAGTAAGAAACCACTTTGATGTGCTATTTTATGTTGTTATATCGTCGGTATTCATGTACGAAAGTTTGGTAATGACCACTGAATGGTAATTTTGGGATCTTAAATTACAGTTTTCTGAACTAAGAGCATTTTTTTCGTATTTTTGCAGCTAGACCTGTTTTTTAGTCTTCCTGATGTCTTTTTAGTAACAACCATAGTCATTGTTTAATCCATCAAACTTTCTTCGCTATCTGAGCTCTACACAAATCAATTTGTCAAATAAGTCTCCGAGTTTAAACTTGCCATGATTAATGAATAAGAAATTAAATGTACATCATTTTAAAATTGATTCAGCAGCAGACTTAAAATCAACACTGACAATCAATGTTGATTCTTACATTTCAAAGAGTGTTATTGGAAAATGTAAATTAAACTTAACAAAAACACACATAACCGATGTTAAAGCTCTTTGTCATTTAATCAACAACTAAATTAGTCAATTAGATCTTGTTATTTGAATGAAGTTGAGAGTTTATTTGATCACATTGCGCTCACAGAATTTCGCTGGCAAACATTAAGGTGTTTTCATTTTAATCATCATCAGTTAGACTTTTCTCTGAGTATTTAAGCCAGAAGCTCATTGAGACTTAACTTCACTTTACTTCCAGCACTTGTATTAAAAGGATAACTTTCGACTAACAATTTTCAACTTCAACTTCAAACTCTTTCGACGTGTGTTTTATTATCAATTTGAAGTGCCTTTATTTAATTTTCTAACTCTGTTTTATTTTCATCTTTTTGTTTAGTTAATTATGATTAACATCAAGTATAATATTGCTTCTTTATCATTGCTGGCCGTGATTATGGTTGTCCAAGGCACATTAAACACTATGTCCAACAACCAAGAGACTTCAAGTAACCTGGCTCAAGCACATTCTGGAGCATGGGCTGGAGGCATGGCTATGCCTGGAATGATGCCGGGAATGATGATGCCTGGAATGCTGAATCCATGGGATATGATACGACAGACTCAACAAATGATCGCCAGTAAATAAATTTAAGTTTTTTAGTTTTTCCTTTTCAATTATTGGTTTTAAAACTTAAATATTTTTCATTTTTCACTGCAGATACAAATAAAAAGATCGAAGAAGACAATGCAAAACGAATGGCCAAATGCCATATTGTGAACAAAGATACATTTGTGAGAAGTGGTAACACATATATCATAACCGATTTAAGATGTGAAGACGGTAGTACAATTACGACTACCAGAACTGAATTTGCCGATGGACGAGTCACAACTAGCAGCAACTCTGGTTCTGGTTCTGGATCAAGCTCATCTTCATCAAACGGTGGATCTGGATCAAGTTCGTCTTCATCAGGTGGTGGATCTGGATTTGGATCAAGTTCGGCAACATCAGGTGGTGGGTCAGCACCAACTGATAATCAGAGCTCAAGTAGCAATTCAAACATCAACAATGGGTCTGGGCCAAACCCACCTCAAACCAATGATGCACCCACTGGAAGTTCAGGGAATCCTGCACCTCCACCAGCTTCATCTGATAATGGTGGAGCATCAAGTGTGGCTAGCACCTCAGGAGGAGGGGTGAGTCAAAACTGTTAACCTGATATTAGCCTTAAATTTAGCATTTATTTCTAATATCGAGCTTTTTCTTGTTGTTTTATCTAAAAACTAATCTTTTCTTTTGTTTTTCATTAATTTCAGGCTATGGCCATGTCATCTGCAACTGGTTAGAATGAAACTAACAAATTATATGTTTACTTCATTTTGCTTGTATAACAGTTATGTTCTAATGAAAAACTCAATAAATTAACTTCTGAATTCATCATTAAACTGGTCTCTTTCTAATTATAAATAATAATTATAATTATAAATTCTTGTGGCTGGAATAACCTAAATCAACCTTGATCAATTTGCCCTGTTGAGTGTTGTTTCAGACACTGTTTATCCGTTTTACAATTATTATGTAAATTAAGTAAATTATAATAGTTGGTGTGAGATACACGAGTCTATTTATCGTAAGTTACAAAGTAATGATTTATACAATCATCGATCACCTTGACAAAAATCAAAATTTAAGCCAGCCATTCTAATAGAAGACAGTATTTAATTCGTTAATTTACACACGTTTGCATTACTCGAAGTGGTCTACATTTTACGTCTACATTGGTAGTCAAATTGATAAAATTTGGTTACACTGAACTAATAAACTCAGACAGTTTTTCAGTTTTTGTGTCATTAATAAATGAACAAAAGGCATCGTTTGACAAAAGAGGAAGATATAAAAGTTGAATAGATTTAGTTACTGATGAATTGAAAGTTATTAAAAGCAATGCGGATAAATATTCTGAAAGAGTTTGGATACATTAGGTTTAACGGAAAAACCAGTTCGTGTGAGTGTTGTGCCAAAATTTTGTAACTTTTCCATTGTAAATGTTACCTGTTTCTGCAACCGTCAAAATATTAATTGCTCATCAATATCAATGCATCAACTTTTCATCGAAAAATGAAAATTTTGGTTAGTATTAGTTATTCATCGATTGATTTTCTTGTCTGTCTTTTGTTTGTTTGTATGTGACAACAATCCCGAACAAATAAATCATAAGAAAAATTGATTGAAAATCATCATTTATTAATAGTTTTTAATTTGAAAATCGTCTATTTATTTATTTTCTTATTGTTTGTTTCTCTCATCGATCCCTCAGATTATTGTTATCGTGACGATTTGTTCAATAGGATTAATTTATTGTGATTACTACGGGGCTGGTTTCCCTGTTCACAGGCCAGCCTTTGCCCCTGGAGCGATTCGTTATAAGAGGATACCCTTCAGATATTTAGGAATAAACCATGTCAATCGATATGGCTTTCATGGTGGAAGTGGTGGCGGTGGAGGAGGTGGTGGTGGTGAAGAGGACGTTAATGGTCATGATGACAGTGATGGTCATGATGGCGAAGATATGAATGGAGGAGGATTAGGATTAGTGAGAAGATATTTAGGAGTATTGGCCCCTAGCAATGGAGGATTTTTTCCTTCTTTGTTTTCCCATCATAACTCACAAGAAAGTGGGAATGGTGGCAGATATGGTGATAGACATGGAAGTGATCATGGTGGGGGACATGGAAGTGGATTTAAAGATAGACATGGATATGGTGGAAGCCATGGAGGCGATAGTGAACATGGAAACGACCGTGATCTCAGTTTTTCTCATCGTGATGAACATCATTCTTACTCTGACCGTTCTCCTGGTTTACTTGGAATCAGAGTTAATGGCTTATCTTGGTTAAGAAGACCTTTTGGAAAAGGTCTGTTCGGAATTTTAGGTTAACTAATAAATGTATCTTAATCAACATAAATGAAACTGTGATTGCAGTCATTTTTGTTCAGATTAAAAACCGATCGAGCTTTATATCATAACTATCACATCACTCAACTAAAATACTGACCATTCGATAGATTTGTGGCAAGTTTCTTATAAATTTTACATTATTGCTCTCAAAAATCGAATAAACCTTTCATCAAAAAAAATGATTGAAAAAATAGAGTGATTTAAGGGAAGTCGACAAAAAATTTATTATAGTTTGATATAAAAGGATGAATTTTTTTGTTCCATATAATAATAAGGTAATTGATACACAAAAAAAGATATCTTGTTAAACTTATAAAATATTTTAGATTAAGGTTTGCGTGGAGATGATTGAACCATGGTTTCCACATCGTTGAATATAACTTGAGCTCCTCCAAGAGAACTTGGAATAACTTCACCCTTATAGATGCGAGTTTCGACATCACCCGTTTCATCAGCCAGGTGAGTAGTTATAGCATATTTAGATACACGCCTCAAATCATTAGTGTCAATGTTTTTTAAATTTGAGACGGAAATTTTGTTTTTGATTTTGGGTGTAAGGATGGTTCCCATATCAAGATCAGCCTGAGGACGATGGTCAATCCACTTTTCATTGCCAGTTGAAAGAGACCGTATATGACGAGGATTGACAACTGGAACTCCAGGTGATGACTTAGTTCTGGCACGATTCTCTATGTTCTCTCGAGTAAGATCAGGGTATTTATGAATTACGGATGGAGTGGAAAGTGTTGATGTTCCTGGTTCGGAAGCAAGTTTTAGCCGCTTTGATGATGAAGGAGTTGATAAAATTTCTGGAGTTGCTGTGGATAATGTGCGACTACCTGCCTCAGGCACACTAGGGCGTCTTATATGGAAACTGGTGCTTCCTCCAGTGTTGCTATTGCCAGTGTTGATATTTTTATTACCAGTGGTAGGAGTTGTTGGATACATGGAATCCCAATAGTCTCTAAAAAGTCCCCAATCTGAATTATCAGCCGTTAATATTTCTTTAACAAGGTGCATCTTCTCTTTGGTTAAACACTGCTCGCGCTCAAGTTGAGCTTGTTTTTCCTTCAATACTCGTTCAAATATTCGTTTCAACCGTTCCTTTTCTCTTGCAATTCTTTCTTCAGTTACAGCTTTGGTCCTTTGATTTTCAACTCCGGCATGACTAAGAGCTTGATTCTTGCGATCGAGTTGTTCTTCTATTTCCCGTAAATGCCTCTCCAGGCCGTAAATTTTTCTCATGTATTCCTCTTGATCGCCTTCTAATTGACAGCATTTAGACTCTAATGTTTTAACTTGACCTTCACGAACTTCTAAATCGTTACGGATGATTTGAAGCTGTTGTTTAGTCAACATATTCTCATTTTCAGCCGAGATCAAACTTTCCCGGAACAACATTTCTGGAAAACAAAGAAAAATCAATTTAGAATCATGCAAAATATTTTGATTTGAATAATTTGATGTTTTGACTTACGTTTCTGCCGGATATGCTCGAAATGACGGAGTGTGTTCTTCTTTCTCAATTCCAAAATTTCTATTAGGTCAGCCGTTTGTTTTTTATCCCTGAAATCGATATTCTGGATTTATGGAAATAAATTTGTTTGAATTAGTTGCAAACTCATATGAGGAAAATTTAGGACAAAATCTTACCGAAATCAAAGGTAATGGAGGGCCAATAGTTTCGACCGGAGTAGATTCAACATTTGGATATGGAATAAATTTGGATGATGAATAAGGATGAGGCATTTTCAGGTGGAATGGTATATCATTTGCACGATTAATCAAGACTTCTTGAGCAGTTTCAGCGAATTTCATAACATGCTAGACGGAAAAAAAATACATTAAGTTAATAATAAAACTTTTAAAGCAAGTTAGACAGCTAAAAACACTTACCAAAGTTTCGTCAAAATCTTCTGAACCAGGATTAACACATAAAACCATCTTAATTTTACCTTCACCTTCAAAATAGCTTTTAAAAAGATGAGTCAATTTGTTATCTCGATAGGGAATCATTTTGTTTACTCCGAACTTTTGATTTTCTCTCAGCAATTCAATACAATTCCTGAGAGCCATCAAAGAATTGTTGATATTTCCGGCCTCTCGTAATCTCTCACCAATATTCTGAGTACGCTGAGTACGTTCACTTCCAGCAAGGTCAACTAAAGAAAGTTGACTTACTGTCAAGAATTTTTCATCTTGAATAACCTCACCCCCAGAATCCAGAGGAGCTTGGACAACTTTTATGTTGAAAACAGAGTGACTACGACTTGATTCAGTATTCAATGCAGTGTGAGCCATCCGTCGACGACGAACGCCTTTCACAAAGAGATCGAAAGCCTCATCCGCTGAAGTTACTTCAACCTCTTTGGCTAACCAAACAAAAACTCGCCTTCGTTTATCTTCTCGTAAGACTTTTGATTGCGGTTGTCTCAGTTTATGGGAGTCAATGATAATTTCTTCGTCCAGAAGATCATAGATATAGTTGTTGTAGATCTCTACATATGATACAAATATGGCGAAGGCATTTCCTTTAGAGTCTATATCTATTTTATTTTCATCTCTTTCCCTTTGGTCCCATTCTTTCAGCTCGTCATTATCTCTCCTTTTAACACGAGGCGTGCTAGTAATAGATGATGGAGTACGAGCGATTTGTTTCTCTTTCTGCCATTCCAATAATGCATCAGGCGTGGATCGGATAGTGAAGCCATTTTGAGCATCAGGCTTGAAAACAAACTTTCTACTCAAACTATCTTCGACACTATTGAATAAAACATCCAAAGTCCTAGGAAGTAAACCACAATCTTGTGAGTTACCGGTGACCGTGAAAGTTTTACCAGAAGATGTTATTCCATATGTGAACAATAGACCTGACATTGAAAATAGCACAGATTAGTATCAAGCTGGAAGAGTAAATTCTCTTGGGTGACTCGAAGGAGAAAAACTTACCATTTTTGCCATTAATAAGATCTCTGATGAGTGGTAAACCAATTCTGTCAAACAATTGTTTTTGAGTCGTGTCCTCAGGAAACACATGCTTAAAAGTATAAAATGATTCAAGCTTATTATTACCGAATGGTATCAACTGTAAGGTATTGTCATTCAATCTTTTGATGCAGACACAATCATTGTCATTCTTCAACGGCCGAAGTCTACAATAAACTTCAACAGGGTCCTTAGATCCGTTTGGCACTTTTGGTTTCGGTTTAGTCGCAGGTCCTTTTTTCGATGGTGTTTTCAACATAGCTGGTGTAGACATTGTTTCAATTTATAAATTAAATGAGTTAACAACAAAAACAACCCTGTGTTAAAAACTAATAAAAACTGGCGGTTTGAAAGATCTAAACGGTTTGCATTTGAAAAAAAAATTCAATGCGCAGGTCTGAAGCGCGCCAACCAGACGTTGGGAGAGTTGAGAAATGTTTGGGATTAGTTTAAGTCTCTAGTTAATTTAAAAATTTACTATCTTGCATTTATTGTTAGCAATTGTCTTGATAAATTTTCCTTAATTATCAGTAGAGTTTTCAATTTTTTCAGCCATTTTGTTTTCTGATGGATTCACGTGCATATCATTAAATATTCCGGACTTATTACATTAACATTTTTACCCAAAAGATGGCCAACTATTTAGATGAATGGAGACTCGGAAATATTCACACTTTCTGTTTATAAGATTCCAGAGTCCTTAAGATTTGACTCATTTGTGTACTTTATTTGCTATTTAATCCCTTTAAGCTGTTGAAAATAATTCTTAATCTGCTCGAATCTATCGATTTCCGCAACAAATTTATAATTATTAAGATTCATGAGATGTAAGAGGAAATGTAAGCTTAAAATTTCTTCGAATCAATAAAATGAAATGTTAAATAAAACATTAAAAATTAAAATGAACATAATCTTTTGAATCAAACAGATAATTTTTCACTCAACAACTGTCCTTAAAACCTGAATAATGTTCATGATGAACATCAATTCAAAGTACGATGGAAAGATTCACCATCAAGATGACAAATTAACCTGATGATGGTCACTGTAAATCTGATCGAGCAACTTTTTCAGCAAAAGCAAGCAAAATTTCGTTTCACGATTAAAACGAGTGAAAAGACCAAATTTATGTTTCAATGTTAGCGTTGCTAAGCATTAACCATCTCATAATGATGATATTATATAATATTAGTTAACTTTTTTCTTTCTCCCTTTCTTTAACCTTTTCTCTCCCTGATTATTATTTGATTGCTTCTCACCCAGATTGCTTTTAAGCTGAGTTGTTTGGAATAATTGAAGAGACTTTCAATTTCTACCTGTCAATTGTATTATTTGTTTATTCACTTCGGTTGAATTTTCTGCAATAAATCTTCTTGATAAATTAATCTTTGTTCAATTTTTGAATTCAATCAAGTTTGTGTCCTACTTCGAAAATGCCAATCCAACTGTTTGAATCGGAAGATCATGCATCAACTTATGTCCGAGCTCGACCATCACCTCCAGCCTCACTGATAAATGCCATTGTTGATTTTCTTGATTCAGGTAATCTTAGAAATGAAAATGGTTCCTGGCCAAAAGCAGTTGATGTTGGTGCTGGTTCAGGTCAAACCACCTTTCTGATTAAAGATTATTTCGACGAAATTCTTGGTGTTGATATAAGTGCAGCTCAAATTGCTGAGGCCAATAAACGGAATAAATATCCCAATATTTCATTCAAGGTAAACACACGTTCATTTCGTGTTCTTTTTTCATCGCCAAAAACCAAATTAGAGTTGATTATCAGACTTAGATCGAGATTGATGAAATTAGGACCAGACGTCAACATCGCAAGCGAAAGTAAACCTTTACTTGGTACTTGAATGTTGAAAACAATTAACTTATCTCATTCTAATGTTTGATTTGCTTTTTCAAATTCAGGTCGCTCGAGCAGAATCAATTCCATTGGAAGATAAATCAGTTAATCTATTAACAGCATCACAGTGTCTCCATTGGTTTGATTTAACCTCATTTTACGAGGAAGTTGATCGACTTCTAGCTCCTGGAGGAGTTTTTGCTGCTTTTGGTTACATTTGTTATCCCATTCGATCACCAAACGATTGTCCAGTTGCTGATAAAATGGCTCAATTGATTGAAAAAGCTTTCAACAATTTGGAAGACATGGGCCTCTGGGAACAACCCGCAATGAACTTTCTCCATTCCAAATACGAAAATTTAAAATTACCTTATCGGGACTCAAAACGAATAACGAACATAATCTGTCCAGTTACCTATTCGGGCGAAAGTTTTCTTGATTACATCACCTCATGGTCAGCATACAATACTTTGGCTTCTAAATCCCCGGAGAAAGCAGACATCTTCATTGAAGATATCGCTAATCGAATGAAAGATATCCTTGGAACATGTGATTTCGGATCAGTTCAGATAAAACTCAACTTTGAATTTTTCCTTCTTATGGCTAGAAAATGAAAAGAGTTTTGATTACTACAGTGTATTAAAACAAAAACATTACATGATGAGATGATAACATAAAATAGTACATACCCAAATCTTGACAATAATCAAGTACCAATTAAAATAATCAGCTCATCATGTGTTTATTTGTCTATTTTGTTAACTCTGCATCCAATATTATTTTGATTCAAGTAATCATCAAAAATACTATTAATAATAGCCATCATAACTTTGCTGTGGAGGCAATTTTTTAACGCAAATGTGCGCTATCATTTCTTTTCAATATTCAACATTAAACTTATTCATTATCGACAAATACAGCTGGTGATTGATGATACAATTTATTCCGATTCCATGTTGATTCCAAAAACTGCTAATCTGTTAGTTCAAAAATGATAACAGAAAACTTCAGCAAAATCGTAAAGAAACAAGATTGTCACTAATTGGAAGCACCACGATCAGAAAAATCCATAAAAGTAGCTTGAAATAATTTATATTACAGATTAAATCACAACATTACATATCTAATAAATCAAATTATTATTGGGAAGTTAGAAAACATTTTTAAAAATAAACACATGAAAAACTACAAAGTAAACCAAGTTACAAAGAGCAACTTCACTTCACTCTTTGAGTTACATTCAGATATTGAGACAAGCATTGACAAGAAAAAAAATATTAAAACCAGCTGATTGTGCAGTTCTTTTGGTTTGCTTTTTCCAAGATGCAAACCTAAAATGAAACTGTTCTTTTGATTATTTAAATTGTTGTTTAATTGATTAATATGATTTAATATTTTTTTAATAGTTAACTATCAAAGTGCTCAAAAAGAAACTGATCATTCTTCAATTTTCAATCCAAACAAGATTACTATCACCAGATAAATTCACTATATCTTTTGTCTCTGTATATCAGCTCAATATTGGATCTTGTTTTCCAATGCAAAAGCATTTGACAACGTTTGATATTTTAAATGTTTCATGTTGAACAGCTCATATTCTCATCATTTGCCGTGTTTTTTCAATATCAACAATTTAAATTTTTCTTTTGTTTTTAGTGAAATAGCATTTTAAATAACCACCTTAATCCTTTCATTTGTGGATTAACGTTTTACATTTCTTCTGTGATACAAGAGTCAAGACTTGAGCTGCCATAAAACGCATTTTAATGTAGCAAAAATGACTAGTGAAGTAGAAAACTTCATAAATGACCCTGAAATTGGATCAAAGTCCAGTCTGTCGTTTAAGTCAAATAGGATCAAATTACTTCGGGTTAGTATATAATTGAGCATCAGACTTTATCATCCTAAGACAATATTGCACTTTTATTATCAACAAATGATTACCGCATCGCTTAAATTCAGATAGTTTCATTTTAATATTTCATGGTTTAAACTCTTGCAATACATTCTGTTATTTGCCAATATCTGACACCTAGTATTTTGTTTATTGATTTAGCACCAGATATTGGTTTGACTTGAATTTAGCTTGATCATTCACAGAAGCCTTTTGTTGAATTGATATCAAATTTGCAAAATGTATCCTATACAACATCATTTTAAACTTATGATTAATTTGCTTTATTTTTTCACAGTTATGGCGACCATTACCTCGTTTTGTGAAAATATTTTTGGCCATTGTACTTTTATCTGTTTCATTTATGAGCTGTCTTCTTATGGTATGGCCAGATTTTATCAAAAACACTATACCTGGAAAAGAGTTACCCTTCAAAATTAACGAAGAGCTGGATGTACAAAAATCTGTGATATTCTCTCCTCAACAACTACCCCGGCCTGTCAACTCAAAACAAAATTCTTATAGCGCTGATATTGCCATTAATCCGTTGTCTCCTAAATCAATTCAAGCACCTTCTTCATTAACATCTCAGTCTTCACCATCCTTACCCCATCAATACCCAACATTTGTGAAAGTTGAAGGTGATTTTACATTAGACGATATTAGTTGGGAACGAGATATACTTAATAGCGAGGTGCCTATTAATGATCAACAAAAAGAAATTATAACTGCTACTTTACATTCATGGGAGGGTTATCGAAAATATGCTTGGGGTTTTGATACTTTGAAACCAATTTCACGCACTAGCTCAACTTGGTTTGGTGTTGGTTTGACAATCATTGATTCACTAGATACGTTGTTGTTAATGGGATTAGAAAAAGAATTTAAAGAAGCTCTTGATTGGATCGATAAAGATCTAAACTTTCATACTAATACAGATGTCAATTGTTTTGAAATGACCATCAGGGTTCTTGGTGGTCTATTATCATCATATCATTTAACAAGAAGTGCAACTTTGTTAACAAAAGCTCTGGATGTTGGTGATCGATTGATTCATTGTTTTGATTCGCCATCAGGTGTTATTCCTTACAGTGATGTCAATCTTTACACAAAATCCCCAAAATCTCCAGTCTGGTCCCAAGACTCTAGTACTTCAGAAGTTAGTACAATGCAATTAGAGTTTCGTGATTTGTCTCGAATCACAAAACAATCAATTTATGAAGAAACCTCTTTCAAAACTTCTGAACATCTTCACTCAATAACTTCAGATGATCCTTTAGTTCCTATGTTTATTAATCCTACTAATGGACGTTTCTCACCTTCGACTATCACTCTTGGAGCCAGAGGCGATTCATATTATGAATATTTGTTAAAGCAATATTTACAAACCGGTGTTGAATGGTTAAAAGATGATTATATGAAAGCAGTTGACGCAATAAGAAATCGTTTAACGAGAGTTACTCAAGGGCCAAAACAATTAACGTTCATCGGTGAATTATTACGCCGTGAAAATTCCGGTGTTCACCCGAAAATGGACCATCTTGTGTGTTTCTTGCCTGGTACATTAGCTTTAGGTCATCATCATTTGTTGAAAACAAATGCATATGCTGATGATTATACTATGAAAGGTAAAGTGGAACAGCATATGGAACTAGCATTGGAATTGGCTCGAACTTGTCAATTTATGTACAATTTAACTGCGACAGGCTTATCGCCAGAGATTGCTTATTTTGCTGAAAATCCATCTCAGGATGAAGATGAGTTTCAAATTCGTCCTGCGGATACTCATAACCTTCTTCGCCCTGAACATGTTGAATCTCTGTTTTACCTTTATCATCTTACTAAGGATAAAAAATATCGTGATCAAGGCTGGCAGGTTTGTGTTAATTAATTTTATTTGTTAATTTTTATGTAACTGTTTTGATTTTTCTTTACAATAATTTATTTTTCATTTATTATCAGATTTTCCAGTCTTTCAATAAATATTGTAAAGTTCCTTCTGGTGGATACACGAGTATTGGAAATGTTAGAGATCCTAAACATGTTCGTCCGAAAGATAATCAAGAATCGTTTTGGTTGGCTGAAACTTTGAAATATTTATATCTGTTGTTCAGTGATGATGAACAATTAATTCACAAAATTTTAAATCATTATATTTTCAACACTGAAGGTCATCTTGTTAAGAGATATCAATATCCAACTCCTCGAGAAGGCTCGCCTTAGAACCTTCATAATGCTCTAATATTACATTAAAAGCGTCTTTAGCAATTCTTTTACGTCTATTGACTTCTTTTTTCATTTTAGCGTGAGCATTTTGACAATCTTTGAGTTTTCCAGAGTCAACTTTGACAGATCCTGACGTTTGAATTTTTTCTTCCAAATCTTTGATTTCCTTTTGCACATCAGACAATTTTTTCTCTATCTCGGTCAATGGCGGTATCTCCTTTCGTCGGGATACTTCAGCTCTTTTCATATTATAATCCATTGAAAGTTTTTCATGTTCATTATAAAGATTTTTAATTTTTTCTTCAATCTCCTGCATTTCTCCATCTTTAAAATCAGTAAAACTATCCTGATTGAAGAAATAAATATTTTGCTTGCCATAAGCTTTGGTGATAATCTGCTTCTTCTCGACCAATGTTTCCAATGCTTTAGTTACATCTTTTTTAGCATAGCTTTGTAAATTTCCATGAATATCATTTGCACTGTAAGGTCGATTTGCACTCTTCAAATAATCTAAAACTCCTTTTTCCGCCATTTTTTTCTCGAAGACAACCTAAGAAATCTAAAAGAAATAAATTACTCATAAACTATAGAACATTAAATGAAATGAACTTACCTTTCTTGAAGTGAATAAGGAGAACTTCAACTAAATAATATTAAGAAAATTAATTAAACTTCACAATATAAAATAATTTAACTTTAATAAAGTTACTTTATTAATGCTTATGTAATATGATGAAAGAACGAAGATAAGACTGTTTTGATGAGTTTAGAAAAAGCTTTCCATTTAAGCGGTTTTTTCGAAAATTACAAATTCTTTTGTTTAATTAATTGAGTTAAAATTTCTGTCAAATTATTTACAGAATTAATTATGTAGATTAGTTTAATTTTTCATTACTACTTTCATAGCAATTAAGCACAGTGCCGTACAACAAATTAGTATAAAAAAATTGGTGAATAGTGGTATAAAATGATGTAAAGATACGGAAATTTTATGAATTGAATCTAGTTGGTTGAACTTACAATTCTAAATGCATGGGTTAAGTTGAAATATCAATCAAACTCTTTTTTCTACCTCTACTTTAACTTTGATTGTAGAGTTTATCTCTATTCTTCGACTAATTATTTGAGCTAGAATGGCCTAAAGAACTTCAATAATTATCTAACGACAATTGAATTTACAAACATGAATTGAAACATTGAATTTTATTGTTGTCTAAACATCGAGACTTGCTGCAAACAATTATTTGTTAGTTTCTTGTGTCTATCTTTATCCATATAAATATGAGATGTTTTTGATTAAAGGAAACAGAATCTTCAATCTTGTTATTTTTTCTGGGAACAGCCTGTATGATAATAGCAAATTGATTTCTGGATACAGTCACCTACCAGATACTGCACCACTCGCAAAATAGCTTATTTACACTATTCGTCGATCAGTTTAATTCATGATTTTCAATCTTCCTTAATAGATCAAATTTAGGCAAAAATGTTTTTTTAAACTGATTTTCAGAGTTTTTAGATTAAAATTTCACGAAAGAAAATTGAATTAAACTAATTGATAATTAAGGAAATCGAATCGAAATTCGACTGAATTCAAAAGTAAATATAGCCCCCCATATTAGGGGCCATTGAAAAATTTATGTGCATTATCTGGTAGGTGCAGTATCTGGTAGGTGACTGTAATTAGTCTCTGAGAACTGTTTAACCAGTAAGTTGATATTTAAACTTGATATTTTCTTGGAATCATTAACATCTCCTAAAATATTTTTACTTATATCACTTTGAGAGATTGAACCTTTGTTTCAAGCAAAAGTGATAGATTAGATCCTAAAAGTGACAAATTTGTCATTTCAGGAAACTCTGGTTCATTAAATTAATTGACTCAACGATATTCAAACGAGATCTTTTTATGCGTTATTAATACTGCAAAATGTTTATTTAGTAGATAAGTATCAACTCCAGGATCGGATCCCATTTCTGCTTTCATCCATTTGTGTCTCTCTTTTTGGTTAATCTGTTACTTTTTTTAATCTTCATCGTTAAGTACTTTTATTTTTTGTTGATACAAAATAAATTAGTGGTTCACTTTGTTATACCTTGATTTTCTTGTTCCGTTTCATCATGGCGATGTCCTATTTGGAGCATTTCTTAGAAAGTGAGTTGAAAAGAAGTAAAATATTTTTTCACTAAAATGTATATTTTCATACAAGATCAGGCTCACTATCAACAGAAAAGCTCATCTTTGCTGTTCACTTTTTTTCACTGACACTGCGTTTCCCTCCAATCTTTCCAATACAGTTTCTTGCCTTATCTTTTGTCTTTCAGTATTTTTTGTGCAATCTTTTATTACTTTTATCCTTTATTTTTTCTGTTTTTCTTCTTCTCTCCCTTCTAATCATGGCTTTATTTCATGATTCGACGTTTGTTTTTGTTCTCACCTACTGTTGCTCGTATATACTCCCATATCATTGGCAAAATAGGTCTGGATTCCTTGCCCGCGGATCTACAACGAAATTTTACTCTCATGAGAGACTTGGACATGCGAACTCAAGGTAATAATTGTCATTATTGTTAAGATTGATCCTTGTCATATTTCATGCGAACTTATTGAATACTATCAATGAGATTTATTTAGTTGGAACGAGTTTCGATGTTACTAAATGCTTGATGCTTGCTTTCAGTAAAACTCATTTCATAAATATTGGAATTGACTTTCCTTCTACCATTAGATTTTTCATGACTAATTGTCACTTTTTTACCACAATGATTAATTTTCTCATTGTTTGGTGATAGTGTATGCTCAATGTCACTAATAACTAATGATCATAGTTTGTTTTAATCTCGATTCTTGTCCTATTTTCTTATGCTTCACCTGTTTCTCATTGAACTGTATATATTTTTTAATACAATCTCGTTCTGCTTGTTCCTTTCTTGTTTTCTCTTTCAGAACTAATCAGGAAGATAAATAGTGTTTCAGAAAGCTACTTGGTTAACGTGAACGAACTCAATCAGCGAGAAAAAAATGACACTTTCAAAGAAATTCGAAATAAATTTGCTGAAGCCAGATCATTGAGTGACGATAAAGTGCAGTTATCAGTGGCTACCTATGAAATGATTGATAAACATATTCGCAGATTAGACAATGAATTGACAAAATTGGAAGCAGAACTGAAGGAAAAAATTTTGTTTAAATCTTCTGGAAATAACATGGAAGGAGGAAAGAAGAGAGGGAAAAATAATTTATCCAAAGGAAAAAATAAAGTATCACTAAGTAAAAAGAATGTGTTAAAAGACAAGACCGAAAAAGGTCGTAAAAAACAAAAACTATCTGCCGATCCAGCACTTGCTATGGGAGTAATTGGAACCGAAACGTCCATATTAGCCACAATTACTGGGAGCACCGATGTCCTAGATATGCCTGTTGATCCTAATGAACCTACATATTGTATATGTCACCAAGTTTCTTATGGTGAAATGATTGGTTGTGATAATCCTGACTGTCCTATTGAATGGTTCCACTTTGCATGTGTAGGATTAGCTACCAAACCAAAAGGAAAATGGTTTTGCCCCAAGTGCTCACACGAACGAAAAAAGAGATAATCTTTCTATTTTAAAGGCCTTAGCATGCAGCAATTTTATCACAATTGTTTTATTCCATCATTTGCTCTCTTTTTTCTCTCTCACTCTCATCAACGTCAATGAAATTCATCTGAATAATTTCCCTATCAGCTTTTCACCATCAAAAATCACTTATTTTCATCTCATACCTCCATTCACATTCAGCTTGTTCAGACCAACCATCTCTTCATTCATTTTTACCTTGTTTTATTATACCTCACCAATATCAACCTCATTATCATCATAGTCATCGTACTCATAATCTTCTCTGTCATCTCATCATTTCTTTTTAAGTAGAACTTACAAGCATTGGAGAAATAGCTGCACCCGTGGATGCTTGATAATTAAACTCTTACTGATTAGTTGCATCTTTCATTAGATGAATTAATAGATGAAACTTGAATTTGATATTGAAAATTATTTTAATTGATGTTGAAATAAATTCAACCAATGCTAAAAGCATAATTTTGCCTGTCACATAGGTCAACTAATTGCTATGTGATATTTTAATTTCTCCTGTATTTAACTGTTTTATCGTTATTTTCTTGAAAATGAATCTAAATTTTGATTCTGACTTCTCAATGATCTTTATTGAGATCATGTTCTGTGACTAATTGTGCAGTCTTCATCATTTTGTAAAAGTATTAGTAATAAATTATTCAGACTCTACTCAAGAATAAAAATTTTTAAAGTTCACTTTTTCTTCAATTTTTTAAACTAATATTTGGTAATAATCTCTATTTCATTTCAAATAACCCTTGAACAATGCTATTCCATCACATTTACTTCCTCAGTTGTGACTTAATACTCGCACTTAATATTGAAAATGTTACAATTTGACTTTAGTTTCTAAAGTTTAAAGAAATCACGCCAATAAAACACATATAAAGGTAAATTAAAATAACAATACAGAATAACATTCAATGACATTGTTCACAACTTGAATCTGCCATTTTTAAGAATTGATTGAAAAATTCATGCTATTCAAAAGTGGTAGACATTTGGTGGTGTGTTGAAAAAAGTCAGTCCAATTGTTACTCGGTTACAAAGCACAATAAGTATGTTTAATTTATGCTGCTGCCTAAGATTTGCAAATTTAAATAATTTTTTAATAATTTGAGCCTTAATTGTTCACCAGAACAGCTTCAGATTTATTGCTACTCATTTAGCTCGAAGTTTAGAGATTTAGTGCAAATAAGCTATTTCAACTTTAAATTTTCAAGGGAATGTTATGAATGTTTTACGATCAAAATTTACTCTAATTTTTACAAATTTCCTCAATTATGCTTAAATTTAAAAATAAAAACACAATTTCCGCTTAAAACTCGTTAATTATATCTTTGCTTCGACCTTTAAATCAAATGCTTTGATCAACTAAAATTTTGATCGATTATGAGGCTTATGATCGATCTTGATCGATTTTTTGATCAGTCCACCAGTTACATTGTATTGTGCCAGATTATACTTGGTACCTTCTTGTATCAATCGTGATATTTAATGTTTATTGTTCTTATTGTACAATTTATTAATTAGCTCTTCTATGGTTCTTAGTCAATATTTCTCATTTCATTTATATCCTAATTTAAGTCAATAATGATTTGGGAAAGGCCAAGGTTAAAGTTATCTAATAGATTATGTTTCCAATTTACTCTAATCTCATGTTTTATGTGCCTAATTCAATGTATGAGCAATGAAGAAATACAATCTCTCAGGTAAGTTAATTTTAATATATTTTAGATAGATTTCTTATTTATATCTTGTGTCCTTTTTTGTACCTTTACTCCTTTACTCCTTACAATAACTATTTACATTTTTATTGCAGAGATGAAGTCAAAGAAATGTTTTATCATGGTTACAATTCTTATATGGAGAAAGCCTATCCAGCTGATGAATTAATGCCTTTATCTTGTCGTGGAAGGTATCGTGATCGTGAACCCAATAGAGGAGATATAGACGATGCTCTAGGAAATTTTTCACTTACACTTGTGGACACACTAGATACTCTTGTTATTTTTAATAATATTTCTGAATTTGAGAGAGGAGTTGCTCTACTTGTCAAAGACTTAAATTTTGATACTGATGTTGTAGTATCAGTGTTTGAGACTAATATTCGTGTTCTAGGTGGTCTTTTAAGTGGTCATATTTTCAGTAATTACATCAAGGATCGCTGGAAAGATCATTTACAATGGTACAAAAATGAACTATTATTATTAGCTCAAGACCTGGGCTATCGATTGTTACCAGCTTTCAACACATCAACTGGAATACCTCATCCCAGGGTTAGCTCTTAACTTAACGTTACTCATTCCTTTAATCATAAAATTTATTATTCTAATTGGATATTTTTCATTTGCCTGATCTTCAGATAAATCTTAAATTTGGGATGAGATCGCCGCAAATAATTAATGTCAGAGAAACTTGTACTTCGTGTGCTGGGACAATGATTCTCGAGTTTGCTGCATTAAGTCGCCTTACTGGGGAACCAATATTTGAGGTTAGATTATTTTTAAACATTGCCGCTAAATTTTTAATACAATTTTACAAAATTTATCAATCTCTAACCTTATAGATTGCTGCACGAAAAGCTATGGATTATTTGTGGAATCAGCGACATCGATCCAGTGACCTCGTTGGTACTGTTTTAAACATACACAACGGAGATTGGGTTCGTCGCGATTCAGGTGTTGGAGCTGGTATTGACTCTTATTACGAGTACCTTCTTAAAGGTTATATACTTTTAGGTGATGAGACATATCTTCAGAGGTTTAATCAACATTATAAAGGTATAATGAAGTATGTTAGTCAAGGACCTCTTTTGGTTGATGTTCATATGCACCGTCCTAAAAGTAATGCCAAAAATTTCATGGACAGTTTACTGGCGTTTTGGCCAGGATTACAAGTTCTCAAAGGTGATATCAAACCTGCTATTGCTACTCATGAAATGTTGTATCAAGTTGCTCAGAGACACAACTTTTTAATACCTGAAGCTTTCTCTATTAATGATTTTGAAGCACATTGGAGTGGATACTTTCTACGCCCTGAGTTCATTGAATCTACTTATTTTCTTTTCAAAGCAACGGGTGATCATCATTATCTAGAAGTAGGCAAACAAGTTATGGAAGGGTTACAAAAATATACTCGTACTGAATGCGGTTTTGCTGCCGTTAAAGATGTCCGTACTCGTACAAAAGAAGATAGAATGGATTCATTCTTCCTAACTGAAACATTGAAATACTTATATCTCCTGTTCGCTACAAAAAAGGACCTTATTGTTGATTTAGACCAATTTGTTTTCACCACTGAAGCTCATTTTCTACCATTATCTCTTTCCTCTATGCAACTTGACGAAATATCGAAGATTTCTGAAAAAGCCGATGCATTATCACCTCCTCCCTCATCATTTTTAACTTTCGTTGATGAAGAAAAAGATGGAAGTATGCAATATTTTCGCCATTGCCCGAATGTTAAATATTTGATCAAAAAAGACCTCAAAGTTGACTATGTTCGAGATATACGGGAGACTTTGAAAGGTTATATTGCAAATAGTCGTGATGCTAGTTTAAAATATGCACGATCTTCAAGTCAATCAACATCGACTCCATCTTTAAATTTAGCTTCATCAACTTGTTCAATGAGTTATAATGATCATGGTGATCTCAGTGAGAAGCGTCTAAGTCTTCAACCGCAAGATTTCTCAGCTACAAACAAGGAACATCTTGAGATAATAAAAAAGATGGGTATTAATGTTGGTTTCACAACTGACGGGCGGATTCAATTGATCCATTCAGCAGCTACAGCAGAAAATGTTGATAAAGGGGTTGAAGGAGCACTTTTTATGCAAGAAATGTTGCGCTTGTCCAAACAACAAGTTAATCAATTCAACTCTAAACACCAATGGCTGTCATTTATTTCACCATCCACAGGATCTATGCTCAAATTTAAGTCCGGTATCGCACAATTTGGTTTACAATTAAAACAACCGTTGTCCGGTAAAGTGTCAATCGCTGATCCAATTAAAGCATGTTCTGAGCTACTACCAGAGTCAAATTCAGCTATTTCTGGGAAGATTGCCATCGTGGAAAGAGGTGAATGTACATTTGTACAAAAAGCTAGGGTTGTGCAGAAAGCTGGAGCCATCGGCTGTATTGTAATTGACGATGTCATTGGTACAACTGAAGAAACCTTACCAATGTTTGCCATGTCAGGTGATGGTAAAGACGATGTCTCTATTCCTGTTACATTTCTTTATTATCAACAAGGACATTCTTTGATGTGGTTTCTCAAGCAGAAAGATGATCTTGTCATTGAAATAAATGCAGCCGATTCAAAGGATAACAACCTAGACTTTTCATCATCCAAACCATCCGAGCCAAGTAATAATGAAGACAAAGATGGTTCCTACGAAGATGACTCGGAAGTAATGTCACCCGTAGAAGCCTATGCTGAAATTACTGATATAACGCAACAGATAATCGGAGGCAATGGCGAGGACACTGAAAGAGGAATGAAAGTAGTTGAAGCAGTGTTGAACAGTTTTCATCATGATTTAACTCTTAAATATCAACAGTATGTTAAAAACAACTTTAATTCAATTGTAGAGGGAACAATACTGCAAGATATGTTTTCTTCATTACAATCTTCTCTCAAAAACATGAAAACAGTCTTTGAAAGCGAAGGCGAGCCTCTACTAGCCAGATCAAAAAGGAAACGCAATTTAATGTCTTTAAGAACGTGTAATACACTAACTTACGAACATCTCATTAGTACCTATACAATCTGTCCTCGAGTTAATACTGACTGATTTTAATTAGATGACCTGTGGTGAACAAAACATAAATTTTAAGTTTTACTTGGGTTATCATCAGCAAAAAATTCTCACAATTGGAACGTAAACGCATAAAAAGCTAACAAAACTTTTATCAAAATTTATAAAGAGGAAGCCAAAAACGCCGATTGATGTGTTTAAGTTAGCTCACTGGACTGGACAAAGCCTTTCTCTGAGAGTGGTGTGCATCGAGATGAATGATGGTTTCCTTGTTAACCAGGTGACGAGCTTGACGCATTTGTAGATAATTTATTCCGATTTTCATCTAGAACAGTCCATGCTATGTGACCTATTGGTTTGCCCGATACAAAAGTTGAACTTCCAGAGCACAACTTGAAGTTATTTTTATACATAAGGAGGTGTTTCCAGAGCCTGCTAATTAGAAAAAATGATTCAAAAGGAGAGATTCAACAAAGAGTTGAAAATCAGAATTTAGAAAAAATTCGAGTCATCTTGAAAGTATTGGGTAATTTAACACAAACTGTACCAATGTTGTTTACCTGAACACCTATCTTTTTTTACTCAGCTTTGCATAATGTTGAAATTATTGTCATGCTTAACATCATTGTCATCTTTCTCATTGTTCCTTTTCTTTCTTCATCATCGTAATTGTCATCAGATAATCCAACTGCTTTACTTTTGTTTATTTTTAACAAAAAGTGAATCAAATTGTTATAAAAGTTTATTTTGAACATTTTTTTGTCAATTCTTTTTTTTCTAGTGGCAACAATTTAAGTGGATCTTGCTCGTTTATTTAACTATTAAGGCTAAGTTTGGATCTGATAGACTGTTAATTTTAATGATTATGAAGCAGCTAACAATTTTCAATACAATATGAATGCAATGAAAATGGATTATAATTTTGATCAAATACTATGAAAATCTTTATTAATGATTTATTACAAATGAATCTTTGATGTATCTTCATGATAATTATACAGAAAATGAAAAAAATCAACAAAATTGGATTAGATTTATTCAGTTAGTCTCAAAAATCACCATCAAAGTGACTAAAAAAGGTTCGCGTTTGATGAAATGTTAAAATAAGTAATAAATATTCAAATTTATGTAATTATTTTCCGGATTCTGATTTTTTTCTAAAAATTTCACGTTAAACGCGCGGAATGTTATTTTACCTGTGTTTAACAAACTGTTGTAGCAATTTAACCGGACAAAAGCGATAGTTTTCAAAATGATAAACTTTCTAATGTTGTCAAATTAACAAACATAGAGAAAAATTTACATTTACTAATTTGGCAGTTTATTTATGACATTGAATTAATTTCTTTTTGCAAAATTCTTTTAAAATTTATTTAATTGTTTAGTTAATATAATAACAATGCTGAAACAAAGTGTTTGCTTTTTATGTTTAATTTGAATGGTAAAATTGAATTGCTCGATGAATAGTGAAGATAGTGAAAATAAGCTATTTTAACATGATTACTGTACATCGGTTTTGTGTTTGTATTTTTATCATGGTTTAGACTCTAGTTATTCATTTAATTAAATCATCTGCTATACCAATGGCGTCTACATCTAGTTCCGAACACCTCATTTTCGATTTTGATCGAAGTACTTCTATTCAACCTCAAAAACGTTTCAAGTAAGTATTTGTCTCTAAAGATTGTACCGTCTATGTATCAAATGCTTATCAAATGTAAAAGGATTATTGCGTTTCACTGTCTGTTGCTGATGTGGATTTTATATTCTGATTGTCTATTGCTTTTTTAGACATCCCATGGCAGCGATGTTCCATATAGCATTTAAAGGCGCTGCTATACTGCTTTACTTGTTTGGAGGATTGTTTGGACAAAATTTCTTGAGCACATTTGTTGCCTTAGTATTTCTCATATCCATGGACTTTTGGACTGTTAAGAATGTCACTGGTAGATTGCTTGCTGGTCTTCGTTGGTGGAATCATGTAGATGAAGAAGGAAATAATCACTGGGTGTTTGAAAACAAACACGCTAAAAATCAAGTCGATTCCGGTTCTCTTAATATTTTTGACGATAAAGATTCTAATACAGCTGATTCCCAAATATTTTGGATTCCCTTAATTTTTACTCCATTAATTTGGTTCCTTTTACTGCTTGTTACTATATTTAGATTTAATATTCAGTGGTTTGTAAGTATGCTAGCTAATTTTGGCAATTTATTTATGAAAAAAACAATTAATTTTGTCTTTATATTGTTTTTATCAGGTTGTCGTGGCTCTCGCATTGATCCTCAGTTCTTCAAATTTATATGGATTCATCCGATGTAGATTGGGATCAAAAGACGTAAAATCAACTTTAACACAATTCGTTGGGAAAAAAATATTTTACAATGTAAGAATGATGATGATCAGTAAATAACTGTATCAGAAATAGTCAAAGATTGCATCTTTAAATTGTTTGCATTTTGTGATAACCAAATCGTTTAGTCACACTAAATTCATTAAATTATTATTTTGCATGTTAATTGTTTTCCTTGTTCAATTTAACAATATTTTTCTTCCTTTACACAGTTCATGGGATCAAACAATTCACCAACGGTTAATCCAACGTCATCAACTGCTAGCTTTGTAAGCACAACTTAAGCTGACGGATTTTCAATCACTGCACTGAATTGAGAGATGTGCTTAAAGTGCAATCGTATACAATCAGATTTATGCTTAATTTATTCTTCAGTATTTCCATAAATTTTCTTTTACATTTTCCTCACTTGCTCAATGGAATAATTATTTCATGAAGCATAATGCAAACTCATAAATGGAAAAGAAACTCACTTCAAGAAAACTAAACGACCAAATACCCGTTAAAAATTCCAGCTTTGTGAAATGGTCCAGATAAGTATCATGAGTTTATCACAATGATAATTCCACATTTCTATTAAACAAGTGTCATACGATTGGTAACAAAGAAACAGGCAGCTGCTAATACTCTCTCAGATTACGTAGGTAACCTAATAAAATACCTCAAGTCTTAATTTCATCAACATTTCACCAAGCAGTTTGGTTTAACAACATGAAAGTTTCTCTACTTTAGATAACTAACCTACTTACATCTTAAGGTCAACAATTTTTCTCTCCTGTATGAAACAATTGAATTTATTTGAAATAATCAAATCACATAAACACAAATTATATTGCTTGTTCTGATTATTTTGTCAACAATAAAGGATAATTATATGTATATATTCAACAAGCTTGTAAGCATATCTGTAAGTCCCATTTGTTTATCCGAAATTTTGATCGATGGAAATAAATTTCAACCGCAACTTTTCCACAAGAATCACACAAGAAAACAAACAATTCTCGATTCTGCTATCGCCATTATTTATTCAATATAACAATTATATTTATAAGAAAATAGGACATTAAAAGCACAACAATAAAAATATTGCAATTCCGAAGGTGTTCCTCTCATGTAAAATCTGTATTCTGTTTCTGAATACATCACGGGTTCATTACAGATCATTACACATCTTATGTTTAATGTTTTATTGAAAACGCAGCATTTGTTCACAGTCAAAACAATTAAGAACCAGAGTTATTAACAGTTTTGGGAGAGAATGATTTTATTTTAATAAATGCCAATGTAAAGCGGAAAAATTAACAAATAACTGTATAATCATCTAACTTGAAATAGCTAATTGTCTGATTTAATTCAACAATCAAATAAAATCATTTTTAATTGAGCTTATACAATCAATTCATGTTTACAGCTGTTGTTTTGACTAGGTTAGTATCCAGTCAACTCAGCAAAAGTTTGATCCATTTCATCAGTAAGACTTTTTGATTTTTCCTTCTCATGAGCCAATTGATCTAAATAGTGAAAGAGGGAAAATATTGATTTAGCTTGCACCAATTTAAACAGCCAGTGTAATTCAAACCAAAAGATCTTACCTTCAAGTCGATCAACTTCTTTCAACAATTTTTGAACAGCTCTTTCAGCAAAATCAGCTCGGGTTTCAGCCTGCAATCGATAAATTGTAGCCATTAAATGTAACTAAATAAACCAATCTAAACAATTATGATACAAACCTCTCTAAGTTGATTTTTTAGATCGTTGATTCTCTCCTCATATTCATCTTGTTTAACCATTGACTTTTCTTCACTGACTTCCAATGATTTAACATTGTTACTGACAACTTTTAATTCCTCTTCGAGCTCCAAAATTTTCCTTTATCAAGAAATAGATTGGAAGGTAATTTGATCGTTGAAATTAGCACAATTTTCGTACCAAAATAAACCATAAAAATACTTACAATTCACCAGTTTGAGCTCTTTCCTCAGCTCTTTCCAGATCATCTTCAACTTCAGCTACTTTCTTTGCAAGCTGAATGTAACAAGACACAGATTCAAAATAGTCAATCAGTGACCAGATAATGTGTCAAAAGGGTGAAACTTACTTCATCGTATTTTTTGTCCGCCTCTTTCCACTGATGTCCTAGCATCTTTTAACTGTGACTCTAATATCTTCAATCTTTCAGAGTCCAAAGTGTTACGATGTTCAAACATTTTACGCATTCTTTAATACAATGAAAGGTTAGTTAAATGGCCGACAAAATGAAGCTTTATACTTATTTACCGTTCACTTTCATCACCAGCTTGTGATACTTGTTCAAATTTAACCTGAGCGATTTTGGTACCTTCTTCAGACTTTTCCAAATCTTCTTCCAACTGTTGAACTTTTCTAGATAATGTAGCGACTTCATTCTCAGCCTATCAATAAAATGATAAAAGGATAATGTGAATCATTTCAACATTAAATCAGACAATCAACTAACCGCATGTACATTCTTCTCTTTGCTTTCCAACTCTTCATTTGTTTTTGCTAGCTGTTCAGTGGCATGGACAAGATCCTCTTGAATTTGAGTCAAACGCTTTTCCAAGATCATTATTTCTTCCTCCGCCTGGAAACAAACGATTAATCCAATGAATTAAAAGGATAAATTACAATGTTAATCACCGGGTAATACCTTAGAGACTCTAGCGTTAGCTTCTCGGAGAGACACTTCAGCTGCATCAGCACGATCCATAGCATTGTCCTTGTCAATTTTGATTGAAGCCATCTTCTTTTTAATTGCCTCCATTTTGTTGATTTGATTATGATTGCTTTTTAAGTAAATCCACACAAATAATAAACAATAAACAAGAAAAGGAAATTTGAATAACCACTTAAACTAAAAGCAACACAAGTTTCCTCCTGGATGGACGTTTATTCACAGGAACAAATAGTGAAAGTCAAATTGCTGGTAAAGTCAATCGATGATCAACTCAAGACATATAACTGTTCCAATAAAACTGATCAACAGTGGATATGACTATGAACAAGATGGCATGAAAATCAGAACACGCAGATTAAGATTGTGTCAAATATAGATTTTTCTTGGACCAAGTCTTACCAATATTTTTACAATAGATTTAAATCCTCAAGTTAATCTGATAATCTTTTTGAACATATCATTCTCTATTGGATTACCAGTAGACACAAACAACACAATTTGATTCAGTCTGCCAAAAATATTGTCGCTTTTCAAATTTATCACTAAAGTCACCTTAAAGTAAACAATTTATTGATTCCGAATGAAATAAACAAATTTCTTCAAAAATAAGTGTCAAATTTTAATTTAAGAATATTATAAATTATTAAATAGTTGAGAGTCAACATTAAGTTTGAGTATAAATATCAAGATTGGGTAAAACAAAGGTTAAAGCATTCTTTGTAGTCTTTCGGTTGAGATTGAGAGGAGCTAAATTGGCACAATTGGATGTCCCTTCTTCCCACTTGTTGCACAGTAAATCAGTTGTTTCAGAGAATAGCGAATCTAGATGTTCTTGAGAGTATTGCACTGAAGATTCAGGACAATTAGCAGCGACAACATTGAGGAAACACTGCGAGTAAAAAGCAGAAAGGTTCAATTAGTATGGAAAAGGTTTTGTTACCAAATGTTTTACTTACCCTTCGAGTTTTCCAGTAATAACAACAAGTATAAGGTATTTTCATGTCCAAGTTATCGATGTTATCCCTAACATACTCCATTTCAGCAACATATCGATCGATACAGTCAAGTGCTTTGCCATATTGCTAAGCAAAAACAAAAGGAAAGTGAATAAACAGAAATAAAACATTTAAGATTGACTTACCGGTCTAACACAGGCAGTTTTATCAACAAACTCTTGTCGAGCTTCAAGAGTATTACAAGTGTTTCTCATTGTTTTTCTTGTTCCTGATAAGATGACATCCAATACTTGTGATGGAAAGGGTTTCAGGCAAACCCTGAGATTCTTGAGTTTTGCTGAAGCCTCCTTTGAACGGACACAATGAAAATCGTTTAACCTTTCAGCTGTTTCTGGAAGTCGTACCGATCTATCAGCAAGAGAGAGAAGCTCATTTGACCAAATATCCAAATTTGAACGATAATCTGTACAGTTAACTTTGCGTCTTTGTGGTCCTCCAGAAACAAGCAATGCTAAGAAAATAAAAGGATAATAACAAAATATTACATGAGTTGACAAAAAAGATATCAGTTTATACTTACCAGTGACTGCGAGTTGGATGCAAACGAAAAGAAATGGAATTGAATACATGATAGTTTTTGCCAGGTGAATCAATGAATAAACCGTTTTTCCGACCTCACTTTTTATACTGTTACCGTGTTGGCCTTCCTCTTTGCCACCAATCAAATTAATTGAACTTGCCCTTTAACTTTACTCTATTTTAAGTTTTCCTTGAACTTGACTGTTGGTGGACATTGACTTTGAGCCATTAAACTGAAACAAACCCTTTTACTTAATCTGTTTATTGAACATTTCGACCCATTTTCGTTTACATAATTTCTCATTAAATCTTGATAAATGTATGCAATTTATTTTCTTTATCTAAATGAATTGACCCTTTTTTGTCCTTAATCTTGGCCATTTTGAAACTGGTTGGTATCGATGCGCCCACCAATCAATTAAACTATCCAGTCCAAGAGATTTGAATAAAGATGTAAAGCGCCAAAGTAAATCACAGTTTAATTGAGAGTATATTGAGTGTAAAAATAAACTTGTTTTTGTTGCAAAATCAATCTGTTTCTTGATTAATTGAGTCTTTATAAACTTGTTAAGCCAGCCAATTTAACAGTTTCAACATAACTAATAAAACTTAATAACCTTACAATAACTGTCCGAAGGATGAATGCATAATATTGATTACAATTGTATGCTTATAAGTTATAACAATTAAAAACTAATCAGAAATATCATTGATTGAATTGTAAGAGTCATTTTATGGAAGTAATAAAATGATTGAATCTAAAATAAACCTAATGATCGATAAAAGACGAATAGAATAGCATCAGTCACTGAGAAGCTCATAAAGCAAAGGTTAGCGGAAAAATGAAAATAATGAATCACTTTTTAGAGACCGCAATAGACTACAATGCAATATCCTAACTCAAAAATGCTTGAATGCCATTAACCGCGCACAAGAGTAACAACCAAAGAGTAGGGTAGTTACTCTTTACTCTTTGAACAAAACCAAAAATAACTGTCTCATTATTTTTCGTACTCTACAATATAAGTCCGAAAAAATTGAAATAGATCGTACAAGCGCAGGGCACTTCTCTGTTAGTAAGCAACACAAAAGCCAATCTAACAGGGAAAACTTGATCGATTCCTTCAAAATGACAGTAATTGGAAGAGTTCAAATAACAAGTAAGTAGCAAGTAACATGAGCTACGAAATAATGTCAATATCGAAGTTTGACCGAAAATATCTTTTGCCATGGAAGATGATAAAGATGCTGAAGCACCACCCCGTGAATTCAAATCTTCATCAGTTTATTACACTCAATATAAATATCATTCATCATTACGTACTAAACAATCAGTTATTGCGTGTTTGATTACATCTTTTACGCAGATCAAACGTTGCGATCAATTTTTGCGATATCACTAATTATTCTTTGGTCATAACATAAGGGTAGAGTTTGTTCAAGCAATTCTCCTGGCCCGCTCCTTTGTGGCTCCATACGAAATTTTCGCTAAAAATTAAATCATTGACCGTTTACGTTAGTCTCTGTCAAGCAATACAGAAGAGGCTTCATTTCATTCTTGACTTCACATAGTACTAACAGTATTAACCAAAAGCTTTCTTTACTTCTGTTAACCAAGATTTTAGACTGATTTATTCGTATTCCATTATCCAAATGATTAAAGACACATTGCAATAGAGATAAGCATTGAAATCAACTGATTTATATCGGTATATATCTTTAATCAAAATATAAAATATTACTCTTATTCTCAATTTTAGAGCAAGATTTACAATAACTTGATATAAATAAGCAACAACAATTCACATCAACAATCTATCGGCAACACAGAGACCAAATTAAGAAGAGCTACCAATAGTGTGTTGACAATGAATAAATTCTTAATCAAAATAATCCCAATAAATCATCGTTTGTGTCTTTGATCTGGTTGATAGAAGTCTAGAGGAGAACATAGATTCATTTTGATGAAAAATAGAAAACATTTTGTAGGCAAATTTTTAGATGATTTTTGATTTTCATCGGAGATTTGAATATTATCTCAAATAGAAGATGAACTTGATAAAAAATTAAGGTCATATTCACAAATTTTCCATTAGCAATTGCTTTTCAAAATCCTGTTGAGACAAAAATAAAATCAAATTAGTCTGGGCAATCAATGGAAATCAACTATGACTTACTTTGTATTTACTTTGAGGTGGATAAAAAACAAAAAGTGATAGTTGGAAAACAGCCAAAAGCACGGCTAAAGAGTTTGAGATCTAAGGAAGAAAAAATCAGAAATTTATTAGGAGCAATAATAAATAAAATATATCAGAGTCTTAGAAGTGTGTAAAAGCTTATGCACAAATCAACTTGAATTTAACTTTAATTTAGTTAGTTTCTAGGCTTCAAGTTACATTTCTGCCTAAATTGACATCTAAGATGTCTATTAAGTATAAAAACATGTTTTACTTCTATTAAATTAATTGATAAATCATCCATGAAACTCGCATTTTACAATTTTCAGATTTACATGGAATACAAAAAGGAAACGTAATATTTAAGGTACAATTCAACAGTTGATTGAACCTGAAAAGTTTCTAAGGAGTTGACTCAAAGATGTCAAGTTGAAAAGCTTAATAGACTGCAGGTAAATCGTATGTGTAGGTGCAGACAAATTGAAATGTTAGATAGTTCACATTTAAAATGTCTTTCAGTCACGATTAGGTTTGAAAATACTCCCTTGTCAACATTTGATTGAGCAGAAGAAAATACAATGGATAGAAACTTTAATATAATCGTTAAGAACACGATTATAAAATTTGAGAATTGACAGAAACACAATGTGCATGACATACAGATGCCAAATAAACCATGCTAAAAGTTTCACTAGTAAATGTTGATTGAAATATGAAAATAAAACGTAATAACTAACCTGGATGAAGGCATCACCAATGAGAAAGCCATAAGCAAACCAAAGAAGGGCAACGACTGCAGTTGACAGAATTAACCAAAAAGGTAAAATACCAGCATTTTTATCTCGAACTACTTGAGAGATACTGGTCATTGGCGATCCAGAAAATACAACTCCGGAAATACTAGCAATTATACCAGATAATGTTCGAGGATTTTCTTGATGGCCAATGGCTAATTCAAAAAGTAACACTACAACAATCAAAACTCCAATTTTCAAATTGATTGATCTCTAAATTCAGGGGAGAAAATAAAAAAACACTTTTAGAATAACCAGATTTATCTAGAATCGTCTAGATTTCTTCAGAAAAATTATCGACATGAACTGATTAAAGATTGATTTAGTCTACAATCAATTGATAAGTAAATTATAGAGAAATTATTCAGTTTACATCGACGTGATTATTTTAAGTTGACTTACTTTGTTCAGTGTGAAATGGTAATAGAATAAAACATAGAATGTGAAAACAGCAAGGCCAATGGAATTTACAAAAATTGTGACTGAGTCATGAATAACTAGCCCATAACGAAGTCCTAAAAAAGTACTAAAATGTAAAAAAGAGCACGAGAAAAAAAGAAACTGATAAGTGATATAACAAGCGTTACAAATCGAGTAGAATGATGTCACAATGACACATTATAAAAATGCTTAAAACAAAAGAGGCTTCCACATGGTATTGCATATCTTAAACAATCCATTGTTTAATTGTAGATTGCTTATAATGAATTCATAGGAAATATTAGGCAGATAAATAAGCCAACGAGGCAATGAAATAGTAAAAGTTAAGCTACGTGTGATATAAGATTATTTAAATGAGAATCAATAGACGACAAAATCCTCTAAATAAGGTTCCAGAAATTAAATTTTCGCAAATATAAATTTTGCACTATGGTAGTATCATCATGAAAAGAAGATTTAGCATCAGGAAATGGTGTTTCGTGTAGTTTTGATAATTACCATAAAAAACCGGCAATGAAAGGGAATGCTGCAAAATCTTGTGTCGACTTTTTTTTCCATATCCTGATACAAATTTGCCTGAAATAAATATAAAAAGATAACATTAGTAAATTTGATTCATTTGAATAAAAATTGAAGCGTAATTTCATTAGCCCAACAATAAACTAAGAATTATAATGATGTCAAGGAAAATATTAGGTCAGCCCAAATGACGATAACAATGAACACCAACACTCATTAAGCTATAAAGAACAACTGATCTAAAATAATGAAAGCTTGAGCTAACCCAAAAATTGGGACCCTTCCGAGAGTCTAAAATTGCTGCATTTAAATTAAATAACCTGCATATTGTTGAAAGGTAAAGTAATCAAGAAGAGCCGGGAGATGTAATGACAAGCTTGTCCAGTTATTGATCATGTGTTTGATGTTAATAAAGAAAGTTTAAATTAAAGAGAAATAAATTATTGCCATACTTACAACCCCGTAGTGAAGTTACAAAAGGTAAATATGATGACCAAGGATGACACAACATGAATGAGCTCCATTGAGGTGGAAGTAGGTTAATCAAACCATAATTAAGACGATAGAGAATTTGATTTTTTTCTCAGCTAATTATTTACAAAGTAGTCAAATGAAACAAAAATAACAAGGAAAATTTAACTTGATTCACATCACTTCATCAGGATAGCCAACAGTGTTGTCGGGTAACAGCATCATCAGCATCAGAGCCATCTAATGTCATTAGAAGAAACAAAATAAAAATACAAATACAAATTAAAATTTAATTTCTCCAATTAACTCAAAAGAATCGTAATTAAACCTTAATTAAGCTTTTAAATTCTTCATCTAATCAAGCCTTGACAGCGAATATAATTTATGATTAGATTTTAGCAAATTTCCACAAAACAGTTTGAAAAATGATTCTTTACATTGGTGAAGTTTTGAGCATTTATTCTAGTTTTCTTATTTCATAGTCAATCAAAGATTTACCTACAATTTTATTATTTTGATTGCTTTTGTTTCAGTTATGCTTTGATCTTGAAATTAAATTAAACTCAACAATTTAAATTTAATTCACATTTGATTTTGATGGTTTTATTAGCGACATCTATTGGCTCACCTTGTTAAGTGGGAGAAACCGAAAGTTTGTGTAATAAAATGACTTGTATCACTCACTTTCTTTTCATGATCAGCTCTTCTCGCTCTGTGGTTTATTGTGTGCCCATCTAATTGATTAGTCTTTTTTTAACAATCCATGGATAGAATTAATTGTAAACTTTATTAAATCAGAATCTATTCACCATAATAAGTGTTTTGAAAGTTATAATCTTGTTCATTCCTTTTAGACTATTGCGCTTTTGTGTAGTCAGTGTAACACTAGTTTCTCTCTGAGCAATCAGCTAAACTTCAATTTCCACATCTTTGTTTCTTCTTGCTTTTGTTTTCATCTTTCCCCATTGTTCGTTGACCCTTTCCTATCATTATGTTTAGCAGAACTCTCGTAGGAAGTAAAAGCGTCATCAGTGTAGTTAAACCCGTAAGCGACTTATTTAATTCTCAGCAATCATGTTTTTCTATTTGCCATCAACACAATCGATTGGATTGGTTTTACAATCACAATGCCATTGACATTGCGGCGTTGAAGGTATTTATGTTTTCCATTTTTTAAATAATTGAAATGTTTTTCAAAACAAAAAACAAGTGTTTCATTTTCAATTTTTTTTGTCATGAACAAATGAAATAGTTATCATTTTATCATTAATCTTTGTCTATTTCTCTTGTATTTCATTATTTTACAGCCTTCCGTTCGCTTAACTCCAGCAACTCTTTTGTATGCTGGTAAAAGCCCAGATGGAAGTCATCTATTGGTAAGTTATCTTGAATATCCGAATTTAATATTAACGTTTTGATTGATATAATTCGATGAGCTAAATATGATAAGAAAAAAAACCAGTTCAGTTTTCATTATCTAAAGTTGAAGAAGTTTCAAAATACATGAAAAGGTTATTCATTGCTGACCTAACTGCTGTATTTTGTCACTTTTCAGCCTCTCTTTTTGTGCATGAAGTGAAAGCGATGATGATGAAGATTCACGTGAACAATGAATGATAGTTCCACGTGATGCTGAAAAGATGTTGAAACAAGATTCAGTTTGCAATATGAGATGACCTAAATTAAACGTTTATGTTCAAAGTTAGGGGTAAACCAATCAAGTTTCTCTGTATAATCTAATGGTTTAACTTTTATTGGTGCAAACTGATTGAAGTTTTCATTGCAGTCTTTCTTCCTCTATGAACTATGAAATTCAAAGTTTGCATTTCTAGTTTTTCCTATTAATAGTTTAATCTTTTTTCGCTTTCATGTTCTATTTCATACTTTGGCCAATTCCACTTAACAAAAACAAGAGCATCACAAGCGTTTCAAAGGTGCTTTAAACATGAGACTTATATCTATTATCATGTGATGATACAATTGAGAAATCATTTTTTTGTTAGCTCAATGAAACTAGACACCCTTTTGATACTTGAAACAATTATTGCTTCTCTTTGACAAAATTTAACTATTTATGGCCGCACCATTTAACATGAAAGATAATTATTTTAAATACTTGACCTGAATTTACTGTTAAATTTGAATGTTGATTTTCAATCATTGACTTCGAGGTTGTCTCCAATTAACCTCGCTCGTATAATATTATCTCATTTTCACTTTTTCAACGTTGTGATAACTAATTAAACAATTTATTTGACTTTCTTTTCATCTCAAATTATGCAGAGAAGTGCACAATATTTACATAAGGAATTGCCGGTGAGGATTGCCCATCGAATCGCTGGATTTCGCGAGTTACCGTTCATTGTAGGATGTAATCCAACCATTCTAGGAGTCCATGAGCAATACATCCAGGCTTTTTACCAAGTCACAGAGTTTCCCGAGGTGAGATGACCACCGGGAAGCCTCTTTCTGATCGTTTAAAGTTAAATGCATGCAAATAGATCACAGATCTCGAAACAGAGAAACGTTACACGGCCATGTTGAGGCAATTGCTTGATACGCACAAGGACGTGGTTACGAGGTTGGCCGAAGGATTTCGCGAATCAAGAAAACATATAAAGGTAACTTCAAATTTAGATTTAACAAACTCAAATCAACGGTTTGTAATCAAGAAATTTTTCTTCCTCATTTCTCATCTATTTTTGTGTGTTCACTAACATTTTCAATTGAAAAATGGAGAACGAAGAGATAATACGAATTTTTTTGGATCGGACTTTAACTTCGCGGCTTGGTATGCGAATTCTGGCCGAACATCATTTAGCATTGCACAATGAAAAGTCTAATCACGTTGGAATCATCAATTTAGCCATGAAGCCCAAACAACTGATTGAAAAATGGTGTGATTATGTTCGAGTTTTATGTGAGAATAAATATGGAAAATCTCCAGCATTTCGTTTAAATGGTCATCTTAATGCATCTTTTCCTTATATTGAAACACCATTGGATTATATTCTTCCTGAACTTCTCAAGAACGCAGTTAGGTAATCAAGCCTCTTGCATTTTCCTATTTCATAATTCAAGTATCTCTCATTCAAATCAGGAGGAAAGTAATTTTTCCAAAACTCACATGATTTAGTGAGAACTGCTTTTACCTTCCTTTACAATTCAATTACAACCCACAGACTTATATCATAATGCTTAATGCGCAACAATAGCATGATACCTTGAATTAAAGTGAGCCTCATGAATGGATGTTGAACACGAAGTTACCATGTGCTTGATTTCAATCAAACATTTCACATGATGGCTAACACTAGCTAACACTATTTTAACATGCTCATAAGCTAATTTATGATGTTGTTGACCTCGATTATATTTATTGCTTGCAAACTAATCAATCTAACCAAAAAATTTTAATCATTTAAATATCAAAATCATTGAATTGAACTCGATTAGCAATGTATGGAAGGCTAAAAACCTTGAATTATAATTGAACTTGACAATAATGCTTCATTTTTTTCTATCCTCTCCAATCAAAGGGCCAACGTAGAGTCTCATTTAGATTCACCTAATGTGCCACCGATAACTATTACAATTGCTCAGAACAACATTGATTTTATCATCAGGTAAGAATATTATGTAATTATGAGTAATATCCTTGTTGTCATTTTATAAACTCATAATCATCAACCTCGCCAATGTCTGGTTTATATTCCTTGTCTTTTTAATCTCACTAAATTAATCAACTTTTTCTCCAATCAAGAATTTCTGATCGAGGTGGTGGAATATCTCATGACATGATAGATCTTGTAACACAATACCATTTCACAACATCTGGAACGAGCACTGATCATCGTATTGATGGTGGTCTTTTCGGATGCATGATGCACGAACCTAATTCAGCTACCACTAAGATGCATGGATTTGGCTTTGGTTTACCAATTTCTCGAGCTTATGCTGCTTATCTTGGTGGATCTCTCACTATTGAATCGATGCAAGGAACTGGGACTGATGTGTATCTACGATTAAAACATATCGACGGGAAACATGAAAGCTTCCGAATTTGATCTCGAGCACAACTCAACCTGTGAATTTTTTTAAATCGAAATGTTTTGATCATAAATCAAATTTGCTTCTTTTTTATTTCTCTTTAATTGTCTTTACCTTGTTTCCAATAAGCTTGTTTAATATTTTGTAAAAGTTTCGCTTATTACAACTTTCTGGAAACATCATGTAACTTATACACTAATTCAATTCAACAGAAAGAAAAAATATATCTTTTGAAACTAAAAGAGAAGAAAGTTTATATTTTTCAAAGTACTAATGACTTGAAACGACCATTTTTTGGTATAAAAAACAATTTATAAGCTTTGTTTACAAGCTGTTTGTGTTTATCGACGCATATTAATATAATTCAATATGCTAGCTTAATGTTGACAGAACATACTTTTTAGTAGGATCAATTAAGAAGTTCTGTTTTTGATTTCATGGAACTCAACGGATACCGATCAGACCAGCTTCGATTAGTTTCTCAATTTTAGCAGCCACTTCTGGGTTACGCAAATGATCTTGGAGAGCCTTTGGATCATTCTGCATTTGCTCTAAGATTAATCTCATAGCAGGATCACCTAAAATTTTTTGGACTTCTGGATCGGACATAGCACGAGCCCGAACTTCTTCTGGGTTAGACATTGAAGCCATTGTGCATTTACGATATCCTTCAACAGCTTCTTGACAATTTGAATCAATCTCAAGCGCCTTCTGGAAAGCAGATGAAGCTTTAGTAAATTCCTTAAGAGCATAAAGAGCCATTCCCTTCCTCACGTGACCCTTGACTGAAAGAATGCAAAAAAAGATTAGATAAGTAAACAAATGATTTTAAAATGATAAAATAAAACTTACCAAAAGTAGGATCGAGTTTTATACAGTCTTCGCAGTCTTGAAGGGCTAACTTAAATTCAGCTAATTTTTGATAACAAGCAGCTCGATTGCTGTAAATCTTAGCATCCTCGGGATTTCGTTTAATAGCTTCAGTATAATGCTGTATGGCTCCTGGATAGTCTCCTACAAAAATACCAAAAAAAGAATTTCAGAGATTTATGAAAATCAACTGGGAATATAAATAGACATACCTTTGGAGAAACATTCATTTCCCTTAGTCTTTTCCTCTAAGGAAATTTCAGGGTTAACGTAAGCTTTTCTTTCTTTATCCTTTATAGCCTTTTCAACATCCGAAAGCTTAGCTCTTGTTTCCGGTGTTCGATGCTCGGTTAAAGACTTTTCATAGTACTTTTTAGCACTTTCTAGATCATCTTGTCTATGAAAAGCTAAGGCCATTCTGGCATAAGCTCTGTAAGAAAAATTACGCATTTAATTAATAAGCATAACTCAATTGAGAGAGAGACCTTTAAACTTACTTAGCTATAACTTTAAAATCAGCTCTATTTTCACGACCAACTTCAACAGCCTTTTCACAATCTTTGATGCATTGATCAAAATCTTTTTGTTCAATTCGAACCGCTGTTGAGACAATAACAAAAAATGCGTAAATGATAAGAAAATCATTGCAAACAATAGGAATGAGGAAGAACAAAGGCCAAAGTACTTACCAGCTTTGTTTAAAAGGAATGTCATGTCGGTAGGGTCCAGAGAGATAGCCTCATCATAAAATTTGATGGCCTCTTCAAAGCGTTTATCCTTGTAGGCAGCATTACCCTTCTCTTTGGCAGCAAGAGCCTAATTGAAAATAGATAGTTGCACCACAGAAGTAGGCGAAAAGATATATCAATAAAATTTTTGAACCAAAAAAAATAATTCAAGACAGGGAAACAAAAGCAAGAAAAACAATAAGACCAATAACGCACATGATATGAAAACACAATTTCAAGAGATGGGAGGGAAACGAAAATGGCATTTAAACAATCGAAATAAAAATTGATTAACTTACTTTGACTTTGTTTGCATCAGCCATGTTTGAAAATTAACTATTTTTAAAATATTGAACAAGAACAGTTGATAAGCCCAAAGTCCGTGAATCGCCAATCAAATGTGCTACAGAGAAAAACAGAAAAACAGAAAAACAAAATCTTCGATGAATAAACCACCAGATGGCATTAAAACCAGAAATTTCGAGAAAAGAATCGATACTTTGTTCAAATCGGTATCGATTAGCAAAACCAATCTTTGAATTCAAGCATCGATACTTTTCATTTGCACATCGATGGTATAGTTAATAAAGTTAGTTTATTTCTCATCATTAATCTGTTGCTCATTAGTTGCGTTATTTTTTAATTTCCTGTGTAGTTAGTTTACTTTAGATAATTAAAAATGTCTTTCTTCGGTAAGCTATTTGGCGGTAGAAGTGATGGAAGTAGCAAACAAGAACAAAAGGTTACCACTTCAATGGCTATTCAGAAGTAAGTTTTTTTGCTGTTTGTTTTGTTAACTCACATGTTTAGCAAAAGCTAGTTAATCATTCATGTCCTTGTTAAACTAGGATTACTCATTATTGTCAATGTTTCCTCGTTTCCTTTATGCTCTTTCATTGTGTTTAATTCTTAGGCCCGATACATTTTTTAAACTGTTAGCTTTGACTGTTATTTTAAGGCTAAAGATTTTTATTTTGCCAGAAAACTTGTTCTCCAAATATATTGCAGATTATATTTTTAGTATAAAATTTGTATGTGTCATTTTTGTTGCACTGATAATATAACTCAATCGTTATAACACCGTCGTCTGAGGGCTTGATGTTTTTTAATCTTTAATCACTCAATTTAAAAATTATCTTTTTATTCCTATTATTCATAGGTTACAAGATACAGAAGAAATGCTTATGAAAAGGAAAGAGCATCTTGAAGGATTAATTAAAGAACAAGAGAATATTATCAAGGTTAATGGAACAAAAAATAAAAAAGTAGCTTTAACTGCACTGAAGAAGAAGAAACGTTTAGACAAGCAACTCGAAATTGTTGAAGATACAATGGCAACATTGGATAATCAAAGAGAATCTTTGGAGAATGCTAACACCAATACTGAGGTTCTTAAAAATATGGCTACGGCTGCCAGAGCATTGAAAGCTGTACATAGTGATATGGATACTGATAAGGTTGAAGATTTAATGGATGAAGTACGAGAACAACAACAAATAGCTGAGGAAATTGTCGGTGTTATTACTGAGAGAAGCGGTCAACAACTAGATGACGAAGAACTCTTGAAGGTATTATTTTCCTTTCAAACAATACAAATATTTAGCTTAAGTGTTATTGAATTCATGCCAGTTAAATTTGCCTATTTTAATTCACTGATTTTATTTTATTTTTATAGGAGTTGGAAGAGATGGAACAAGAAGAATTGGATCGAAAATTGCTGAACGTTGGATCTATACCAGCCGTCACACCCGAACCTGTAAAAGATGCTTCACCAAGTAAGCTATTTGTGAAAAATGTCATTGTAATTTTATGAACTATTCTCATTACGTTTTTCATTTATATTTGACAGGTTCCAAATTGAAAGATCCCGAAGAAGACGAATTGGAGGCCTTGAAACAATGGGCTGCCTGAGATGAAGTCAGAAGTGATTTATATTTTTTACCAAAAAAGCTGAACATGATTCGTGCTATCTATTAAAACACTATCTTCTCTTTTTTAACTTGCATACCTAATTAATATTTTATTAGCCTTCTCTATCTAAACTGAAATCATAATGATAAAAGCCAATGTACACCCACAACATGGTGATTATCATCATTACCAACTGCTTTGATGGCAACTGCTTGACTTATCAAATAAGCATTCTCTCCTATTTCATCCTTCACTCACTCAACCATTTTTTCCACTCGCTTCAAATATATTAGAAATATGTTATTATGTACATCTATTTTGGTTATCATCGATAATTACACTGACGTAGTTTGCTGTACAATATCAAAAAATGTTTTAAATCGATGTTTTTGAAAATCTATCCTTTCGGTAAAGCTATCGATAAAAATACTGCCAAACTGCCACGCTATGCATATAAATCGCCACAACTAGCTGAAACTACTCACTGACGGTATAAAGCGTTAATTATTACGAACCGAATGCTTGAAATTTTAAGGTAGCGCTAATGCATTAGCAAGCGCTCTAATCAACAACCAAACATTCTAGTCAAATCAGTTCGAGTTCAAAAAGGAAACGTATTTGTTTTGGTGTTAATAAATTAGACTCGTTCAAATGTGATTAATGTCTTTTGGTTCAATGACTTAAATCTGTTTTTTGTCTTTTAAAGAGTATGAATGAATGACACAAAAATGCAAATTAACTCTCGAATGAGAAAAATATTACTAATCAACGAAAATTTTATTCAGTTTTTGTGCAAGTTTCCTCTTTCCTTATATCTTGAGAATATTCTGTTTATTTTGTGGATGACTAATTTAAGACAATATTAACAATGGTTATTGCACTGAGGTTGAGGCTGACGCATTGCAAATTCACAGTAAGTAGGATGTAACAATGTAGACAAAATAATGATAATAAAATTAATATAAATGAAAGCTGTGATAAAAAAGGGAGCTGTTGACATTAAGTGTTCCAATGAAAGGATATTGACTGAAAATTCAACTGAAATTTACACTTCCATGAGAAATAATCAGTGTAGCAAATTGTTCTGTGTACTGGTCATATTTTAAACGTAAAATTATTTTAAGATCTACGTTTAAGATAAAGCTCATTGATTGAACGACTCGAAGAACTTCACTTTTAATCATATGAAAAATACTTTTAGTTTCAAATAATTTAAAGATGGTGCACCTGATTTTGGATGGATTACTGATGCATTACCAGATTCGGAAAAGGTTGATAAATATCGAGAATCTTTACGAGAACTTGCTGGAAAAATTTCATCTGAAGGAAGCAAAGTATTATCATCAGCATCGGATGGACTAGATCTGCTTTATCGTTGGATTGAAGAAGTAAGAACTGCTCAAGCAAATTTGAACTTCGTTAGGTTGACTTCGATGCATTAAATAATAAATATACTTCCGAACTAAAAGTATTATTGTTATTATCGCTATTTCAAGGCACTCTCATTATCTTGGATCTCATTGGTATGATAATTTCAGTTAGATTTTGTTTTATTCATCTGATAGTCACAATTAATCTGATTAATGTAAACTGATCCAGCATAGGTGGAGCTTTGCAGCTGTCGCATATAAAGAAACCCAAATATAAGATGTTGGTTAAAACATAATTTCAACAGCTAATAAAAGCATAAATATATTTTTTTGGTTTTGTGATTGATTAACTGAAATTAAAAAATGGTGATTGAACTGTATCAAGTTCCCATGTCTGCTCCTTGCCGACAAGTAATGATGGTTGCTAAAATCCTTAACCTTCATATTGAGAAACGCGTTATGGACCAAACTGTTTACACAAGTCCTGAATTTCTGAAGGTATGTCAACTTAATTTGTCAACTAATTTTAAAATTCGATGACCTTAAAGAATTTCCAATGGTATTTTCATTAGTAAAAACGCAATTTGATTGTTTTTACTTGCCTTAAAAGTCAACAATAACAGTAACCGTTCTATCAATTAAAGTTTGAAATAAAAATGAAAACATTTCTTTCGATTCTGTCTTGTTTTCTGATTTTGATCATGTAAATGATAACATACTTTATCAAGCAAATAGACTGGTCAATTTATTTGAAAATTAGTATATATTTTGATAAAAGTGATATAAATTCATCAATAAAATACAAATATTTATTTTCTTTTAGATTAACCCTTTCCATTGTATTCCAACCTTGGTCGATGACGGATTTGGTTTGTGGGAAAGGTGAGATACTTGAGATAATAGATGATGACCTATCTGATAAACGTTAGTTCAGGGAATATAATTTAATCATTTTTTATGCTGATCGCATCACAATGTAAACACAACATATTCAGAATCGATCAAAAATGAAACCCAAGTTTTCTCTTCACATTTGAACAGCCACTCGTTGAGAGATTCAGGGCTTTCAAGCCTGGTTAGGCAAAATCTGAAAAAGGATCTAAAATTTATTAAAAAAGGTTAAAAATATTTCTTGCCAACAAAGATCAAGATTGCTTGTAAAATTAAATTTTCAAAACAATGAACACGAGACTGAGTTTCTTTCATCAATTTGTTTCATTACTTCTTTTTGTGTACTCCACTGAATAGTCGGGCAATCATGACTTATTTGATCAACAAGTATGAACCTGAAAGTAGTCTTTATCCAAAAGACATTAAAGCTCGTGCAACTGTCGATCGATGGCTTTACTGGGATACTGGTTCACTTTATTCAACACTTTACTTCTACTATACTCCTATTGTACGCCAAGGAATCAAACCAGATCCAGCAGTTGGTAAACTTTTCTTGGATAAGGTTATGCTTCTGGATGAGGCCCTTGCAGACACCAAGTACCTGTGCGGAGATACCATTACTTTGGCAGATCTCACCGTAATGACTAGCATAACGACTGCTCAAGCTACAGACTTAGATCTTAGTTCATTTAAAAATGTTGACCGTTGGTTGAAGCAACTGGAAACTAACTACGCTGACTGGTGGAAAGAGTTGGTCACTGATCCTGTCAAGGAATTTCGAGATTTTCTTCAAAGTAAACTTTAAATGAATTGATCGATTGTTATTAAATTATCATCCACCCTCTGGTTTGTCAAATATGATAGAGAAATATGTATAATTTTTTTAAAATTAACAAATTATTGATTGAATTGTTTACGGATTCTGATCATTATAAACTGCTTTCGAGTGCTTTCAAATCAGGTCGGAAAGTATGCACTGAAATTTTCCTTTGCAAGTTAGCAATCTAAAATGTCAAGGCTGGTTTGATCTGGCTAGCAATAATAACTTATTATTAATAAGTTATCAATCACTGATTAAAATTATCAAGAAATATTTACTGTTATGATTAACTGATAACATCGCATTTACTTTACAATAATGGTACTCATTCGTTAGTTATTTCACCCAACTTTAAGTGTTATTGAGCATCAATAGTAAGTGCAAACTTTTTAAACCGATAATCTATAAAAAGTAAAAGGTAATGTCAAAATGTCAAAATTTCGCCCGTACGGAATGATTTCAAGAGCGAAACTTTAGCATAGGCAAAATCATGATCCAGTTACATCCACAGAAAATCATCTCAGAATTCAGATCTCCGAGAAATACATGAAAATAGAGACTGGGGGTAAATTAAAGAAGCAGTACTCTGTATTATTGAAAGAGGGTACAATTAAATATTATAAATTCAGCTAACAAGGTTGTAAGGTTGAGTTTGAGGTTTGAAATTCACAGCAAATATGATTTAATAATTTAGACGAAATAATGGTAATAAACTAATTACAATGAAAGCTGTGATAAAAAAGGGAGCTAAGGACATTAATTGTTCCAATCAAAGGATATTGACAAAAATTAAACTGAAATTTACACTTCCATGAGAAAAAATCAGTACAGCACCTTGTTCTGTGTATCGGCCATATACAGAACCTGACATTTTAAGCGTAAAATTGTCTTAAGATTTTTGTTTAAGATAAAACTCATTAATTAAATGATTTGAAGAATTTCACAACAGATAATATGAAAAATACCTTTAGTTCTGGAAAAATAAATGCGATTAAATGAAGCTGAATTTTTTAAATTGAAAGTTTTCGCAAAAAATTGATTTGAGTTCGATATATCGAATCCCACATGCAGAAAACTTAAACAGCTGATAAGTTTGTTATTGAAAGCGGTATACAAGTGTCTTTTTGTATTTACATTAGTAGTTAGTATGAAAAATGATTATAATGCTGTAGAAATAATTAATTTAATATGGTTGTTATTTTAAGAATTGCTCGTAATCTTCTTCGTCTTCGGTACATTGTTCTTGGGTCTGCAGTTGGAGGGGGAATCCAGGCTCACAAGGTTAGTTTTTGTAAAATTTGATAGCTTGATTAGCAAAGAATATCTAATTGTTCTAAATGATAATTTTATACTCTTTAAGTTATTCACAACACTAGACTTAAATTTTCATGGTCTCTCATTGAAAAATAATGATATCTCTTTCATCATTGTAGAAATATAAAGAATTTAAAGATGGTGTACCTGATTTTGGATGGATTACTGATGCATTACCAGATTCGGAAAAGGTTGATAAATATCGAGAATCTTTACAAGAACTTGCTGGAAAATTTTCATCCGAAGGAAGCAATTGGCTAAGTAAAGTATCATCATCAGCATCAGATGGACTAGACCTGCTAAATCATTGGATTGAAGAAGCAAGAACTGCTCATCAAGCAGAACTTGAAAGTAAGTTCATCGACTTTAACAATTTGTATTTTTAATTGCCCTTCTTCCTGCCACGATTGACAAGTCCCGAATAACCAACCTTGTTGCTTGCTTTATATGCAATTCCATTTCATTTTTTGTGTTTGTTATGCATTTTTAATTTTTATTTTCTAACATTTATATGAATATACATTAGAATTAAATTTTCTTGTAGGACAAAACCAGCTATTATCCTCCGATGACGCAACTTCAGACCATGCAGGCAATAAAAGTATCTCTGAAGTTCATCAATTCTCAAGTGCGTCAACATCAACCTCTTCGGAAGCATATGAAAGGGCTCAACGAGATGCGGCACGGATAGCCAAATTACAGGACGAGCTTATTTCTCTTCAAGTAATTCGTTTTATTGATAATTCATTTGATTATGTACTAACTCGCTTTTTGCCCAACATTTGCAGGTTAAATTACAAAGGGAAATAGAGAGACTGCAAAAAGAGAATAAAGACCTGAAAAGACAACTTCTTCTTAAGAAAACTGACTCCAAGATTAAGAAAATTCAAAAATCTCTCATTGATATGTATTCTGATATTCTAGACGAATTATCCGACTATGATGTTAATTACAACACACAAGATCATCTTCCACGAGTAAGAACTTGATTACTTATTCCGTTAGTGTCTTTTTTAGTACTATATCTGATTATCCCTTTCTTTCTTTTTTTGAAGGTGGTTGTTATTGGTGATCAAAGTGCCGGTAAAACTAGTGTTTTGGAAATGCTTGCTGGAGCAAGAATTTTTCCTCGTGGAGCCGGTGAAATGATGACTCGTTCTCCTGTTAAGGTCACATTAAGTGAAGGTCCTTACCATATTGCTAGATTTAAAGATAATCCTAGAGAATATGATTTAACAAAAGAACCAGATTTAGTAGAACTTAGAAAAGAAATTGAGATACGAATGAAGTCTTTTACACGGGGAGATATTTCAGTTTCTCCTGAAGTAATTTCCCTAACAGTTCAAGGACCCGGAATTTTAAGAATGATTTTAGTTGATTTACCTGGTATAATAAGCGTAAGTCAATCACCTTTACTCAAATCTTTTAAAAAATTAAATTAAAAAGTTAATTTTGCATTCTTTTTACATAGACTGTTACGTCTGATATGGCCTTAAACACACGAGAAGCTATAAGGGATATAGCCAAACTTCATATGAGCAATCCGAACGCAATCATTCTTTGTATTCAAGATGGGTCCGTAGATCCAGAACGAAGTATAGTAACAGATTTAGTTAGTCAAATGGATCCTACTGGAAAACGGACTATTTTTGTTTTGACCAAGGTTGATCTTGCCGAACGTAATATGGCAAATCCTAGTAGAGTAAGTTTTAATACTTTCTATCAAGAAAGACGATATTCTAAATAAATATTTTTTCCATATTAGATTCGTAAAATTTTAGATGGTAAATTGTTTCCGATGAAAGCTCTTGGATATTATGCTGTAGTTACAGGAAAAGGAGATCAGGATGAAAAGATTGAATCAATCAAAAGATACGAGGAACAATTTTTCCAAGATTCTCAACTTTGCAAGTAAGAAAAGATCGGAATCAACACTTAGCTACAATACAGAGGGCTTAATAAACTAATAAACTTTTATGTTATGATTTCACAGAAAAGGAATTTTAAATCCAACACAATGTACCACCCATAATTTGAGTCTTGCTGTATCCGAATGTTTCTGGAGGATGGTGAAAGCTTCGGTTGAACAACAAGCTGATGCATTCAAAGCTACCAGATTTAATTTAGAGACAGAATGGAAAAACAGTTTCCCAAGGATGCGCGAATGTGATAGAGTAAATTTTTGCTAATCATTTAGACCGATTCACTAAAACTAATAATTCAATATTTTTTTGTTCAGGATGAATTGTTTGAAAAAGCTAAAACGCAGCTATTTGATGAAATCATAAATTTAAGTCAACTGAGTCCTAATCATTGGTGAGTTAATTTAAGAAAACGATTTGCAAATTTAAATATGAACGTACTTATATCAATTTTATTTTTATCAGGGAAACTGTTCTTACAAAGATGCTTTGGGATAGTTGTAGTTCATATTTGATGGAAAATATTTACCTGCCTGCTTCGCAAGAGACTAGCAGAAGTCTCTTCAAAACTAAAGTCGACATTAAGCTAAAAGATTGGGTGGAAAATATATTGCCTGTAAAATCAGTAGAAGTTGGTAAAGCCGCTCTAGTCCAAGAGTTTAATAAATTAATCGAGAAAAGTAAATCAGATCCAAATCATGATGACGTTTTGGATGACTTAAAAGCAGCAGTTGTTGAAGAAAGCTGGAAAAGACATCAATGGGAAGCTAAAGCATCAGAAGTTCTTGTAAGCTAAATAATTTTAAAGATTTTATTGAAAATATCATACAAAAATTGATCGAAATCAATTTATTTGAAATGTCTTATTATTGTTTACAGAAAGTCATACAATCCAATGCGCTTGAAGATTATCTTATTCCGGATAAAAATCAATGGACCATTGCCATAAACCTTTTTGAAAATAGTTTAAAAGATTACTCTAAGAAATGTAAGTTCTAGTTCAACAATTTCAATGAATGTTACAACAATGTATCGAGAATTGAAATCATTGGTTCTTTTTCTCTACAGCTGAGATTGCACTACAAAATATGTGTGGTCCCGGATTTACTGAAAGATGGTTATACTGGAAATACAAATCTAATGAAAACCATACCGTAACTGCTGTAAAAAATGAGCTTGAAAAATATTTCCAGAGTCCACGTTTCAAGGTATTGCACGATAGTCATTTATCATCATTTTAAAGTCCATCACAATCAAAACGTTTATCATTAATCATTTTTTTCTTAACATTTCAGTCACATTCGGAACTCGATGAGATCGAGTTAACTACAGTTCAACAAAACCTTCAAGTTCAAAATGTGGAGGCTTCTTTCGAATTGGTAAGTCATAAAACCATGAAATATTTATTATAACAAGTTATTTTATACTAAATTTTATGCTATACATTATATTAATATGTTATTTTAAATTAGAGTCTTTCAAATTGAAAAATGAATATATCAAAATAAAAAAAAATTACCAACAGTTTAAAAGATTGATTTATTATTAATAAACCATTTATCTTAAGCATGTAAAGCACTACATGAATATCTCTGATTTCAGTTTGGAAGTTCAAAGTTTAAAACTATTTAACTTGAAAGTTTTTCAATGTGAATTATTAAATTTTACAATGAATTGTACTAATTCATAAACTATAAAACCACCAAAACAACTGAATTTGTATATCCTCATTAATTGGTTTTATTATTTTATCTCTTTTTAGATCAAAGATGTTTGGTTTCATTTGTACCGAATCAATTTTATCAAAAAGGTTTTAGAGAGATGTGAAGAGTGTAAAAAGTGCTTCTACCTTTACAAACAAGGAATTGAAGTTGATGATGTAAGTATTGATTTTATCCCTTTCGTGATCTGATTCATTTTTTTTATTTCACACAGATCAAATATGATGACATAATTGTATTCTGGCGTATCCATAAAACCTTTGCAGCCACAACAAACGCACTTCGCCAGCAAATAATGAATAGAGAAGGACGCCGATTAGAAAAAGAGTTGAAAGACGTTCTTGATGATTTCAGTCAAGATAGAGAAATTAAAATTAGCCTATTAAAAGGACGTAGAGTTCAATTAGCTGAAGAACTGAGTAAGTATCTCTTTAAAATCTCTTGAAGTTCATTTACTATTTTCTAATTGTTATACTTTTATTTGCATTTTTTTCAGAGCGGGTAAAATTAATTCAAGAAAAATTAGAAGAGTTTATCGCTGCATTGGAAAAAGAAAAATAAGATATTTGTTAGCATCTAAGTTCAAGTGAAATAGTGATCAACATAATTTGAGAATGAATTTTTCAATGTTTGGAATTGAAATTATCATTTTTGAAACATAATAAACTGTAAATTTTACTGATATTAAATTATCAATATTGATAGTAATGATGATGTAAGCTGCTTATGAATAATTACATTTTAGTGATTTCTTGAATTAAGTCATAGTAAACAGTAGACATTTCAAGAATAATAGATTATTTGAATAATATTGAACTTGCTTCTTTTCTATTTTTTACTCAAAAAAGGTCAGTGTAATCATTAGATTGCGTGGAAATAATCATTAACTGTGTATTAATATCAAGAAAGAAAATTAAATAAGCGGTAAAAGAAATAAAGTTACGAGCAGAGAAAAGAAATGGATTATTTCAATGTTATCGACTGAATTGTTGCTGGCAGGTATTTTTATCTTCAAATGATTGGATGATTAAGTTAAAAGAGTAGTCAAAACAAAGAGTAACAAAAATTATGTCCAAAGAATGACAATTTTATAGAGAAAATGCAGAACAACAAAACAGGAAAAGAAATAAAATATTGGTTTTGCTGATCGATGGTAATGCAAATTATTGGAAGCTTAGAATTCGGAATACAAGTTAGATAATCAATTGGATAATGGTGAAAGAAATTTGAACAGTCACAGTAAAATGATTAATAACTCGGGTCAAAAAATGCTGAATTTGATTCAATTGTCAACAAAAACAGAGATGCGATAAAAATGAATGCTCAATATTTTGGTCCATATTAACCAAAAGAAACTGCGGAAGATGAATTTTGTTACCATGACATTGTCTTGTTTTCCTGGTTTATTCGAAAGATATTAAGAGAAGAGTATAAAGATGATAAAAAAGAGAAGGAGAAGGAGAAAGAGAGAGGGAGAAAAGGAGAGTGGCGAAAGAGAGGAGAAATGAAGAAAGGCAAAGATTTACCAAAGGATTCGTGTATTGAGCAAGATAGTGAGAAAGAGTGAAAGTGTTTAGAACAGTTAATGCAGTCAGTGTTAATCTTCACCTATTGAATCCCAGAGTGATTTACAGATGAATACGGATGAACCAATTCCTCCACAATGGTTGATATATGGTTATATCACGGCCGTTGGTTCATTTTCCCTCTTTTACGGAATTGAAAATGCTCTTGATGTTTACCGTTCCTCTCTAGAATCAGTTCTTGCATCAAAAGAATCTACAAGATCTATTCGACGCCGGTGGAATTGGCGCAAATTCAACAATACAATTATTTCTCTGATTCATGCTACTCTCTGTTCAATTGGATTGGTCATTTCGTTAATTCTTTACCCTTCACTTCAAACTGATTTAGTCTTTGATTGTCATCTTTTACCATATCTTGTCATTTCCTTTTCCACTGGCTATTTCATCAAAGATTTTCTAACCAACCTTTTGCGAAGAAATGAATTTGCTCGAAGCTGGACCGAAAGCTCGGAGATCCTGTTACATCATGTTGTCTGTGTTTTAGATATGACCATCTCTATTAACAAATATCACTACACTGGTGGCCTCATGTTTGCTCTTCTTGCTGAATTGAACAACACTTTTCTACACACTAGATCACTTCTTTTGATGGGCATTGGAATACCGAATGATGGAACGCTATTTCGAGCAGTTTCCCACCTTAATTTAATAACCAATTTGATTTTCCGATGTCTACCTAATTTTTTCCTCGCTTATCGTTTTGTATTTACTTCACCTACTGGAGATCCGCAACTGGACAAACTTATTCCCAAATTTGATCTATCCTTAATTACTTTCTCACTTCTTCTCCTGATGACTTACCAAAGTGTCATGTTTTTCCGGATCTGTAGTCGTGATTTCAAAAGACACAAACTCAATTGATTAAAGAAGATTCTAAGAGCGATGTATAGATGTCCAAGATACGCAAGGAAGGATAGTTACCAAATTTTTAGAATAAAATTTAAATTAAAGGCTAATTAATCAAGAACAAGATTAACCAGTTCAAAGTTATGAATTTTTTATTTTTGTTCGCTCTTTTATTCTCATTGATGAAATTTGTTAAAATCAAAAATTACCATTATCCTCATTTTGAATAATTTATTGAATATACGATTGGTTTTCTTATTCACTCAATTTCTTATTCATTAAATTGAAATCAGCTCTACATAATAGAATAATGTACACAACATATTGTTTTAACTAATAAGATTTTTTTATATGCTAGTAATTTTTGCTGCACCATTTTATTCCAATTAATCGTATCGTGGTCGAGGGTGCTCATAGTTTTCAGCATCGAAATAGGTGAAAAACTGAAAAGATAGGAAATATAAATTGCAATCAGATGGTTGTATGGCCATTAAACGATAATCTTATAATATTCGAAACTTACCTTATAGTTTTTATTCTGATACCGATTGTGAGGTTCCCTTTGTCTATTGATAATACCGCTGATGAAGGTGAAGATAATAAGAAAATATTCATTAAAAACCTGATTCAATAGGTATACAAGCCTAAGAAATTTTAAATTAAATGGTCAACTTACACTCCGTCAGGTGTTTGTAAAGCCAACCTCATAAGATAGGAACCGGCCATGAGAGCAGCTCCACCGCTGAATATAACAATTGGGATAACCTAGAAGAAAAATTAACCAGATAATTGAATGGGGTAAATAATATTACGTGAGGCATAATGAATACTTACTGCTGGAGTCTTTTTACAATGATGAATGATGCTCTGCACTATTCCAGACATAATTTGAAGAGGGCTGAATTCACAAGATCACAAACTAATGAGGAAAAATAATTAAAATTATTACAATCAAACAATTTAATAAATAAAGTGTTGAAGAAATTGTAATCAAAGTGTCACAAATTTTTTTGAGAACGCCAAGGTTAACTGAGTAGGTTTAACTCCAAAAGCTAATTTCACAGCATTTGAGGTGCAAATATCGCGCTAAATTTTAAATTCAGTTTCATTATTTAATTGCATCAATGAATTATTCGCGTCAATAGTAGCATAAAAAAATAATATTTGTTTCACATCAGAAGATAGGAATGAAAATTAGAATAATTAAATATGTTTCTCAGTAATCTAAGGAAAGTGGATGTTGGCTATTTTTAGATCATGAAAGGAATGTGATTCAAGCTCTAATAAACAAGCTGATGAAATAGACTTGAACACTTTCATTGCCTCTGTAATTAATAATCAAGCAAAATTAATATGATAATTGGCAAAGAAATATGGCAGAACAGTTTAGGTGAAAAAAGATTTAATCAATACATAAGGAATTGCAACAAAATTTTGACATTTCTTCGAAATCTATGAATAAACTATTTTTTTATTAAGTGAACTAATTTATCATATTCTGGTTATTTTTTAGCGGGTTTGATTGTCTCCGATGTGATATCGTACTCCTTATCAGCAATATTCAACATGAGTGAACCAGCATTCAAGTAGACTCTGTTTTGTGAACCAGCGACCTAAAAAGAGAGTTGATGATTTTAGAAGTGAATTTTTAAATAGTTGAATGCAACTCAGTAATCAAATTATTTACCGTTTTAGCAATGTGTTGGGCAGCTCGAATCTTTCTTAATTTAAGGTAACCAGGGTCCTTTGAGATGGCCTCACCTAAGTAAAGAAGAGAGTTAAGGAAAATATTGCCTTTGGACAAAGAAAAAACTTGAACATAGATTGAAATCAGATTACTAAAGGTTAAATCATTGGAATAAATGAAGATAACTTTCGTGAGAAAGTTCTGTGCAACTTAGTATTCTAATCAACGTAGCATTGCTTTAACTAACTTGACTAATTCGTGAAACTAAAGTCAATTTTTATCGTCCACCTTTTACAACTCCATTTAAGAAGTTTTAAAAGGGTTATACCCCCTCTTCTCGTGTAGAGAAGAATGAAGTTAAGATTGATGGACTTTCTCATTCTGAAGATACTAAGTTCGCCTTCTTCAAATTCTCATCATGAAATTGAGCTGATGAAAAAAAAATTAAAAATTGAATAAATAAATTGTGAAAAGTATGAAAAGGATATCATAAGCGCTGCTTCGGCTTCTCCCTCAGCTTGGACAATTTTCTGTTGTCGTTCCTGTTTAGCTTGTTCGACGATAAATGCAGCTCGCTGAGCCTCTTGTTGAGCGACTTGTTTAGATTCGACAGCAGCAGCATATTCTTTACTGAAACTTAATTCAGTCAAAGAAACATCATCCAAGATAATATTGAAATCCTTTGCTCGTTCTATCAATTCTTTTCGTACAAGAAGGGAAACTTGTTGACGCTGTGTGATTAACTGGGATGCATTAAATTTAGCTACAACACTTTTTAGAACCTAAGGATTTAAATGAAAGTGAAAAGATAGTAATTAAGATGCTGGAAAATAAAGACCAATGGTTTAAAATACCTCATTGCAAATGGATGGCAGAACTCTTTCATCATAGTCTGTTCCTAGCATTCTATACATTTCTGGCAACTTAAGGGCATCAGGACGAGCCAAGACTCTCAAAGAAATGTTTACCATTTGTAAATCTTTGCTACCAGTAGGAGATGAAATTTTTCTTGGCCGCGAACGAATATCATAAATAATGGGATATTGGAACCAGGGTATTCTGAAAAATATAGAAAAAAGAATGACAATTTATTCAAGAAGAACATGTTATTGACTAGACAATAACACAACAGTAATGACAATGCGTTTTAAATACACACCTAAAATGAAGACCTTCTGGGTAAATCTCATTTTTAATACCGCCAAGTCGACTAAAAATAATGGCTCGGTGACCTCCATCAACTGAATTTTAGGAATAAATTTGATTTTTTATAATTTCTTAAAGGAAAGCACATGGTTTAGGAAAAGTTAATACTAACCGGTAAAGACAGACTGGGTCAAACCATAACCTAAAGCACCAGTTGCAGCAAGAAGTTTCATACCCAAGCCAAGTCCTTTAGGACCACCTTTGCCAAATTTACTGGCCATATCTTTAAATTGTTGAGACATATTCGTTTTAATTAGTAAAAAATCACAAAAATCCAAAAAACAAAATGTGCAGTTATATAATCAAACTGAAGACTAAACCTTAACAATGTGATCACTCAAAGTGTCGCCATCCTGTAGAGTTTTTCTAAGTAAATTAGCCAACTTTTCTTTCAAATTATTAATAACTTCGTACTTTAAAGTACGAAGTTTAATCAAATCAAAATTATATTTTGATTAAGTAAACCGAATAGATTAGCAAAAATTAGACTGTATTGCATAGTAATTAATGAGAAACTCAAATCTTTACAAGCAATAATTTCATCTGCAAAGATTGCTAACAGTAATCTTGACAGTACAAGTTATTCAAACATTAATTTGCAATGAATAAACCATGAATTGATTGATCTCAACCAATGAACATAAATTATCGAAAAACAGACGAATTAACATCATTAATGAATATCGAAATACAAATCAACCAAATTCATAAATACTGTTCTGATGTAACAAACTTATTGAATATCAATTTAAAGTCGCTTGAATAATGAAACCCAAAAGTTAACATAATTAAATTCATTTATTTATAAATAAGTAACAAATTATACGGCGAAGTAGAAAATGGATGAAAATAGTTTTGTTAGGGTCATACAATTTGAACCAGTCCTTCCTTAGAGCCAAGAACAAAAACTAATAACAATAATAATAAAGAAAAACTAATAACAATAAAGAAAAAAGTAATAACAATAATAAAAGATATAATAATAATAAAGAGAAAATATTATTAATGTGAATAATAATAATGGTAGGGCAAAAAATAATCACCAAGTTTCACCTTGGAAGCATAATAACACACTGTATGCCAGGAATATTGTAATAATAATAACAATAACTATAATAATAACAAAAATAATAATATTATTATTAAGCAGTAGAGCAACATTAGAAGACTAGAAGTATTGAGTTGATCCATTGAATAGTTGAAAGCAAATCACACGAGAAACGGAGAAAACTTTTCGATGAAAATTCCAAATTTGGAAAAATCCATTTTTTGCCTTGATTAGCATAAGATGATGGTTATGATGAGATTAATTTTCAGGTTGATGTCAATGATAATGGCGGTGATACAATTACATACAAGAAAAAATTTGGTAAAGTAAACAGTTAAAGAGTTTCAGAGTTTGTCAGTCAAATTTTCATAATTATTTGGGTTTAATTGTCTTCCAGTTTTGAAATTTTTGTTGATCACTAATTAGTTTAACTCTCATCAATTTATATCTTCTCAATATCATCTTCAACTGATATTAGTTAAAACAAATGATGATGAAAAGTAATAACAATTTTGAAGATGGATATTGCTTTTTCTTTCTCCTTGGCTTTTTTCCTTATTCCCTGTCTTCTTTTTACTTTCGCAATTTAATGTGTTGTTACTATAGCAACAACTGTACTTACTTATTCTTGGTTATGGTTAAATGTAGTTTGCTTCACGAGATGCAGTTTTCTTGATGATTGTTGTTTATTTTTTGTTTCTTGTATTTTTGGTCGTCTCAAACTGTTAAAATAATTAACTATTGACATCTTAATTTAAATCAAGATATATTTTGAAAAATGTGAGACATTTTTTTCCTTTGGACTAAATATTGATTGGAACCATTTTTCAGGTATTTAGTTATAAATGTATATTTAATTGTCCATCATATTGACTAAACTCTGTCTCTCTCTTTCTCTTTTTTCTATCTCAGTGTTTGTTGTAACTCTGTATTACATTATTATAAAATTATCATTTCTCGTTTAATTCTTATTTAGTTGTCATTTTAATTATTATTATTCCATTCTTTAGTCATTCTCTTCTCCTTGTCCTATCATATTCTTGAGATATTAATTTATTTGCTGTAACTTTTCTTTCATTTCTTTGTTCTGTTTTTGTTTCTTCACAGATCTCTCTTTTCTCAAATCATCCTTGTAAAACATTGACGAGGCTAACAATTCATTGGTGGATGTTTTTTCGCTTACAAATAATAGATTGTCTTTCCAAATAATAAAAAGTTTTATCAAGAATTTGATTGGATTGGCATCACTTTTTTCCCTCTTCACCTTTGGATCAAAGCAAATGTACAGAATGAAAGCTGCTAATGAGTAGTATGCTCAGTTTCTCGCATGTCTTCTGTATCGTGAGGATTAACTTCTAAACATATTTTCTTTGACAAGAACATTTCTCCTTTTCTGATATTATAAATTTTAATTCTATATATATATATTCACATATATATATATATTTACAAGAACGTACAAAAGCAAAGCATTCATGACTCCAACACAAATGGCTCCTGGTCGTGGTCGAAAATCTTCACTCGTCTGGTCCTATGTTTATGAAACATCATCTGACTCATTCCAGTGTATATTCTGTTCTAGCCGATATCGTCGAAATGCAACTCAAATCAAAGCGCATTTAATCGAAAAATGCAGTCTATGTCCGGTCGAAATCAAAGCAAACTTAAGTAATGAAAATGAAAGGTTCACGCATAGAAGGCAAATGGAAGCCGGTGAACTTGACAGACCTGATGTGTCCGGATTGTCTGCTCATGATAAACTTATCAAGGAGTCAAATAAGCGTAGACAACTTTCTTTGGATAAACCACCAGATATGGGTGCCTCTTCTAGTTTTGCTGACAAATCTGTTAAAGTTCACTTAGATCCAGCTGAAGAACAAGAAGAGCTTAGAATATTATTTGCACGTGCTGTCTATAGTTCTTCCCTTCCTTATCACTTTGTTGACAATGATCACTGGAAAAAGTTTTTTCACCGCCTTCGACCTGATTTTGCATTACCGTCACGAAATGTTTTGAACACAACTTTACTTGACAATGAATACCGTCAAGTTATGAGTGCAACCGAAGCTTATCTTAGTAAAAGTGACTGTTTGACTATTGCTCTAGATGGGTTTTCTAGTGTTTTGAACAATGACACTATAAATATTATCATCTGTACTCCATCTCCTGTTTTTCATTCATCCATAGACGCTAAAAACAATCAACATACCGCTAAATATATTTTCACCCTTTTGAAGCCAATCATCGAAGATAAAGGAAGTGAAAACTTTGCTGCCATAATTTCAGACAATGCCTCAGAGATGAGAATATTAGGACAAGTACTACGCACTTCGTTTCCCCATTTACTCACCTTTGGATGTGCAGCTCATTGTCTCAACTCTTTACTAGATGATATTGCGAGAATTCCTGAAATAGCTCAAATAATGCAAGTTGCACATAATATTTCTTCTGAAATTAAAAGATCTCATGTTTTAAATCCAAAGTTTCAAGAAATGGCTGGAAAATCGGCAGGAGTGCCAAACAGTGCAGTAAACATGGCTTCTTTTTACTTCAAATCTAGATATTCGTCTTATCTGAACATTAATCAACTTTCCATTGGTAAACAGATTCTTCGTTCGATGGCCATGGATTCATCTGTTCCTTTCGATGCAAGAATTCGTGACATCATCTTAACTGTTGACTTTTGGGATAGGATCGACCATATTAAAATGATTTTTCATACTATTCAAGAGTACATTAATATTATGGAATTAAACTATAGTCCTATTTCCGATATTCCTGATATGTTTCGTGGTATCCATGAACGATTCGCTTCGTGCCAAGGCTCAACAGCTATTTTTTCAGTGCTAATACCGCAAATTTTGCCACTTGTTGAGGAAAAAAAACGATTTCTAACTGACATTAGTCCCGCATATTTTTTAGCGAACGTACTGGACCCTCGAAAGAAAGGTACCACCCTAGCAGAGCCTGAGTTGCAAAGTGCGGAAAAATTTTTATTAGATTATGCTCGAGTTATTTGGAATAATGCAAAAACGGAAATTTTTGATCAGTTAATCCGTAGCTTTAGCAACTATACCACCAAAACAGGCTATTTTGAATCAGATATGGTTTGGAAGCAATCCGAGATTGTAGGACCTCTTGAATGGTGGAAATTTATTCGACGCCACGAGTCACATCGTTATCTTTCAGAAATTGGTATTAAGTTACTGTCAGTTCCATCTTGTAATGTTACAGTCGATAAAATGCTCATGCAAAGAGGCCATCAACCAGAAAAAAAGAGAAACCGCTTAGATAATCGAAACCATAAATTGATTGCAATCAGAAGTAATGTACATCTTCTTGAAACGATTGTTCCAAATCAATACGAGCCAAAGATATCGCATTCATTACCAACCCCACTTACAATTATACCCGATTTACCTTATGGTTCTGAATCAGATCGGTCAGAGGCTGAAGATTCAAACATTTTGGGTAACGTTTTGACGGCAGATGACTTCCATTATGAATATGACCAGCAATCAGCAATAATAAGCACAATGAACTCTACATAAAATTATGAGAAGTCCATTATTATTGTGTATTTATTATACAATAAGTTTTTCACTCCTTGGTGGAGTTCATGATCTTCTATCTATTCCTTTGTCCTACAAAAAAAACTTGTCATTATCATTTGCATACTACTATTGAATGAAGAGTAATTTACACGTTCTTTTTATATAAATTGCATCTTATCATCTGTGAAACTGAAAATATCTGCTCATTTATATAAGATTAATTTTGCTTTGTCAATTGAAAACGTAATCATGAAAACATAACGAAAAGCAAAAAATAAATCAATATAGTCGACGAAGAATATCGTCTTTAACCCAATTCTTCTATATTTTAATTTAATTTTATCTTTGTACAAAAAAGGTCATATATTATTTACATTTCATCACATATGCATTTGTTTTTTATTTATAATTAGAGTCTGATTAAAAGAGAGCTTATTTCATAAACTATTGACTGATAAAATCTTTCTCGAATTATCATGAATAAAATATTTAAACTTGAAAACTACGGATTAATCCAATCTTGAGAGATTATCAAGAAAAACTATCGAAAAATGGACAAAAGTCCTTTTTAATTCAAGTTCATCTTCATTTATCTCTTGCTAATTGAAGATTGGAATGTTGTGTACAAATTAGCAAGTAAACAATATGCAAATAAAACAGATCTTGTTGGGCATTTTTATACTTGAAGCGCAAGCAAGAAAATGCAAAACGCAACGAAAACAGAAAGGCATTCAGGCCTCTTCTTATGCGATCTAGCCAGTTTGAAATTTCTTAGCAAATGAAAAATTACAATGGGCATAACTCAACAGGTTAAAATTGAAACGCAAGAGCATAGATTTTATTGAGAAAAAATCGGCAAAGAGCGGCAATAATGGTCTTTGAGCGTCAATATTTCGAGAATAAAAGCAGCCTCAATCAGTAATCTTTGACCAAACATTAGATTTTGCTATGAGTAATAACATAACATGGCCGAAGTTTGAAAAAATCTGAGCCAATTCATTTAGTAATGAATATTCAAGCAATAAATCTCAAGTAATCATTTCTTTTGTGACAAAATAAACACAGATCTCACATTATGAATGCATAAACACAAACACTGCAAAACAAATGGGCAAAAACTGGTAAAAATAAACCTCTTTCAAATTTACACTCCTTTAGTTTATATGGACATGAAAACTGAGTCCATTAATGCCATAGAAAAGTTTCTCTGGCCCACAGCTTTCGAGAAAATCGCGTTCAAAGTTGAAACTTAAACTGTCTTTTGTACAATTATGAAAGAAGATTTTTTCATAAAACTAATTTGCCTTTTGTAACTTTGAATGGCCAACCAGAAAATGTACTTTATAAAATGGAATAAAGTTTAGAGTTTTTTGTAAAACAGATAAGTTCGATTTTGCGTTAAACTGATCGCATTCTCTCACTATAAGATTCAGCAAACTGAAACTTATTATTGGCCGATAAAACTTGTTGGTACAGATCATAGATCAACTACTTCTTTCAATTTTGCAATAGTTCTCTTTATTTCGGCCGATTGGACTTAAAACTTTGAGTGTCAATATTTCGAGAATGGCATCAAACACAATCATCATTCTTTCTCCAATTTACTTCTTTACTAATTAGTAATTCGATGCAATACAATAATTTTCAATCAGCACATTTGGATTACGATATTTGGCTTGTGAATATCGAAGAAACCACTTATTAAATAATCCAAACTCATCTCAATACATATCTTGGTATCTAAACCATTTTTCTGGTTAAACTTGCATATGAAAAGCAATGAATGCTGCTAAAGACGCGCAAATTTAAGTTAGGAGTTAAGAGTCGTTAAGGTTTGTAAAGACATGAAAACTGAATCCAATCGTGCTATTATACTGTTCGTGCGATGGATAGTTTTCGAGAAAATTGAGGTCGAAGTTAAAACTTTGACCGTCTTTTGTACATTTATTAAAGCATATTTTTTCATGAAACTAATTTTCCTTTTGTAACTTTGAATAGGCAATCAGAAAATGTACTTTATAAAATGAAATAAAGTTTTGAGTTTCTGTAAAACAGATAAGTTCGATTTTGCGTTAATCCGATCGTATTTTCTGACTGTGAAATTTAGCAAGCTGAAACTTATTATTGGTCCATAAAACTTGTTGGTACAGATCATGGATTGCATATTTCTTTCAATTTTTAAAAATTCTCTTTATATTGACCGTTGATCGATAAATGTTTTAACTTCGATATTTTGGAAGTGGTTGCACTTACAATCATCATTATTTCATCAACCATAAGATTTTATTTCGGGTTATTATAAATTCAAAATTCAGAACATTGGTGAAACTACGAAAAAAGTTATAGCAACTATTACATTATGTTGTCAGAATTGATACTTTATTGGCAAATTTAAATGGTTACTTAAGATATGTTAGTAGAATATTCATAATTAAATGAATTGACTCAGATTTCTACAGTTTTAGTTCATATCATGTTATTACCCATAACAAAATCTAGTGTTTGGTCAAAGAATATTGATTTTGGCCGCTATTATACTCGAAATATTGACGCTCAAAGTTTTAGAACCAATGGTCAAAATCGCGAGAACTGTTGATAAATTGAAAGAAGTATTTTATCCATGAAGTAAAGCAACAGTTTTTATGGACGAATCATAAGTTTCAGTTCTCTAACTCAAACGGTCACGAAAAGAGATTGGTTCAACTTAAAATCGAACTTGGGCTGTTTTACAGACACAGAAAATGTTATTTCTCAATATAAGACTATTTTCTGGTTGGCCATTCAAAAATACAAAAGGAAAATTAGTTTCATGAAAAAATATGCTTTAATAAATGTACAAAAGACGGTCAAAGTTTTAACTTCGACCTCAATTTTCTCGAAAACTATCCATCGCACGAACAGTATAATAGCACGATTGGATTCAGTTTTCATGTCTTTACAAACCTTAACGACTCTTAACTCCTAACTTAAATTTGCGCGTCTTTAGCAGCATTCGTTGCATTTCATTTGCAAGTTTAACCAGAAAAATGGTTTAGATACCAAGATATGTATTGAGGTGAGTTTGGATTATTTAATAAGTGGTTTCTTCGATATTCACAAGCCAAATATCGTAATCCAAATGCGCTAATTGAAAATTATTGCATTTCACTGAATTACTAATTAGCAAAGAATTGAATTGGAGAAAGAATGATGATTGTGTTTGATGCCATTCTCGAAATATTGACACTCAAAGTTTTAAGTCCAATCGGCCGAAATAAAGAGAACTATTGCAAAATTGAAAGAAGTAGTTGATCTATGATCTGTACCAATAAGTTTTATCGGCCAATAATAAGTTTCAGTTTGCTGAATCTTATAGTGAGAGAATGCGATCAGTTTAACGCAAAATCGAACTTATCTGTTTGACAGAAACTTAAAACTTCATTCCATACAATAAATTACATTTTCTGGTTGGCCATTCAATATTACATCGTGTAAATCAGTTTTATGGAAATATCATAGTTCATAATTGTACAAAAGACGATTTAAGTTTCAACTTTGAACGCGATTTTCTTGAAAGCTGTGTGTCAGAGAAACTTTTGAATCGCATTAATGGACTCAGTTTTCATGTACTTATAAACTAAAAGCGTTTAAATTTGAAAGAGGTTTATTTTTACCCGTTTTCGGCCATTTGTTTTGCAGTGTCTTTGTAGATTTGTGCATAATGTGAAAACTGTGTTTATTTTGTCTTTTAAGTAACAAAAGAAATGATTATTTAAGATGTCTAGATGGTAGAATATTCATTATTAAATGAATTGGCTCAGATTTTTTCAAACTTCAATCATGTTATGTTATTGTTCATAGCAAAATCTAATGTTTGGTGAAAGTATATTGATTGAGGCTGCTTTCACTCTCGAAATATTGACGCTCAAAGTTTCAACTTTTAACTCGATTTTCGCGAAAACTATCGACCAGAGAAACTTTTATATCGCACAAAAGAATTCAATTTTTATGTCCCTACAAATCAACAGAAAGTTGCAACTTCTAAATTTGAAAGAGATGTCTTTTCACTCGTTTTTGCGTATTTTGTTTTGCAGTATTTGTGTATTTTTAAGCATATATGTATCTTTTAAGTTACAAACCATCCAAGTTATAATAGTTTAAGAAGTCTATCATCTTCAACATTTGCCGTGAGAGACTAATTTATTATCAATCATTATAACACTTAAACGTGAGACAATTTAATTCTCCAATGGCAATGTACGAATGAATACATTCATACCAGCCATTATTGCCGTCCATTGTCAATGTTTTCTCGGCAATAAAATCTATGCTTTTTGCTTCAATTTAACATGTAGCATTACGCACATTTTAATTTTCATTTGCTGCCGTAAGAAATTTTCTGTATGCGCTTTTAAACTTTCAAGATCGCCTAAAAAGATTCCTAAATAGCAACCATTTCTGTTTTCGTTGCGTTTCGCATTTTCTTTTTGCGCTCAAGTATAAAAATGCATCAAGGTAACGCAGATGAAATTATTGTTCATTACTATACAGTTTTCAAAGAATGAAAAGAAACTTTAAAGCTACTTTATTTGAATTTAATAGTATACAAGGAGGAAATATTTATATTTTGTAACATTTTGTTAACGGCTTCATATTCTATATAAAAAATTGCAGCATCGCAGGACTACACAGTATTTGTACAGGTTATTAAAATAAAGTAAAAAGTTATTGTCAAATGCCAAGATATCTTGATTAAAGTTTATTTGGTAGCTTTTTCAGCATCAATACCAATGATTTCTTCAATAGACGAAAATCCGTCTTCACTATATGGAAAAATTGAAAAAAAGAAAAAGAAAAATGAATTAGAATAACATTGAGAATGTCCAAAAGGAAATAATGTACTAACCTGATAAGATGAGATAGTTCATCGACAATAGTAGATACTAAGGAAGGTCCTCGGTAAGTTAAGGCCGTATAAAGCTGGATTAAAGATGCACCAGCTCGAAGTTTTTCATAGGCATCCTTACCATCTGAAACACCACCGGCTCCAATAATTGGAATTGAACCTTTTGTTAAAAAATGCATATCTCGGATCATTTGAGTTGACAAATTTTTCAATGGTTGACCGCTTAGTCCACCGGTCTCACTAGCTTCCGGAGATTTTAAATCAGGTCTAGAGACTGTTGTATTGGTTACAACTAGACCATCTATTTTGAGTCCATTTGGACGAGATTTGATTACCAACTCAGCAATGTCTTCTTTCTCTTTCTCACTTAAATCTGGTGAGATTTTGAGCAGCAAAGGTTTGGTTATTTTAAGTTTTGCTTTTGTTTGTAAGATTTTATCCAAAAATGGCTCAAGATGATTTTTGAGTTGAATATTCCTTAATCCAGGGGTATTAGGGCTTGAGATATTAATAACAAAGTAATCAATAAATTTACTATTTCCAAAAGCCTCCAATCCAGCAACATAATCATCGACAGAGTCAACAGATGCTTTATTTTTGCCTAAATTTAGGCCGACCACGGTTGGTTTCAAATTTGAAAGACTTTTGGTCAAATTTTCTCGCACGGCCTCATGACCAGCACTGTTGAATCCATATCTAAAAGAATAATTATATAATGAATATAATAGAATTACAGATTCCTAAAAATTTTAGAAGTACAGTCATCTACCAGATAATGGCAGTAGATTATTCAATATCCCCTCAAACCTTTTGTTTACATCTCCTATAAGGAAAATTTAATTGAAATTAAAAAGTTTTCATCAAGAAAATTGAATATTTCTGCAAAATTCAATTCATTTAACGATCCTCAGCAATCGATTTTGATTTAATTAATTATTGCATTCAATTGCAAATTTTTGATCTTTGAATATCTTAGCTGGGCAAATAAGCTATTCAAGTTACTACCATTATCTGATAGTTCATAGTACAAAAGTACTCATGTAATCATCTAAATGAGAAGTTACCTATTGATAATAGCTTCATCGTTTTTCAAACGAAAAACTCTTGGTTTTTCATTCCCCGATTGTGGATTTGGTGTCACCGATCCGACTTCAATGAAACTGAATCCTAGTTTGGAAAGACCTGGGACAGCTTCACCGTCTTTATCAAAACCTGCAGCCAACCCGATAGGATGATTGAATTCCAAGGTCCAAAGCGATGATTTCTATCCAGAGAAAAAAATGCAACAACAATTTAATAATGAGAGCAATGACGAAATTAGGAACTAGAGTTAATCTAAAGTTAAAGAATCATTGTCTTTACCAGGTTTTTGTAATCTTTCATTTTTGAATAAAAATCTGGTAATAACGAGTATTTGGCCATATTGATTGCAAGACGATGAGCAGATTCACCATCAAACGTTGCATGTAGAACAGGCATAACAAAGGAGTTGTAAAATTTTTCATTTCCCTTGTATAAATTAATTGCCACAAAACCTGCACCACCGCCAAGGGCAATAGTTAGTCCTGATAAAAATTTACTCTACAAATGATGAAAAGACAGTTAGAATTGAAACAACTTCGGTGTCAATATTTTGCTCTAAAATTCATCAGCAACATAAGTTAAATGAGAAGATTCAAGAAAAAACTAGTTTCGGCGAGTTGATAAGAAAAATTTGACCAACCACTAATCGACCTTGTGACAAACTCCTTTGTGAAATTAGTAAACTTAGTCCATGGATGGACAGTTGGATGAATTTTAGAGCAAAACCAATTATATAATGCTACTCACCATCAATTGTGGTTTACATGTCATTTTGATGTTATCCTCTTCCTCGATCCGTAATGATGAAGATGAAAAAACAATTATAGATTTTTGGTTTCTATTGTTGATGTTTTCACAAACCAGCTGTTATATTTAAAAAAATTGATTTTGGAGCCAATTTTCGCTATTGGCTGTTCTGATTCCTTTTACAAAAAATGAAAGAAAAATTAAAAGGATTGTTTGTGGCGCCATCGCGTTTCTCCTTATCTCTAAAAGATATTTAGTATTGCATGCTACTTCTTGTTGTACTCTTTGCTTCTAGTTGTGTTCATGCTGAAATCACATTACTGATAAGTTAAAGCTACCTTTCGTAAAATGGAAACTCGTGCTGTTGGACCTTTGATTGGTTCTATTGATTGTGGAACTAGCAGTGCTCGTTTCATGGTTTACAGTGTAACATCAGGTGAATTGATTGCTTATCATCAAATACCCACTGAACCAATTTATCCAAAACAAGGATGGGTTGAACAAGATTGTAATCACATTTTGAAGATTGTTAACAACTCCATCGAGAAAACAATTGATAAGCTGAAGGAGATGAACATTGATCCAGGCTCAATTAAAGGTGAGAAATGATTTAACATCAGATTTAATCAAGTGTGAAAAAATCTCGCTATTTCTTATTTCTCTGTATTTTAAAACTATTATTTAATGTCTATATCCTAGTATCGAAAGGTTATTAATTTCTAATTTTATTGATTATTATTACATTGCACGGAATTAAACCGTAAAGGATTATTTCTTAGGGTTAATTTTGATTAATACTATCCATTAATTATGGTAATAATCTATTCTAACTATTGATAACTTTTGTGGTTTCTCTTGGTAGACTGAAACTAATGGTTTCTTTACGGAAAGAAGTCGAGTTAATAAGATTCTCAGAAGTTACAAAGTGTAAACAAGTTTTCGAAGGACAAACACTTAATCTAAAAATTAATAGAGTAATATCACTTCAATCTACTTGTAATTAGAATCTTTTACAACTGATCAATCATTATTTTTATCATTCATTACTCAACATAGTCATAACTAGATGTCATCACATTATTTGATTCAATTATGGTTAATAATCTTGCTGACCAAACTCAAAATAACTTATTGATTATATTTAACGAGTTTTTTTTCCAGTTTATAGTCAATCACTCGATCAAAAAATTTAATCAATCTTTCATTTTTTCCCAGGAATCGGAATAACTAATCAACGAGAATCCACAATTGCTTGGCACAAAGAAACTGGTCAACCATTACATAATGCAATAATCTGGTCTGATGGTCGAACTCGTGAAATTGTTGATGATTTTCTTGATCAAATTCCTGATCGAGATTTCAATTACTACAAGGTATATCGATAAATTTGACAAGATAATCGGAGATAATTAAAAATCATTTTTCTATTGTTTACTTGATTTTACAGGAAAGAACTGGATTACCCATTTCAACGTATTTCACTGCATTTAAAGTGAAATGGCTACTTCAAAATGTACCTCAGGTCAAGAAAGCAATGGACGAACAAAAATTACTGTTAGGAACAGTTGATTCGTGGTTACTGTGGAACCTTTGTGGAGTTCATGCTACTGATGTAACCAATGCTAGTAGAACTTTTCTCATGAATATTGAAACTCTTGAATGGGATGAACATCTGTGCAAGTTAGTGATTCAATTTTTCAACAACCTTCGCCCAAACTAATTACACTCAATGTTTCAAGCCATTTGAAACTAAAATTTTTAACTTCCTATGATGATGTTTAAAAAGACAAGCATATGTCTGATTTATTATGATGAATAATTTTATTTTCTGAGGAAGTTGAATGTTGAACCCGATCTCGTTGAACTTATGTATATTTGAAATTAATATCCGGCTTTCACATTTCATTGTATTAACAGCAAAGTGTTCGGAATTCCGGTATCGATTTTACCCAAAATAAAATCATCAGCATCAAATTTTGGCACAATAAATTCTGGACCATTAAAGGGATTACCAGTTACTGGGGTAAATATTATTGATTCATTCCTCTTTTAACTGAAAGCTTTCTGACACTTGTTTAATACGTTTTTAGGTGATTGGTGATCAACATTCAGCTTTAGTGGGTCATCAATGTCTCTCTCCAGGCCAAATCAAAAGCACATATGGTACAGGATGTTTTATTTTGCAAAATTTAGGCTCATGTTCAGGGAAGAAAGCTTTAAGTGGAATTTCCAATGAGGCCAAAAAATCTCTTATAGTTACTGTTGCTTATAAACTTGAAAACCAACCTGCCGTTTATGCCCTAGAAGGAAGCATTGCTGTTGTTGGAGCCTCAATGGTTTGGCTTCGGGACAATATTGGTTTGATAAATGATTTCAATGAGATTGAATCCTTGAGTAATCAAGTTAATAATTCTGGTGGTGTATATTTTGTACCTGCTTTTCAAGGACTTTTTGCTCCTTACTGGGATTTGAGTGCTAGCGGTTTGTTCATTGGTCTTTCGCAATTTACACGAAAAGCTCATCTGGTTAGAGCAATGTTAGAGAGCGTCGCCTTCCAAACAACTGATATTTTATCCCTCATGAAACCTTCTAGTTCAGGTTTGAAGGTTGACGGAGGAATGGTTACAAATGATAGCTTATGCCAAATAATTAGTGATCTCAATGCTGTTAAAGTTATTAGACCATCCAAAATTGAAGCCACTGCACTGGGCTGTGCCATGATTGCTGGACATACTTTAGGTATTTATCCATATAAAATATCCAAGTATATTGGTTGTTTTGATATGTTTTTAAAACTGTTTTAATGTTGTTTTTTAATTAAAATCTTTTCATACAGGTTTATGGGACTTTGAAAATAATCATATCAAGTTGCGAAATAAACTGGATATGCTGATTAATGGTCGTACATCTGATTTAGAGGCTGAGGATACTTGTGATAAAGTTAATCAAGATGACCAACAAGCAATTAATGGTCCTCTAACTAATGGTAAATACCGAGATCGTAATTTTTCTCTGTACAGATCTTCAATGGATGATTCAATGCTTTATCCTAATTCATCAATCTTCAAAGTAAGTTTGATAATTTACACAGATGCATTTTTCATTAACTAAATGAACTTTTCTAATTTTTATCATAGCCACAAATTGACTCTCAAGTTCGCAGTGAAATGCTTATCTCTTGGAATCGAGCGGTTAAAAGATCAATGGGTTGGACTCAAAACAAAAGAGTAGAAGTGAAAGAAGTAAATTATCTGAAAAAATCTGGTTTATCGATGAGTTTGCTCATTATATCTTCGATGGCCATGTTCATTTTTGGCCGATACGTTGCTGGTAAAACCTGATATGTTTGGTTGTGAATACAAGCTTATTAGAAAAGTATTTCAACTTGATTTTGGTTGTTCTGATTATGCTCATAAGCAAATAATTAACATAGCCTGGTATAAATTATGTAAAACAAGTTTAAAGTCTCTTTTATTGGTCAACAAAATGGTCAATTTCTTGTTGCTGGTGATGGAAAAATTCTGTGATTCTACTTATGAACTATTGTTCGTTCACTATTGAAGCATTTAAAGCACATTCATTTGTTGCACGTCCAGGTTTTGATTGCTGCAAATCAATATTCATTGGCTGCTTCAATCTACTCGAGACAAATTTTGTTAATTAGATTGAAATAAATTTAACTTGAATCAATTGTAATAACCATGAATAACTTTAAATACTAAATACACTCAAAGTGTTGTAAAATATGTGATTACTTTTTAATTTAATTGTTTCGGATGATAAAATAATAAAGAATTGTTATGTTATTTGTCGATTTAAGCCTGAAAAAAGAAACGACTAAAAAAGGTTTTCTTTTTTTGAATAAAGCGGCTTATAATAGGTGATGACATCTAACGTTGCAATAAATGATCATTAAAGTCACATGTTTTTCCCAAAATTAGTTTTTTGAAATCGAAACTATTTGCCGTTGTTTCTAATTCACATTTCTTGATTAATCCAAGTTAATAACAAAAACAAATCTAATTGAAAATGTCTATTGGTATTCCAATTAAAGTTTTACATGAAGCTGAAGGACACATAATCACTGTGGAAACTACTAATGGAGAAGTGTTTAGAGGTAAACTTATCGAAGCTGAAGACAATATGAATGTTATGATGTCTCAAATTACGGCTACTTCAAGGGATGGTAAAGTTACCAGTCTTGAAACCATATTCATTAGAGGATCCAAAATACGATTTTTAATTTTACCGGATATGTTGAAAAATGCGCCCATGTTTAAAAAGATGGGCTCTAAACCGGGTACGAAATCTAGTGTTACTGTGCGTGGTAAAAGTGCTCTATTGAAAGCTCAAGTTGCTCGTGGCCGTGGTAGAGCTCGAGTTATGATGGCTAAACGGCCTGGCTAATTGTATCGGATAAATTAATCAACAGGCGGAGTTTCTTTTCCTTCTAATCCCTGATGCTTGAAAACAACCAGAGAAAGATATGACTAGTTTCATTTAATCTATTCTCTCAAAAAATGAATGCTTTGTAATAAACTGCTTACAAAGTGAATCAAATGAATCAAGTTTACTCAATCAAATCTTTTATCCCACATTCACCAACTTAATTTATACTCTTATATTTTCAAACTTTCCATTGTCCCTTGAAATTCGGCATGTCAATGAATGATGTCCAATAAAAAAGTATTATGTTATTCAGTATCGGATGAAATTTTCCAATTGATTGAAAAGTGCTGACATTCGGGTGTGCCATTGAGAATAATCAGTGTACTTTTATGCCTATGACGCGTAGTGTATCTCAACAGCATTGAGTAAAATGATGCGAGTTGATAAACAAAGAAAGGAGCTGTAACTGCTCTTTCTGTCACTGTTTTTGTTGGTTATGCTCTTGAGAAAAATTGAGGTTAGTTGGAAAACTACCATTAAATTTAATTATTTCCGATAATGGCGTATTTGCTAATAAATCTTTAATTGTGTTTCTTCTAATTGTGATACAGTTAATAGCATCTTAAAATTGTTCATCTATTCTTGGTTGTTGCAGAAAAAGAACGGTTTCTAAATCAAGATCCATGTCTCCTCATTTATCAACAATTTTACCAACAAAGTGTTGCTTCAGAATGCCCAATGTGAATTTAATTGCCCATCAAATTAGCTAAAATTGGTCAAATTTGTATCAACTAATTTAAAATTAGTGTTGAATGTAAAAAGCTACAACTCCAAAAAAGGTTAGTACTCTATGTTATCCATCACATGGTTGTGTTTCCCACAATTCATCATCAAGCAAAGAGTACTTGCTTTACTCTTTGTCATCAAGTATAAACTCGTCTAATAATGTTTCTTTTAATTAGCAGATTTCTATTTAATCATCTTGATTGGATTGATCACGATGAGAGGTCGTTTGAGCATATTAATATATTCATGCCATGGCAATAGAGGAATCCTCAATTTCATCCTATCTTTTCTCATAAGTTTTACTCTTTGTTTACACTTTCGTACAAGTCTTTTTACCGTAAACCATGACTGTGATTCCAAGGAAAAAGATACTGGAAACCAAAGAAATTACAATGTGGACCAATCTTATAAATCATTATTACCTTTGATTGAGCGACTAAGGACCAATAAAGGAAATGGTAAATTATTCATTGGTGTAATGACCGCCCAAAAATTCATCGATGACCGAATCTATCACATTATGGAAACATGGGGTCAAGATGCTAAAGACTCTTTGGCCTTTTTCTCAAGCTCATCTTCCAAGAGTAACCATAAACTGCCAGTTATCAACTTACCAACTGTTGATGATTCGTATCCTCCTCAGAAGAAATCATTTCTCATGTTAAAATTCATCCATGATCATTTTATTGATCATTATGAATGGTTTATGCGAGCCGATGATGATATATTCATAAATGTGCCCAAATTGCTAAAATTTCTTGGACAAGTTAATTCATCGAAGCCTCAATTGATTGGACAAATGGGACTAGGAAAAGTGGAAGAGCTTGGACAATTGGGTTTAGGTGATGATGACAACTTCTGTATGGGTGGACCTGGTATTATTTTGAGTCGAGAAACCCTCAAAAAGATGATACCAAACATTCAATACTGCCTTAAACATCTCTACTCAACACATGAAGATGTGGAAATATCTCGATGTATAGATAAATTTGTTGGCATTTCTTGCACTCGTTCATATCAAATGCAATCACTTCTTTATCACAATTTTTCCGGAGAGATTATCTGGTCTAATCGATTGAAAAAGATTCTCAAAACGGCTCTAACTCTACATCCAATCAAAAATTCTCCGACATTATATGATATTTATTATTACAAGATGGAGCTCGATCATGAAAATATACGCAGCGAGATTGTTAAAAGTCACCGCGCCATCAAGAAAATTGAAACTACTTTTGGTGATTTGATTGAAAAAGAGTTTAATCTACCTTTGGATAATTTGATACATGGAAACTCTAGTTTGCTTGGAAATCCTGTTGAATTGATACCAAAAGAGAGGGAAAAAGGCGACAAATGTTACGATAGATCCAATCTAATTGCATGGGATTTCATCGATAAATATCAATATTCACTTAAATCTATGAACCCTAGACGTCGAATGGATGGACCTTTGATTCCAGCTCTTGAGTCAAATTTGCTTAACATCGTTAATTCTATCAACAAAGCATCTCATCTTCGAGGTAGAATAGTTGATTACAACTCTCTCTATTATGGATACTCTAAAGTTGACCCTCTGAAAGGAGTTTACTATATTCTTGATCTACTTATGACTTATCGTCGATACAAAGGCCGTAAACTGACAATGCCTGTTCGAAAGCACACTTATATCATGCAAACATTTTCCAATCCAATTTTCAGAGCTATTACCTATGACAAACAAGCTTCCGAAAAGATTGTCAACTTTGTTGTCCCACTTTCTGGAAGATTCAAGCAATTTAATAGATTCATCAATGATTTCATCAATGTGTACAAAATGGATTCAAACATTAACCTTGCAATTATATTGTTTCCTGATGCCGTCAATTCGTACAATTTCTCTATTCAGACCAAAAATGTAATAACTAACCTGATGAATGTTGGATTACCGATTCGATTTGCTGAACTTGGCGGTCATTTTTCACGAGCAGCTGGCTTACAAAGAGGAGCTAGTTTATTCGGTCCGAACGAGCTACTATTTTTTGTCGACATTGATATAACTTTTAATGCTAAAGTTATTGAAACTGTCCGACGTAATACAATTCAAGGGAAACAAGTATATTATCCCATTGTTTATAGTCAATATAACGATGAATTTGACATGGATACTTCAACAGATTCATCAAACTTTGGACCAACAATTGGTAGAATTAAAATTGATTCAGATCATGGTTATTGGAGACAATTTGGTTTCGGGATTGTGTCCATCTATAATAGTGATTTGATTGCTAATAACGGTTTAAATTTAGCTATACAAGGCTGGGGTAAAGAAGATGTCGATTTATATGAGCGTATAGTTAAATCAAACTTGACCGTCTTCAGAGCACCAGATAAAGGGTTGATTCACATTTACCATCCAACTGAATGCAATACTGAATTACATCCAACTCAGTATGAAATGTGCCTTGGAAGTAAATACAGCAATTTAGCGTCTATCAAAAGTATGGCTCAATTTATTGTGTCAAACAAATTACTCTGATTTTTAAAATGTTTTTAAAATTTTAGATTTAGTGCCAAATATTGCCGATAAACTTATGAATTTTTATACACTCAGCTTATATGAACATCTATTTAATGTATTTTTATCAAGATTATATTAAAACTATTTTAATTTGGTCAAATTAACGAAGTTGTTTGTTTTCAGAGAATCCATTCAAATCCATACATGATTTACTTTAAAGTCCCTAGTGATAGTAAATCTAGTTCCAAACAATTCCATAATAATTCATACGAAAAATTCACAATATAATCTAAAACCTTGTTGATGGTTCTAAGAGCCATATAACACACATGAAAGTTACGAAAATCATAAAGTTAAAATCGTTGAGTTGAATAAATTATCAGTGGATTTTTTAGAAGCTATAATTTTAAAGATTTCAATTGTGGTTTCTGGCCTCAGTTATCAGAAATGATAAGTCAGCTTTAACACACAAGTAGCGTTTGTTTACAAGTGATTTCATGGCTTAGAAAATGAAAGTGTTGTATAAAAAATAAACTTACTTTGAAATATGCTGAGGAAGCAAGTTTTATGCCAATTTGCAAGTTGAAACGAAAAGATGTATCAACGGGTGAAAATGGAAATTGACATTAAGAATATCGGAATTGTTTTGTGTTTTTGAAAACAGGTGATAATGCAGTTAAACACACAGTTTGAAATCACGGTTATTTTGTAACACTTTTTAAAAAATTGAAACAATGAAGTATCGGAATACAGTCAACGAAAACAATAATCAGAATAAGAGAAAAGATTTAAACAAAGAAAGGGACAATTTTTTATGTATAACTGTTGTTGATGTTTTGATTGTCTAATGATTTGAAACTTTTTCTGTTAAGCAGTAATATGTGTTAGACAGACTGATACTAAACCATCAACCTCTCGACAATTATCAGAAAATTATGACAAAAGACAATCAAGAAGGAAGAAAATATTGTCAAGTTTAATAAACAGCTAAGGCAATTAAGCTAAACAATGATCCATCAGGTGAAGATACAAAGAGAGGCAAAAGGAGAAAAGATGATGACTGAGATAATGAAAAAGAGAGAAGAAGAGAGTAAAGGCACAGAAGATAAATTTTAATTTTTGATTCTTAATTCCAACCGATATAACTTAGGATAAACTGATGAATCAACAGTTTCTGTTTATTTTGTCCTTGGGAACTAAAATTTACTCGTTTTTGCATCTTCTTAGCTACAACTTTTTCATGTTTTGTTCACTTGTTTACCTTAAAAGACTCTTATTTTTCAAGAAACTCGATATTAAATTATTTTTCTCCTTCAAAGGTCCAGTGACTTGGTTGTGAAACAAAAATCAGATGATTAAAACTTGTTTTAGTCAGCAATTTCAAACAAAAATAAGTTTTACAATGTAAATGGCTATTAACAGTAAGTTCAACTTCGCTCTTTAATCCACCTAGCCATCTGATTAATTATAATTTCAATCGTTGTCTTAACGCTGCTGACTCTTAAACCAGTTTTTTCTCTACCAATAAACTCTCAAGTCTGGTTTCATGTTTACATCAAAGTCTAAGTGAATAGGATAAGAATCAAAGTTACTGGATAATTTTGAAATATCTCTGGTTATTTGACTTCTCACCATCTACATTATTGTTAAATTATGAAGAGGTAAGCTATTAATAATTCAGGTTTAATGTGTCTCCAGATTATCTAATGAAACTCTTTTATGAAAAGCTGCTCTCTATTATATCATCATCTCATCACGAGGTTAAGTTTATTATTAGCTAATCTGTACATCTATTCAATATATAAAGTCAATATATCAACTTGTGGCTGAGCTCAAAGGATTCTGAGGAAAATATTTAAACACCATAAAATTCATGATTGGACTAAATGTCCGAAAAATAGTCCGCTCGTCAATCATAAGAACTGTTGGTCCTTTTCACTTTTTACAAGTCGATTACCTTTAAGATTATTAGCTTGAAGATAGCAACTGTCATATTTGTCTGATATAGTTCAACGCACAAAGATGATAAAGAGGATCATAATTTTACGACACCTGAGTTTGATGATTGTATATCCAAATTTAATGCTCAAGTCATAATCGTCTGTGTTTGCACCTATTTAAGTGATCGGACCTTAACAGTCACCACCATTTGCAGCATGCATTTAAACGTGAAGCTTTGTTTGTAATTCTACGACACTCGTATAATCATGCAGCAACGTTGATGGTGAATCAATCATCTATCGCTGCTAAGAGCATGGGCTTGGAGCAATGCATTAAGTTTTACTGGAAAGGCTGGTAAAAGAGTTGAATGGGTTATGGGGAAGTATACAGTTACGGAGTCAAATCTCAAGATGAAATGACAATAGTGTTGTTTTAACCTGATCTCATCATCATTAATACCATTATGATTCCATGTCACTTATCTGTGGCCTAACTCATCAACAATTTCATATTTTCAATCCTGAGTTATCCAAGATTATCACTTTTTGCAAAGTAAAGAGTCTCTCGAATGGCAACAGATATGCCAATCATTCTATGATTCGTTCATTGGTAAATAGATGAAGTTAATTACCGGTTAAACCTGTAGATCAAGAAGGGAAATCATACAATCAGATCAATTTAGAGGAAATTAATCAAGATGTTTAGTTGGCTTAACTGTGAGGCAACTAGATTTAACCAGGTTTAACTTGCTGTAAAATTCAGATGATTTGCGTTATTCTAAAATTAAGATTGAGGCCAATATTTTTCTACCAAAGTCCTTGAGATTATTAGAATTGATGAAAAATGTCACATGATGATGAGAAGCAAAGTTCAAAATTGCTCAACAATCTAATCTTTGTTTACCTGAGGATAAAGTATGTTTGATAGCTTAGCTTATCCCAGCAAAATGGTACTAAATAATGAAATGAAAGCTCTTGTTAGGAACAAGTAGTTACGTTAATGATCAGAACAAATAGACTTTTTCAATTTCGGTTCTGATTGGTTTTGTTTAGAAACCAGACTCAATAGCTGCAATTTGGTTGATCCATCACTCTCATAAGTCATTCATTAAAAGAAACTGATGCATAAAGCTTGATATGAAATTTGATGATTAGATGAACAGCAATAAACAATGAATATTTCTTGATTGTTGGAAGCAAATTCAGTCTGAATAAATTTACAAGCAGTTGTGCCAAGGTAAAGTTTTGCAAGTGGCTATTTATGTCCAGATTGGTGTCTTACTTTCATCTAATTGGAATGATCAAAAGTAAGTCGTTTTCTGACCAGTAAATTTTGTTAAATTTGTTTGCCTTTGTAATCAATTTATTACAAAACAAGAATTTTCTTCGCTTTAGCGAGAAAGATACAGTGTCGTAAACCAACTCTTTGGTTATTTTCAATTATCAGGGATTAGAAGGAAAAGAAACTCCGCCTGTTGATTAATTTATCCAATACAATTAGCCAGGCCGTTTAGCCATCATAACTCGAGCTCTACCACGACCACGAGCAACTTGAGCTTTCAATAGAGCACTTTTACCACGCACAGTAACACTAGATTTCGTACCCGGTTTAGAGCCCATCTTTTTAAACATTGGCGCATTTTTCAACATATCCGGTAAAATTAAAAATCGTATTTTGGATCCTCTAATGAATATGGTTTCAAGACTGGTAACTTTACCATCCCTTGAAGTAGCCGTAATTTGAGACATCATAACATTCATATTGTCTTCAGCTTCGATAAGTTTACCTCTAAACACTTCTCCATTAGTAGTTTCCACAGTGATTATGTGTCCTTCAGCTTCATGTAAAACTTTAATTGGAATACCAATAGACATTTTCAATTAGATTTGTTTATTTCGGTTTTGACGCAAAAATAATACTTCAAACAGATCAAGAGACTTTTTAAAGATTTGGGATCACAGATTCAAAAAGTAGCAAGGTCACAATGGAATGTCAGCGATTAGTCAATTAATTCTAAATAATTTAATTATACCAGAAAATTCAAATTATCATAACAAATATTAAAGAAAACAGCTTTGAAAAGCAACAAAATCACATATGATTTCAAATTTTTTCCAGTCACGTAGCGCTCTCTATCGAAATAAAAAAACATTATTTCACCTAATAGATTCTCCGTATCATAGCGATAAAACTTTTCATCTTTCACAATTCGGATAAAAGATATTGATAATCTTCAATTTATATTTTTTAAGTTCAAATGCGTTCTGCGTCAAAACATTAATCAACCCATTAAGTATAACGCAAATTAGTCGCGCCATGAAGCATTTCCTTACTAAAACACTTACAATTAGTCTAGCAGACAAGAAACAACGCAAATACATGTAACATCTCAATCAATGACTAAGATTTTAAAAAGCCAAAGAAGGTACTCAACAAGGTTACTAATTAATACAATAAAACTAAATTCACAGATGTTTAGTTTAATAACTTTTAAATTATCACAGTAAAATAGCAGAAAAAATTGAAATGAAATCAATTGGCTTGAGTGGAAGAGATCAACTTGGATTAGCTTGAATAAATGAAAGAACTAGAACAATGTATCAATTTTTTGTTAAATTTAATTTTAAAGAGTTATAAATTACTGTAAATGTTACATGATTACCATTATTCAGCTCAGGTGTAACGATATCGTAATTTAAAGCAATTTTATCTCAACGAGGTTAATAAAGGCAACAAAAAAGTGAGATGCAAATAAAAAGTGAAAAAAGTTACAGTATAAAGATTGTTAAAAGCAGACAACCCCTCTAATCACCATTGCAATCCATTGTTTTTAACCCATTGTTTTTGTGTCCATTTTCACATTTTTAATTTGTTTTATTTTTAAATTCATCTTTTCTTTTAATTAATCATCGTTAGCAGCTATTAAAGACCAAAATGTTGCCTTGTAATTGTACCAATATGGCTCAAATGTCCCCTGAAAATATATGCCGGATTTGTCAACGAGGAACACCACAAAAAGGTTTGATTGAACCCTGTAACTGCAATGGATCCATTGGTGGTGTCCATAAAAGCTGTCTAGAACGATGGTTAACCATTTCAAGACGTAGTAAATGTGAACTGTGTGGTGTTTCAATCCCATGTCTTCAAGTTACACCTACATTTCGAGATGTAAGTAACCAAATAGCTTAAACCAACCCATGGTCATTGAAAGTCTCTTACCACAAGTACCCTTAACCCCTTTCTTGCTACCTCGTGTCTCATTGTATTTATTTTAACTCCTTTTGTGTTTGCTTTTATCCTTTTTTTGTCTACAGTATGCTCGGACATTTCCACGACCTTTGGTTGGTGACCTTTTACTTTTTACATTCCTTACACCCATTGCCACCCTATTGACTTTACTTTGTTTCCAAGGAGCAATGATGCAAATAAAATGGCAAAATCTAACAGAATCTTCTTTCCTTTTGGCATTTGGAGCCATCCTGTTGACCTTTTATTTTGGTTGGGTTTATTGGTCAATCAAAAACAATTATCAAATATTTTTGGACTGGCAAAGTTCAAATACCAATTTAAGGATCGATTGGCCTCGTCGTAGAGGAAGAAAGCGTGAAAAAACCATAAACAGCATCGAGAAGGCTGTTTTAGATTCAGATGATCCCGAGCAATCGCTCAGTCTACTCTGATTGTTGATATCTAATCACCTTTTAAAGTCCACTTGTAATTAACCGTTTTGTTATTTTATTTCAAATTTGTGTTCACACACAAACATATGTATAGACATTTATATATGCATATTTTATAGTACATTTGTTGTAATCAAATTTAATCAAATTGAATTTTAAAGTCCCCCAATGATTCCAATGTATAGTATTTTTCAAACCCCAAACCATTTTTAATATTTCACCCTATTTTAGATAAAATTGAACAATAAACAAATGAATATTGAATATTCTCTATTATTAAATTGATTAATGAATGGTAATATTGTTAATAAATGATGATCGGACAATGAAATAATGAATTTCCATTGAAATAATGAAATATTGAAACAGAAATATCAATGTGGCATAAACACATGAAGCAAAAACATAAATTAATTTTAACTAAATATACACTTGCCATTAATTAAATGTCATCCTTATCAAACAATTACAAACAATAATGTTTTAAAGCGTTAACTCATTTGATTTGTACAGTAATTATTTGACTAGATAGATGTAAATTGCAGTAAAGATGAACAATGAGACTGAAACAATTAGTCAATCGTAAAGGCAGCAACATTAATTTAAAAGCTTCATTTCTCAAGTAAAATTGAGAATAACATTTGGATTAAACATGAATTTAAATGAATAGCAAAAACACAACAAAGGATGAAAAAAGGTTTGAAATGATGAAAATGAATGAAAGATCAACACTAAGAAGACGATTATAATGATGATGATGATGATGATGATGATGAGCAAATTTATTTGCCTTAAATAGTGAAAGCAAAGAGTAATACTGAGGAAAGAGATGAAAGAATCATAATGATAATGATGAGGATGAGGATGAAGATGATGATTAAGAGAAAGACTGGAAAGATAATGTTAGACCTTATATTTTTAGGCTGTTAGCTAATGGACTGATTTCCGGGGAAGATGAAGAGACCGGAAGAAGACGAAGCCTTTTCGTCAAGTTAACCATAGACATAGACTTTTATATTTCTTCGACAGAAAAAGCTTTATCCCTTCAACCATCAGTTTTTACCTCATCTTTCTTTCTCTTCCTTATTCTTCTTCTCATCTCTTCTTCTAATATCTTCATCTATCAACTTTTATACATGATAATAAAAATCATGATTAAACCCAATAATCAGCCAGCAAACAGAAACATTAATGCAGTTATTATTACAATAGTAAGTCAAAGTAAAAAGCTTTCCTCAACATTGTGCTAAAATGTAACCATTTTTCCCTATCAAATTGTGCGCCTTAACCTCATTCAAGTCAACGGTAACGTCTTGGTTACTATGGATAACATATGGTTTTATAATTGTTTCAATTAATAATTTTCAATTATCATCTATAATTAACTTCACTTAATTTGTTCTAATCATTTGCTCTGGTTTTATATGAAATTTCACCAATGAACTACCAATTCAGTCTTTTGTAATATCGGTAAGTATCATAACTTTGATCATTTGAAAAGCTATCCGTTCATTTATGTTTTTCACACAATGTTAATTTCAAGAGATTGTTTCTTTTTCTTTCCCATTCTTAGGTAGACTATTGAAGACTTTTGGTATATGGGATTATCTTGGCTCCTGTGTTCATTTTATGGCGATTGAAATTCATTATTCGCCACCGTACTCGAAGTTTCTCCAGCCTACACCGATAGCATAGCCAAAATGCCGGGAAAAACGGAAGATTGCAATTTAGTTTTGCCGTTAAACTCGTCCAGGTATACAGACAGGTAGAGAGTAACGGTTGAAGAAGGCGAATAAAAGGATGGTGAAGATGCTGGGAAGTGATATTTCTTGTTATAACCATTTTTTGGTTCCTTCTTAAGGTCAAGTTTAGGATAAGCAAGGAAACGGAGGAGGAAAAAGGAATAGGAAGAAGTTTGTTTAGCAGAGGAAATGTTATGACCTCTTAAGGAAGCATCTATTCCTATATTTTTACGTTACTTTCTGTCTTTCTTTCATCATTTTCATCATTTTCATCATCATCAACATCTTTTTTACAGTGCAAAAGAGAGGATTCATGATGAGGATGCTCCAACCATTTTCAGGCAAACCTGAGTTTCCTTCCTATTCCCATGTATACACAATCAACACAATATGTATTATACACGTACATTGTTGTCTAAACTGTTAAACATGTAACATTTAATTACCAATTTAACCATTTAATTCAATTGAATAGTTAATCGACAGCCAATATCGACACAAAGATTCATCAAAGATTCAATGATTCAACATTTCGCCCATAAACCATCCTAACACAGCTGAATTGAAGCCATCGTAAATGGTTTCATCCAAACTATCAAAAAAGTCTATCTAATTACCAAACCAAACGGGCATTGAATTAACCTGTCAAGTCTAAAGTCTGATTAAGCAGATTGAATATTGTCTGCCAACCAGAATTTATCATTAATGTAACCAATTTTTTGTTAAAAATCTTTCATTAACTAAAATTACAAATTTTCATGTTAAACATGAATAGCCGATAAGAAAAAAAAGGTTCATTGAAAATGATACTTTTGTATTTACACAAATTAACAGGAAATTATCATGTTTAGTTAATTTTTTGCTGCCATAAAAAGCCTCAACATCAACTGAAGATGACATTATTATCTCAAAAAAGTATCAACTTGTCATTTTGGTGGCTCATCATCATCATCATAACCATCATCTTTTTTTATGTCCTCAAAGCCCATGTAAAAGCAAGTGGAATCAGAAAATTCATCTTTATCTTTGTTGCCACCTTTTTTTATTGAAAAAGCTGCTCCAGGCAATTGCAACTCATCATCAATATTTTGACAAGATATATATTTTTATACAAGTTGATGATACTTTTTCACTGTTATCAAATATTTGTCAGAAAAGGCTGAATCTGAAGATTGAACAATGAAGATTGAAATTGAAACCGCAATGGAAACAGCAAGAGACCTAAAAACTGTAAACATACAGAAATATCATTTTTTCATCATCAATAAAAAGCCAGATATCACCAAAGAAGAGCCAAAACTAAAAACTAAAAAAGGCAAAGAAAAATGATGAAAAGTCGAAACATTTCGTGAACACTTTTCAGGGTTGGCAAAACAAAGAGGCGTAAAATTGTCAATTTTTAAGCTATATCATCTCTCCAGAAACTCTGTCATGAACACACCGAGTAACATCCAAATGCAAGGTAAACAAGAGTTGAACACAACAAAGATGGCTCTTAACAATAAATGATGAAAATGATGTTACTGGTTAAGAGTAGTCCTCAAAGCTAAACCACAAGCCTCTTACGGCCTACGGTTGAGACTGTGTGTCTATTGCTATCTAATATACATTTAATCCAGTGAATTAAATGGTTCAAGATGATTGTTAAAGAATGAAAGATTCTTCTATTTATATTATTACTGGGAAAATCTAGCAAATCCAATATCGGAATCAATTCTAATGATGATAATAATGATGTACTTGGTAGAAAAGGTTTGCAGTGGTAAAAAAAAAGTGAAAGATGAAATTCAATCTTTTCATCTTTAAATGGCTTTTGTTTGTATAATGGATAAAATCATCATCCCATGTTTATACACTCTCACTGTTCATCTTTATCAAGATGAAAATGCTTGACAATCATCCTCTCAGCTTCATCATCTTTATCATCATCTTTGGGTCACACGCAGCAAACGTTTTCAACACACTCATCTTCATCTTTCAACCAAACATGATGATATTCAAATTTGTAATGTATACATGGTTGGTATGAAAAAAAAGAGAAAGGCAAAGATGGGCAACTCATTTCATTCATCATTATCATCATTTACCATCTTCTTTATCTTCCAGGTAAATTGACACTCATTATTGGCCTGGTTTAGTTTTGCCTTTTCCGTTCTTCCCTTGATTGTTATTAAACATCGAAAGGCGCAACCTTTGGTTAAACACAATTTTGTGGTTCCTTGTTTGTCATCATAATAATGATTATGTTTACCAACTAATACAGTGTAATTGCAACTAAATATACAGACTAATGTAAACCTGTAATTGACTGGCAATACCAGTAAATGTAACCCTTTTTGCGTCCAATCCGCATTATTTTCCCATTTTATTTTTAATCAACTTTTCACTTTGATAAATGTTTCAATTGTTTAACCATCAATTTGTGCCTTTTGATAATCAAAAGTTACTTAAACTGTTGATACTAATAATGGGTGAAAAAAAGTGTAAACAAAATGAAAAGAGCTTTAAATGTCAACAAAACCTTGTTTTTTTCATCACACATTCGAGGACAAAATCCATTAAGATTTGGCCATTAAAAGTAGCCAATAAGTGACCAGAAAAGACAACTCAACTGCCCAAGGCTTTCGATAAATTAAAGTCGAGATTTTATTGGAAAAAATTCAATCGATTTCAGAGTAAAATAATTTCACGTTTTGAGGTTTAATGAAAGGTTATTGCAAGGCAACACAATGATTACAGTTGAAGGTGATTTTGTAAGTTGAATGAAGTGATTACTTGTATTGTTGCCTTCAATTGAATTAAGTTGAAAAGCAGAGCAAAAACATGATCACTTGGGAATGAGGTGATGAGGATGAGGAGGTGATGAAGGCTGGTAAAAAAGTGATAGACAAATGGGAAAGTTAAATTATTGTATGTTAATTAGATTGAAAAGCAAAAGAAGAAGGAATTGCCAGAGAAATAAAAAAGTAATTCAAGTTATTCAAGTTGATGTATCATGTTAGTTTGTGTTGCTTGTTTTATTTTGATTTGTATTTATTTAGCTTTTATCAGCTTTAATTCAGTTTGTCAAACTTGCATGATAAATCAATTCAGTGAATGTATTTTTCTTCTTCTTGCTGTTTTGCCTTCTTTACCTTCTTGCTGTCCTATTCAAGAAATTATCAGGGGAAATCAGTCTATTTATTTGAGTTGCACAGAGTGTCAATGAGAGTGTTGAAGGCGGACGAAGACCATGAAGATGAGGACACAGCGGGTAAGTATGTAACTCTTGTCAATTGATTACAATCAATGAGTATTGATGGAGCAAGAAACAAGGTTTACTTTAAATGAAAATGTAATCTTTGTTACACTTAAAAGACTTTCCCTCAATGTTAAAAAATAAGTGGCCCTTTTGCCTTAATCTTCACCATCATCTTCATCATCTTCAAGAGCTTTTTCCCTTTCTCTTTACCTTCTAAACTTGTCATCATCATCTTTGATCCTTCATCTGACTCAACAATCAATTCAGGATAGTAAACAAATGTGCTTCATGGTAAAGCAAAGTACTTTTTATGGTTAAAGTAATCAACAAAAAAACAAATTAGCCATTAAGCTTTAATCTGTCAGCATTAACTTCAACCAATGTTTAAGTTTCAACGGTAGCTTATAGATTCTGCTGCTCGAAGTTCATCTGATCGGTTAACCTCTCAACCAGATACATAACTATTTTCATTATTATTTTGACAAAAAACTTGTAAAAATCAAGTTCGAACTAAGGCAAGATTTGAGAGTTGATAGTTCAAGACATAATAAGCTTCTGAAACATTGTTATAAGATTCGACTTGCAAAGTTTCGGACTAAAAGACTTTCGAGTTTTGAAAAGAGTTTTGGACTTTAAAGAATTGGAATTTACGATTTTCCTCGCAAAGGTCGACCAAAGGAATTTTAATAGCACTAATGGACTCTATTTACGCCTCTTCAACCCACAAAGTCTGGACGCATGAAAAATTTTTTGCATTTCAGGTTGCAATTCATGAAAAGCAATGGAATCTAAAATCGAGAAAATCTAAAGATGCAAAGGAACATAAATATGTTTTCGTGCATTAATTGGTTCGAACATATTTTTGACTGAAGAAGGAATGGAATATGATAAATGGGATAAAAAGCGGCGCAAAAATTTACATGAAAATCAATGATAATGTGATGATGATGGAAAGAAGATGGTGAAGATCAAGTGAATGTACAAGTTACAATTGAAGGCAAGTTAATTGAAGGATTGTCATTGAGATGAAAATTGATGAATACAAATGATACAGATTTATCTGTTTTGCCTTCAACTCTCTACCCTCTCCATCATCATCATCAATAGTAAAACCTGAATCTGTGACATTTACATCATCACCATCATCTTCTTTGCATGCAAAATGTGCAGTTTTTGCAGGAAGAAAAAAAGTACAACAGTAAATGACAAAGAAAATATATTTTTACTGATTCTAATGCAAAAGATGAGGATAAAAAAAGGATTGTAATCAATTTGCAATGACACAATTCAACTGCTTAATGGTATTTTGAGTGTACAAATGAATGCAAATCCTTTAACAACAGTAAACTCGAGTTGATGTTATTCAACAAAAGATGCCATTTTTGGTCTCTTTTGCATCATTGTTCATTATCTTTATCAGTCAATACAAACCATCAATTGGTTACAGTTAATCAAGCAAGCTTCAACAGTTAACCCATTCCATGAAAAGTCATTATGCTTTTAAATGAACAATCTTTTTGTCCGCCAACAATTGTCCTCATGATAATGAAAATGAAAAACACAACAATTTCAACAGAAAAAAACAAACATCGAAAAAACTGAAAAATTATTTTCAAGTAATCACTTGAAATTAACAAATGATGAACAACTGTTTTGTTTATTGTTGCAAATTGAAGGATTAAAGAGATTAATTGTTAAACCTTGATTGTTGGGTTAAGTTGATTAAGGAAAGAGGAATACAAATTTGTGTAAATTGTCGCCTTTTCAAAGGCATGAATCAAAATGTGTAAATCAGTGTAAATCAATGAAATGATTGAAAAAGCAGTTTGTAATCATTTTTAACAATCTTGTTAAGCAGTGAAAGCATTAAAGAAACAAAAAGGTCTGAAAGGGCGATTGGACTCAAGCTGAGATTTAACAAGAGGGAACAAGATGAGGATGAAAACAGTGAAGACTAAGGTCAAATCACTATTGACCTCAGTGGGTTTGATGCTTTTAATACATTAAATTGGCTTCACACATTAACATGGAAAAAAAAGAATGGGGAAGAAAAAAGTAAAAGAGAAAAAAGATTTGTTGAAAGAAGATGAAGAAGATGAAAAAGCGTATCAAAGAGGAGGATGAAGTGTAAAAGGGAGGAAAAACGAAGCTTGAATCTATTGATGAGATTCAGTGTTTAAATCAGTGTAAGTAAATCAGTAAAAGTATCATGAAAAAACAAGGAGAAAAGCAATTGAATTTGTTTCACTTCACATTGATAAACCAAGTCTAATGAGTTAATCTTTTCACGGTTTCATTATTGGCTAAACAACAACATTGTTAATCAATGAACACATTAATGAGTTAATTTATGGATTCGGTGTATTACATGATTTATGTCGAGAATGGGATTTTTGGGGAAAACCATTTTTACTGTTCACTTATTTAATCTTGATTAGATGATGAAGAAGAAGAAGAGAAAAGAGAAACGCTTTTTATCATTGGAAAGGCGGGAGAAGAAGAAGAAGCGACGAGAAAAGTCAAACAAGATATCATCATTATCATTCTGATCAATGGTGATCATGAAAAGATTGATGGTAATAAGCTTAGTTACATCTTGTTTTGTGTGTTGAGATGAGAAAACAAAAAAAAGAGGGAAAAAGTTTTGAAACATTTTCCCTCTCATCTGATAATAACAATAATGATATATTAGTAGCAACAGTAAAAGGTTGTTGCAGTTGATGTACAGAAGCACGTACAAAAGCACGAGCACATCTTTGCTTCAATGATTTCAATTGAGTGACTTACAAAAGGTTACAACAGCAACAGTGAAAGTTGCTCCTTTCATCATCTCTATGGTTATGGTAACCTTAACATTTGCGATTCCCATCGACGGACCAAAGTCAAAAATCTCAACCTAATCAAGTTACTTGTTTCAACATTAAAAAACTCAACCTCAATGGTAACATCAATGGCAACATCAATGGCAACATCAAAACTCAACAACTCGACATGAACTTCGACATTGGACATTCTCAACTCATCATTGAGAAGCAAAATGAACAAAAATAGTAATCAATGGTTTTGGCTGTTTTGATGAGGGATGAGGAGTTGGGAGGAGATGAAGGAGGAGGACAAAACGATTAAAGGCTTGTTCCTAGTTTGTAGTTTCAAATGAGCGTAAATATTTTCCCATGGATATCATCATCAATATCCGCTTGAATTGACCTTTTTTTATCGGATCATAATAAAACAACCATAAAACAAGTTGAGCTTCTTTAGATTTCAGTTCTTCTTTTTTTTCAACATTTTCCTTCATTTTTTTTTCTTCTTCTTCTTGTTCATCATAATAAAAATGATAATAGCAACAATGATAAGACGAGTATTAAAGACATATATTTATATATAAACTGATATTGTTATTTCACTTGGTTGAATAAAACATTTATTATGACATTTTAGGAGACTTCAATTGAATGAGCAACAAAAAAATGAACATTTTACTTACAATGGACAAAGTAAATGGACAATCAATCAGAATTTTTTCTTCAACTTATCAGGTTATTTACTCTGGGAGTGAAGATTATCACAACTCCCAGCAGATAAACTGTAAACATGATAATTTCCATTTCAATTTGTCGCCTTCTTTAAACACTTTTTTTGCGGTTTTGTAGCTCATGATAAACTTCAGGTTATCGGTCTAAATCAAGTGTTACTTTTCTTGTTTAACCTAATCTTTTCCTTCTTAAGGCCAGTGATCAGTTTTCAGTTTCAATCCTCTTATTCATTTCAAGCTCTTTATTAGTTTTAATTTAATCCAGTTTCATGAAGGCAAATCTCTTTGATTCTCATCTTTATCGCTCTAATCTTTTATCATCTGGGACTAATAAAAATGGTTAAACACGCGCCTTTCAATGCAATCCATTTTTATCCGTTTCAATTGACCTTTTAACTGTTGATCTCGCTATTAATAGATTATCAATTTAATTAAATCTCAAAGGGATTTTTACTTGTTTGTATATCAGAGGCTCAATTATCACTTGGTTCAATCAGTGATTCAGTTAATTGATATCAGTTTACTTGTGGCCAAACCTTTTCACACAAACGGTTACTCGAGGGACAATAAAAGTTTAATCTAATTCAATTACATATGTTATTCATCATCAATCAATAATTAATTGAGACAACATGCTTTGTCTATCGCTTTCAATCGACAATTAACTTTTCATTTCTGATTCATCACGGTTGCCAATTTAGATTCAGTTTAGATTAAAACATTTTCATAACAATTTAGTTTGGAAAATAAACTTTGAGAAAAAAGCAAAAATCACTGTTAATTGCCCAATAATGGAATCAATTTTTCTTTTGGATTTCGAATCGGATATCGAAAACTTACGATTGAACAATTAAAATTTTCTGTCCAAATGAAGTTGCCTTGAGCATTGAAAATCTCAGCTTTTCAAAACTCAAATCATTCATCAACCGCTTCGGTTCATTTACTGGTGTTTTGACAATTGCGTTATGAATTTAAAGTCTTTTGTCATTTTATTTACTCGTCTAAATATTTTGAAATATTTTTTCACATAATCCTTTGGTTCACAGTTTTTTCAATTTATCCGATCCTTTCTGATGCTAAATGCATAAACTGTGCAATACGCAAAGTAGGACAATGAATGTTGAATCTCCGCAAAAGCTTTTAAAGTTTAGTTTAAATTTGAATATTTTTCTGTGTCAATCCTTTTCTTGATGTTCATTTCAATATTTACATTGTCAACTGTCAAAATAAACATGACTAATACTCGTGAGATGCAATCAGTTGCAAATGAAATGGGAAAATAATGAAAACGAAAGTTGATGTTGATATTAAAATTTTTAATTGTTAATTTTTCTTTATTAGCATATTTTTTGGTTTTTTTGTCACTTTTTTATATTCATTTTGTTACATTAAGACGCTGTTTTTTACATTACGTTGATGGCCTCATCGTCAAATAACACTTAATTAAATAATAATTTGAGTTTCCAATAAAACTGGTTCAGTGTGTTCATCATTTTGTTTGCTTTTCTCATAACAGTTGTTTGTTTGGTCGCAATAATTGCACGATTTTGTGGGTTCATTTTTGGACCGTTTGATGATGGACAAAGGTAAATAGGAGTTGAAGGTGAGATGAGGATGATGAAAAGTATTGAGGGTGAGATATTGATATTTAGACGGCAAGAAGGGAAAAGAAGGAGAAGAAAAAAATATGCTTGAAAAGTGCTTTTGACGAGAGCTGAAGAGAGGAAAACGCTATTTCTGTTTATTTATAATATTTATATAATGAAAAATTGGTTCTCTTCATGATCGCTCCAACATTTGTCCATCACCTTGCTCTTGTTCATCATCTTGTTCATCATTATCCTCATCTTTGAAGGTTAAATTTTCCTTTGACTTTCCCTTCGTTTTTCACCTTTTATTTTGTATTTTAGTTGATTAGCAAATAAAAGTTGACTTTAATCCTGTAATAATAATGGGCTTCGGGTTTATAAGTTGGATCATGCATAGTGAGGGTAAGATGTAATGTGAGATGTAACATGAGTTGGATGATGATGATGATGATGGTGATGGTGAGGCATGGTTGCATGATGAGAGGCCGCAGCTACATGTATGTTGGAGTAAAGGTTGGCTGCGGCTGCCGTTGGACTGGTCCAGTAGGTTGTTGAAGGACTGAAAATGCTTCCCGTTCCAGAGGAAGGAGTCAAAGAGGCAGCAGCAGCAAAGTTTATTTTTGACGTTGGATGATGATGATGATAGCCCGGTGGAGGCATGAAGTAGTCATGGGTAGGATAACCCTTGTAGGCTGAAGGATCAGGCGTTGCTGGTTGATTAGCATTAGCTAAGCCCTGTAAGTGTGTAAAGTAACACAAAAAAAGTAAACATTATTGACAGTTTAATGAAAAATCCATTTGCACATTGCTTTTCATCTTCACCAAGATTGACTCAAAACACTTAAAAATCGAGTTCTACTCAATCTATCTCGAATACAAAACTACTGAGAATTATATTTCGATGGAAATTTTATCGAATTCGAAGATTTTTGAGCTCGAAATGTTTAACAATGTTAATGTTTCCTTACCTGCCAATCAAATTTGTATGCATATCGTTTCCCATGGACTTTGGTCATTATATTTTTATCGTAATAATAACGCAGGGCTCGACTTAATTTGTCATAATTCATGTTGGGCTTGCTCTTCCTTTCGCCCCAACGACGAGCGACTTCATCTGGATCAGTCAACTTAAACTCACCATCTTGACCATCCCAGATGATACACTGTTTAGCCGTTGGATCGTCCAACAATTCCAATAAGAATTGCCACAATTGAATTTGCCCTGAACCTATTGATTTAGAAAATAAAAGAAACTTTAAATTAACAGCTTTTCCTCACTTTACACCAAAACATTCATCGATATTGCAATAACAAATTACTATTGATTTCAAATTAAATTGAGTTCCGTTGAACATTAAATCTGTAAATATCAATCTTAATTTTCCTTTCTTTACCTTCGACTAAACTGTTCATAAAATATAAATGGCTCAAAGTATCATGAACAGTTTCGAGCAAAAAAAAGAAATTCTCACAACTTCTTTTACTTGACCAATAATGATGATCATTATTATTAACTGATAAACGTCAAAACAAATAGCTTGTTATCACGAAGAAGTCAAAAAGAGTTCATTAAAGAGCGAATTTCATGCGAAGAAAAGTTTGAGTAAAACTTACCGGAAGATATTGAACGTCCATTCGAGGTTAAAAATGGATAAACTTCTGGAAAACAAAAGAACAGTAAATGGTTAAAATATGATTTCGATCAAAGTTCGAAACAAAAATTCAAAATCCTTCAGAGAAAAGAATAAAAAAATCGAAATTCTTGCAAAAGAAATAGAATTTTGTTCAAAAAATTGTGCTCAATTTCATGTTCTCTTCATAACATATAGAGCATTTTCAAGTATAAGATATAACAGAATTATTTTCATCTTCATCTTGACTCTTTGTTGTTGCAGTCAAAATTATCCTATAAATGATATTGATGTTTAACCTTCTTGTTTTCATTCAACATTTGCTCGTTGTTTTCATGATGAACAGAAACGATCGATAATCGTTACAAGGGAAAGGCAAAGAAAGAGAAGAAAGAAAAATGATGTTTTCTACTTTTCTATCATCAATAGTAATTCAGTTTCTACTTCAAGATTCATCCATTTACCATCATCTAATATGTCTTATTGTAGAGTGAAAAATTAGTTGGATAACAAGAAAAACATTGAACAAGAAGGGAATGATAAAAGTAGAACTCGAACAAGAGAGAAGAGCAAAAACGTTATTCACTTATAATGAATACAAATGAAAATAGAAAAGGGTTAAGAGCATTGTTGCCATGAAAAATTATCATCATTATTATTCAATTGCCATTATAGGATGGAAAAGAAACAATTCTCAACATTGTTTCCTGATAATACTAATCATAATTATCCAACACTCAACACTCAATTAGCTGACCAATAATGGACTATTGATGAGCTGAGAATCAGAATAATCCAAGAAATTATTTGATCAATATTATCGATATCACAGGGAGTTATTGATATCGATAAACTTTTTGCTTCTTCGTTCATTTTTTTTTGAGCTTTGCATTTGTAAATGTTGTAACACTTTGAAATTGATTACCATCCATGGTTGGATAACTTTTGCTTGGCTCATGATAACTTGCCAGCTGGGAGTCGAAAAATTGATGACCTTAGTTTAAATGGAGATTCAAAGCATTTTAACTAATGAACACTCAAACTTCTCATCATGTTCATCATCATGTTCATCATCGTGTGTTCATCAAATAGACAATTGTACAAAGTATAACATGGACTTGATTTCCGGTTTTGTCTTGTGTGACTTGAGATTCTGTTGAATGGTGATTGAACAAAAAGCTTTGAATTTCTTTTTCTTCTTCTTCTCCTCTTTTCTTCACCATCTTCCATGACATGATAAAAAAAAGAGAAAAGAAAATGTGTTCAAATTTCTTTTTCTTCTTCTCTCAATGAATGTCTTTTCATTGGGCTCATTTTTTCCTTCCCTCAAAAGACTCGATTGATGAACCAACTGAAGGTTACAACAAAGTATCTTTGAACCAAAAAGAGGAGAAGAAGAAAAAAGAATACAAAAAAATGATAACATTCATTTCGAATTGAGAAATGCGAATGAAAATAAATTGACCAAAACTGACCTCAAAGACCTTTCATTATTTATCTTTTATGTATTTACTTAACGTATTTTGCGCTCCTTTAAATTGTTATTCATTCCCTGTCATTCCCTGTCCAACATACTAATCAGTTCATCAAAAGATCTAAATTTGAATTCACTTAAAAGAAATTCTTGTGTTTATTTTTCCAATCACTTTATTCCATTGGCTCAGATTGAGACTGAATTTTTGGTCTGATTAACTGTCCATTCGGAAGCATTGTGTTGACTCAAGATGTTGTCACCACTTTACCAATGTTACTTTGGTTTGCGATTTTAATGCTTCAATTGGCTTTCGAGTTACAAGATGTAAAGAAGGACAATTTTAATGATCACTCTGAATGACCATGATAACATGATAACAATAATCTTCTTTCCAACCAAAGGTAAACAAAAGAGACGAGATTGAATTAAGATGGAAATGTTAACCAACTATTAAAGTAAACAGTAAACTTTCATTATCGATCAATCTTGATATTTACATTTATTTTGATTTATCCATTGTTATCATCATCATCATGAAACATAAAAGTTTCTCAGTAATGGAGACAATCTGGTCAAAATTGAAATAACAAATGATGATTAACACAATAAAAGGCAAAAACCATTGAATGGGAAGAAGCAATAATAAGCTATTAAAGATACAAAATAAAAGTCAGATTAACATGATGAAGAGAAGAACAAAAATGGCATTTTGATTTGGAAAAGATACAGATTAATGTCTTTTCCTATTCCCATCGACCAATATTGACCTCTACTGTTGACCTTCAACTCTCTCTACCCTTTAACACCCAACAGTCACATGAGAAACTCTTCGACTTTTGACTCTTCCCAACATCTCATCTTTCCTCATCATTACCATCAATCCATTGAACCGGTTGACATGAGCATTGCTTGTCTCAAAATGTGTACATTTTGCAACTTCCGAGTTGGCCAAACAAGAATGAATAAAGTGGCCAAAGCAACGGGTTGTCTGTGAGTCTTGACCATTGCATCAACAACAATTGACTTTTTCTGTTTACTTTTTTTCATACTCTTGATTCAACTTGTAATTATGAAAACCAATCGATAAGTTTCCTGAATAATTATCATGAAATTGGAACAAGAATCGAATGGAAATTTTTTCAAACTTTTTTTTTGCAGTAAAAATGTGAAAATAAACGATTCCAAACAAAAACATGATTCAAATGTTGATCATTATTATGTTGATGATGAAAATATAGATTAACTAATTTATTGTTATAGGAGTAAATGATGATTAATAAATGTGTGTAAAGTTAATTATTGATTTATAATAATAAACGAAGCAGTAACAAGGGAAAAACTGGAAAGAAATTAATTACAAAAAAAGTGTTTTCTTTTTGTCTCTTCATCACACACTAAATGATTATAACCAGAAAATTAATATCATCATTTGTAAAAAAAAGAAGAAGAAGCTAAAGTAAAATTAATTGTTACGATGAATTACTTTTGATTGTCGTGTAAATTAATGAGCGTGCAAAAAAAAGTAAAGAGTAATTAATAACACTAAAAGATAATCAAAGTTGAATGATGATAATATTATTATGAGAAGCAATTTATTAAAACATTTTTGTTACATTACATGATAAACTAACCAAATAAAAAATCATTATTTTGACAAAATTAAAACTCGACAATGAATCACTTTAGTCGTCACAACATGTGAGCCAATTGAACCTTGAAAAAAACTCTTTGCATGATAAATCGAAAATCAAATTCTTTCTTCGAAAATTTCAAATTCTGTAAATGAAACTTTTCCGATTTTAAGTCAAAATTCAGAGCCAAAACAAGGAGCACAACTGAAGACACAAAATTTGAAACTTCAGGAAAATTCCACTTTAAGTTATCGACTTGAATTTTAACGAAAAAAATTCTTTTTCATGCTAAATTCGAAAATCAAAGTCACTTTTTTCCGAAAATTTCAATTTCAAGTTCAAACTCAGAACGAAACTACAATCGCAGTTGGAAATGTTAAATTTTGAACTCCATGAAAATTCCATGAAATTTTGTGCTTTTTTCGAAATTGAACTTTTGGAATGAAGAATATCAAATTGAACAATATTTTGAAGAATCATTTGAAACTTTAATTTGTTAGACTCGAGAAGCGAAATTGATGATTTTGCAAAAAAGAGTTTCTTAAACAGGGTGAAAAGATTCATGAACCGGAAATGGTAGAAGAAGAAAATTGAAAAGCCAAGGAATAACAGATAAGTGGTATCATCCTCATCATCCTCATCATCCCTCATCTTCCATCATCATGTTTCCCAACTGTTCACCCTTCATTGCCTCAACTCAAATATATCATTTCCTATCTATTAATATTTCTTGTTCACTTTCTTTTCATTATCATTTTTCAACTTCTTTCTGTTATTCATATAATAATTTCCATCATCATTAAGAGCATCTAAAAACAGTCAGAAAAGTATAACTGTTCATCTTCATTATCTTCAAATTCTGCAACTGTTTTCTTTTCTCTTTTCGTTTCTATTTCTTCAAGTTTCTTCATCTTCTCGGTGCAAAAAAAGACTAAACAAGAATAAGAAATTCATTTTGCTCGGAAGTTGATAGGATAACTTGTGGAAGGAAGTAATGCTATTGGGATATCCTTGGATAGTTATTAAATACACAGACACAAGAAATGTATATTTGTGCATTTCAATCATGAAAATACGAACCAATTTTTGAACATAACTTTTCCGGTCTTAACTGGTCTCTTCCGAGCACTTGAAATTATTCATTTCATTACAAGTGCTTTTCGCTATTCAAGTTGTAAACATTTACCGTTAATTGTTTGACAATTTTGTCATCTTTCAATTTTTCAAAAGGTAACAACTTTTCCGATAACTTTGTTAACCAGTACAATTGAATACAATTTCAACTCTTTTTGCTCTCAATTGTTTCATTAACATTTACTTTTGCAAATTAGATTAAATCATGGAAAAGCAAATTTACAATAAAAATCTAAATCACAAATTTGACAATTTCCAGCTGAGCCAAACAGTATGCAATTATTTTATCGCAAAGCAAAGCAATGAAAGGCGAAATTGTGTTAAAATTGAAATTATGATTAAGAACAAAAAAACGAAATGATTTGATTCAATTTCCATTCTAATGGATGAATCATGAAAATAAACTTGCAAAAACTCGAAACAATTTTAACCGCAAAACTGTCCAAATTTCAATTCAATTTTCACTGAAAAACCTTGTCAATCAAAATTTTCGAGAATTTCTTTTGAATTATTTTGCAAAAGCAAAAAGACTTGAAAAGCCACAAAAAAGCCTCAATGCTGACAAGTTTGAGGACAAAATGACAAAAAATGTTAAAAAGCCTGGAGGAGTAACTTGAAGTTTTCAGGATGCCCTTAAAAGGAACCGAACTGTTGATCGGCAAATTTAATGAAAAATGTTTAGAATATCATTGTTGGGAAAAAGGGAAATTTCGTTTTCTGTTCAACTGCAATTTTCTTTTGCCCTTTCTCTAGCAAATAAAGTGGAACTGAAAAACTGAGTTTCGGACCTTTTGTTTACCTCGTAAACTATCATGAACATGAATTGAATTCAGCATACACGATGAAATGCGTTTCATGCAATTCGGTAAAGTAAAAAGTCTAACAATGTGAAGGATTTTTGAAATGAAAAGTCGAAGTGGACTTACCTTGAACACTTCTTATGTGTGGATAAGTGTACGAGTCCAGTGAGGATGTTTTGGTCATTGCTGTGATCGGAGTGTAACCTGTTTCGAGTCGCAAAGGTAAGGAAATGAGAATGGGAAAGAAGATAAAAAAGAAAAGGAAATCAGTTGAGAATAATTTTTTTGTTTTCCGTTTCATCCAATTCCGGGTTCATTAATTTATCATCAACAACATTGTTCCCGTACAGAGCATAAAGAGTTAAACTTGAAAATTAACCTTGTGATTGTGTTGAAGATCGAGATTTAGTTGGACAACAAAAGTTTTCACAATCCGAATCAGAAGAGACTGATTGATAGGAATCCCTTTTAGTAGGTAACATGATTAAGACTAATTAACGAGTTTAAATCACAACATTGAGTAAAACGGAAAGACAAGAAGAAAGAGTCAAAAAAGAAAGAGAGACAAAAATTGCAAGAGAAGAAAAAATTTTCTCGAAAAAAAAACGTTGAATAATTATAATAATAATAAAAGGATTGCGAGGTTTTGCCGGTGAGATTGGCTTTTGTGTTATCACATTGACAAAGTTGAAACCTGTAATAGACTAAAACATTGAAAAATGATGAAAACGCTGAGAGAAAAGGAAAGCGACCAAAGAAAGAGGAAAGATGAGAAGAAGAAGACAAAGAAAGAGATTGATTTCCATGGAAACTTGGCTTGAAAAGAAAAGAGAAAGAAAAGAAAGAGGAAAAAAGGTAAGAGGATGATGATGAGCAGCAACGAGTTGAAGAGTCAACTAAGAAGAGATGCGCTCAAATGTGATCAGCCCTTGTTAACCATTTTTTAGCCAATAAACGATTATTTCACTTTCGCCTCTTTCTCTCTATAAAAGTAATCTTCAAATGTTCATCTCGACTTCGAACTCGAATGTTGCTGTTAAATCGATGAGAAAAGGTGGAGTCAGAGAAAAGAAAGAAAAGAAGAAAAAGCTCGAAAAGAAGGTTAAACCAAAGATTCTCCTCCCTTTTTATCTTCATCTTTATCCTCCCGTTTTCTTACTCACTGCTCATATCCATTGAATCTCCTCCCATTCCTCCTCCTTTTACTCATCACTTTCATCATTAGCTTTCATCAGTTCATCTTCATCTTCACCTTTTCCTCCTTCAATTACCTTATTCTTATTCAAACTTATTTCCACTCTTTTTTTTCACCACCGAATCCCATTTCAATCTTATAATTAACATTTGTTGATTAACATGAAAGCTAATCAACTTTAAATTCATTAGAAGCTCACATGGAAAAAAATTGAAAAGCTGATCAACTTTGATGATAATTTAAACAATTAAAGTTGAAAAGCTTTTACAGTTGAAGCTCGAGTTGGAAAGCGAAACAATTATTAAAGTTGATTAAAAGTGATAAACAACAAGAAAAGCATTGAAAGACATTTTCCTGTTTTTGGGAGGCAAAAAAAGGTTGAAAATGATGGAAAAAGAATGACAGAAAAAAGAAGTTCTTCTTTTCATGACATCCTATAGATAATTTCTCATCATAATCATGATCATCTTGATGATCCTATACTGTTTCATGGTTCATCAATGTTGAATGTCAATCTTGTTAATAATGTGTTTACGTTAGCATTCCAATCAATTTGGTACTTCATGAGCGATGACTTCAGTGAAAGGCAATTGAAGAAGAGCAAAAATTGAACTGAAAAATGGAGCAAACTTTTTATTCATTTTGTTGGCCCAATTCAGTTGCTAGAATCATTATCATTGTTTCGTATTTTGCATTTCATTTGAATTGCAAATTTACTTTTCAAACTCAATCATCATCAGCATTTTATTGCGACAATTGGACAAGTTGATTGAGACTTGAAATTACCTTCAAATTGGACACCTTTTCATCACCCAAAAGTTCAATTAACTCATTACATTGATTAAAACATAAGCAAAAACTAACAACATGAGCAATCAGAGTAATGATTATCAAAATTAAAAGGTTAACAAATTAATATTGAGTGAATCAGAAGCATGTTTTGAATAATTAATGAGCAAAGAGTGAAAATATTAACTTGCATTTAATTTCATCACCAAACTAATAGATTGATAAATGTAAGGAGAGAATAGAAAAAATAATGAAATTCTGTAAAATTCTGGGCTCACTTTTCGTTACGAACAAAATCATGGCAATCTTTCAAAATATACATTTAAGTCACGTCCATTGAACGACAAAATTTTTCGGTCAAAATTTTCATCGTTAACAGACCATTTAAACTTGCCATTTCAAGGTGTTAATCATTAAAGGTGAAGCTAAAAAATTTTCAGCAAACTCCGAATTCATGATCATCCAAAAACAGTAAATGAAAATCAAAGAACTCTTTAAATGAGTTTAATTAATTTCGATCGATCAAATTGAAGATCAATTTTTCAGAAAGAAAAACATTTCAAGAACATAAACATTTTTATCCGAAATTTCATTTTCGATTCAAAAATATTTTCCATTCTCATAAAAATTGAACTTCAGCATTCGATTCAAATTTACTTAAAATTCAGTTCGAAATAATTTTCTTTCAGTTTTGGAGTTTCAAGTTTACTGGGTTTGCACTTTTCATTACATCAATTAACATCGAGAACAAAAAATTGCTTTCCATTCCTGAAACGCATAACTGAATTTCATGACTGTTAATATTGATATGAATTTATGAAAAGCTATTGAATTTATTGCAATTTGCATTTTCAAATTTTCCGTGAAAAATTGCTTTGAAAGGAATCTAGTTTTCGAACTGGAAAAAGCAAAACTGGCGACTCGTTCATTTCACAAATGAACAACATGGACCAATAATGAACTGAGCAACCAGAGCTTTCGAGAGTCTATTAGGCACAATTGGTATTCACATGTTCAATGGAGAGGAATTAAAAGCGTAAATACAAGTTAATACAACATTGACATGTAACGGTTATTATACAATTTTGAAAAGGAACCAAATTTAGTCTTTTTACTTTTCTTTCTTTTCTTTCTTTTTTTGTTTTCCAATTGAATAAACTTCTAAAGTTGTACTTTTAATGGAGTGAAAAGAAGGACCCACAAGTTGAGTCAATAAAGATATTGTTAAGATGTTGAGATGATGAGGACACGAGACTTGGATTTAATACACGCGACGGTTAACGTTGGCTTATTATTCAATTGTAACTAAAAAGTACAAAAAGTGGGTTAAATTGGTAACATTGAATGGTTTAGTTGAATGGAGTAAAATGAATTAAAGAGAAAAGCCTTTTTCCAAAAACAGTTTCAATTCATTTTCTGCTTTTCCAATCAAAGTGCGCACTTGACAAGAAATCTCTGTGTGACATTTCATCGATTCGAGATCATTATCATCAACTGGCTGGGAAGGAGTTTTGTTTAAATAATTGACTGAACCATGTTTTAACTGTGTCAACTGTGCAAGTCCTTTTAAAGGCCAAAAACATGCACTTGTCAACAATTTGCTACACTTGAACGAAACTTTTGCTCACTTAACTAATCTTCAATTTTACTCTTCAATTTACATTTCAATTATTTACCCACAAATGGATATCATGATAGCCAATTCAACTAATTGTTCATTTCACTGTGGACACGTTTCACCATTAATAATGAGAACAGAAAAGTTGCTCAAAAAAGGACAGAATTGTTGAATCATTTCTAATCAAAAATCGATTCAACATTTACCTCAAATGAAGAGATTTAGGTTCGGCCCAGTAACATTAATTTAGATTAAATGCTAATTAACTAAATCGAGTTGATTGGAGCATAAATAAAGATGAAAATGCAATCAAAATTAAAATCCATTCTAAGTAAATATTCAACTCTATCAGTTCACATTAAAATGAATATTCACATTTTAAACAAGTTTGAAATGAAAAAGAAATGAAATAATCATGAAATCTAATGAAATCATCGAAATGCCAATGGTGAAGATAAAAGTGGAATCAGAAGTGAAAAAACATTTTTATCAAAATTTACTAAAGTTGTTATCGGATCGACTTTAAAGGTTTATGATTTTCCAAATATTTTATCATGTTTATGAGCTTTTATTTGAGTTGTTTTCATTTAATTTTAATATCTTTTTGTGAAAAAAGGTGAAAATGTCGATAATAACTTTGCACTGGAAACAATTATTGAAAATTCAGGGCAAAAAGGAAGTTGTATTTGGTAAAGGAATTGAATTTTGTCTGAAATAAACTTTTTTTACTTTCAATTTTTAATGTAATTTTATTAAATTATTTCCTTTATTTTATTGGAGTGAAAAATGTTGCGCTTTTATTGTGTCTTTTGATTTTCTTGTATCATTATTATGATATCATTGTTAATATTATTGTTCAATTTCTTGTTCTTTTGGTGCACTAATGATGAAAATTTGATGGAGAAAAAATTGGAAAAAGGAACAAAATTCTTTGTACGAGAAAAAAAGATTTTAAATTTGGCATAATCTGTTCTTTTCAATGGAATCTAATTTTAACAGTATTTTAATAATAACTTATTCACTGGGAGTTGTAATTGCGGCCTGCACCAGAGAGTCGAATCATCCCGAACGGT